TTAGAAAAGGCTCAACGTCGAAGGGAAAATCGATACCACTCTGGACTATTCCAGAGGGCCCCATGCGTAACGAAAGGGAGATCTTCATCTTCTCTTTTCGTCTCTGAAACCCTCTTTTCCCTTTTGGGCTTCCTCTAAGACACCCTCGGAGAAAATGAGAGACCGCCGACGTTAGAACTGCCTACGAGGCAGCTCTGCTCGAGAAGACGAAAGCGACAGTGGTAAAGTCTAGCAGGCCCCATGTCAGACTCAAGGAGTCCCTACCCATTTATGAGGAGAAGCACATATCCAAGGGAATCCCCGCAAGAATCACGTTTTACACTGGTGACATCAATTAGCTTCTTGGGCAAACCAAAGGCGCTGTGAGTGAAGAATGAGGGGGATTACTTTCATATATATACACATATATAAAGAAAATGAAAAACTCAGGGCTGGGGTAGATCGGCTCGAGAAAGTACTCTCTGCTACTGAGAACGAGGACGTGATATAAGTAGGGGAAGGGAATCAACGGCTCTTGAGAGGCTCGGCTTCCCTGACTAGCGGAAGCACCCACGCGCAGGTGGTGGCAAGCTCATGGGATTCCTTTCCGAGTGTTGATCGATGGCTTGCACGCCCTAGGCAAGGGATTGGATTCGGAGGAGTAGCTGCCCGACCCAGAAGTGGCCGCTGGTTTGGCTCCCATTACCATGCGCTTACAGGACATAAAGCTCCATCATACACGTCCTGGGCGACAAGGACAAGCACTCCCCTAGTCGGTTGATCAACCATGAAGGAATTTTTCGGTTCTATATATGTATGTGGGACGTGGAGGCCGAGATGTTGGTTCTTGTGGCAATTCACCAAAATTTTCAAAAGCAATATAGCAGTGTCTGGGCTATCAGTCAGCGTGCAGGATTTCAGTTTACCTGGTTCAATAATGGAGGTTGAGGTGGTGCTCTCTTCTTTCGACCCGACACGGAAGATACGGACACTGAGGGGGCTGTGAGAGCTGTGATGACCTGGCGAAAGCTGTTTTGCTGGCCTCCAACGCCCCCTTCTCTAACCTTTGTTAACATGACTATTGGAGACATCAGGGACCTAAACGCATATATAATCCGCAAAATCCTGACGACCGCAAGATTGAGGGAATAGGGCGGTGCGTCGCCAAGATGCTGGCCAATCAGGCCATAGGAGAATTCGGTAGAGCTGCTCCTCATGCGTGCCTTTTGCTTTCGTCCCGAATCCCTTCAGATTGTTGTCACGAAGGCGCAGCCTGTGTTAGGAAATCGATTTCGGGCTTTGAGGAGATGCAAGACAAGTGAGGGCCATGGGAACTCAAGTCAACCCAGACACCACCATTTCATTCTATATATCTAAAACGACGGCTCGGAGATCTGTCCAAATCTCTGGATCACCGACGGCTTCCTCTGCTCTGTATGACCAACTTATGATGATGGAAGAAAAATCCGGGAGCTACTCGATAGCAATACAAGCCGGGAATGTACATAAATCTATTCCTGACCCGTTTAGTTGGAAAAAGGGCGTGGAACGCAGAAGAATGGGCATCTAGTTAGTTACCTGGAGGTACTTTGCCCAGATTGGGGTTTCCTGTTCATCTTCGTATCAAGGGCAGACCCGAAGCTCCTCGGTGCGATAGCTGCTGGAGTCATGACACCCACGTCGGTCGCGTACCACCAAAAGGCCAACGGGCAGGTCCCAAGAACAATCTCAATAATGCTCACAGGTGTTCCGAGAACTCTTATATATATATATATATATACGCACCCTGACGAGACGTTCACTCGTGTGTCTTGTCCACGGAAGTGCTAGCGTGAGGATTGGAACGAGCAACAAACACTATGGTCAACCAACTCTGATTCCAGCCATAATCTATTCGCACAAACGCATCCTTGGAAATGCCGACCAGCCAGGAGACAATCACATTTTGTGTTGACTGGAAAGGAGGTTCGAGTTGACCGTCGAGATGCCATGGTACCGACATAATGCACATTGGGATTATCAGACCGTCGCATGGATATCGAATGTTGCTAAGCAAGACTCGCTTTTCGGGACTCTTGCGAGAAGGTCTTGTTCGGATCTGGCGACTGTCGCATATTAGAAGCGTTTTCGAGCCTTGGCCTGTTTCTCCCTTTCTACCCGCTCCGTAAGCCATCCACGACGGGTCGGCCGTGGTGAGGATTCTATATATATTCGGGTCAGCAGCTCTCCGTTCGCCTCTCCCTTGTATAAGTGCGAGTCGTGCCATGAGAATCTAAGTCTCACTTGGCTTGAGACGGTGATTGCTTCTTTTAGTAATGAAGCAACACCCTGATATGCCCTCGCGTAGACCGCCTCTATCACTCTCAAGAGTTATGGTAGGTGATCTAGCAGAAGGCGACCGGCGGCGGCGGTAATGTTACCCCGAGAACTGAGAAAGCCAGAGAAGTTCTCGCGAATGGTGTAAGTGTAAGAGCTTAGAGCGTTGGACAACCCCAACCGTACGTGCTTGGTGCTTCCGGAAGTGATGCCCATTGACAGATCAACCCGGCTCAGATGCTTGGAGGAGGAGAGGAAACGGGACGACGAAAAGAAAGAGATGATCAGGAGCGAGGAGAGATATGCGAGATGATGCACTTCGCGGACTTACAGCCAGAGTGTCTAAACGATCCCGGCAGTATATTTGTTACACAGATTCTTCTGTGCGCCGTTCTACTAGGCGAATTCGGGAGACCTATTTCAGAGAATATCGGCGACCACGAAGTTAGTTTCTTTTTCCGCTAGTGTCCGGACCAAGCCCTATCCCCGAAGATCCAGATTGAAGCTTTTGAGGTAGGGCGGCTGCGCTGCGGTGTAGATATCAAAGAGCCCATAGATTAGCGCGATGTCATAGAAACACCACAATGCTCCTCGGGTCTCCCATCAGAAAATGCTATGGTTCCTAACCCCGGCATAGCGCGACTTTACGCGGGCATATGCCGCTAGGATAGCAGGAAGATCCGCGAGAAACTCATGCATGGGATCTTCAGTGATATCCAGATCGAGAAGACATTGCGCGGGTCCGTAAAACTGCCCGATGGGAGGATTGACTGGCCACAAGGTTCTGCCCAGCCCAGAATCCACGTCCATCAAACGTGTGACACGCCAATGCCAGGAGATAAAATGCCAAGCCTTGCCATATTCATTAGCATCCGCAGGAGCTTGGTCACAGACAATGTGGGAAACACGGAAGGGGTGGGTTGCCGCCTATATACCGCTCGAGGATCGATCCTACGGTAGGGTTAAGACGCCTGGCTAGAACTTGTAATGCTTGACGAGGCGAGCGCCATGCAGCGCACTAACAAGGCATTGGCGACTTACAATAGTAGGCCGAGAGTGATCACTGGACTCCCCATCTACTTCGCACCCACGTTTGCTCCCCAAGACACTAGAAAAAGGGCCCTGCCCAGGGGATCAGCTCACTATTGGGGATATAAGTGCTGAGATCCCAAGAAAATTGGAACCTACACTTCAACACCATTCATCAAATACTTCGAAAATATAGGAATCCACGATTATCCAGGTATGGCCGGGACAACCACGTTTATCGTTCTTAAGCGCTGGGACACGGCGGCTTACCACTCAAGGTAGAGATTAAAGGGTTAGTCTTGAGTGAGGAATGTAAGACAAAGCAACCTCACGTCTACCTTGACTCCCCAACACTGGCGGTCTCATTGGGACCCTGAGGGATCAGGGTGCTCAACAAACTTCCCTGGATACTCCGAATGGGGCCACTATAAAAACGGATATTTACAACATTCTGATGGGAATCTCCGTGCCTAGTTAATAGTGTGCTATTCCCGAAAAATGGCAGCACTTCTGAACTCCTAAATAAGATAGGATTCGCCTGTTGGCGCGATGGATGGATTTTCCGTGCCATTGCCCGAATTTATGAGAGGAGAACCGCATCCGCCAGCATCCGCTCTCCATTCTAAAGGCCTCGGCACTGCGGCACAGCGGAGGACGAGCAGAAACAAGATTGGGAGAGATACCTCCCTGCGAAAGCTAGGGAGCTTGCCTCCTGCGTGGCACTTCGATCTGGGGTCGGCCCCTCGGCGTTCGCCGTCTCTTACATCGCAGAAGAGCTTGACGAGATGAATTCTCTCCTTCGGGTTGCCCTGCGACTCAGCAATCAATGAGTGCTCACACACCAGTCCCCCTTCCAGCTCATGTCCCATCTTCGGCCTCGCCGGGCCTTCTCGACGGGGAAGACGAGTAGTTTTGTGGGGAGGATGTTCTGTTTCTTATGAGAAACTTATCGGCGCCTGTGCCAACAACGACAATTGATTGAAGGATTTCTTCCTTGCTAGTGGCAGGCAGAGAGGACTCAAGTTTCGGACTGCTGAACGTGAGAGGAATGCAACGGGCGGTGCTACATAGCAAACAGATAACGGTTTTGGGTATATAGAGCTCAAGATAAATCTCAATCACAGACACGATTTCCCCAGGCCCATGGCTTACTTTTATCTTGTGAGTGAAAAATAAGTTTGATGTGATCTTAAAGCTGATATGGACCAAGCCCTTCCTGCCTGGGCCCTTTCCGCTATGTGAGTGATCCCTTGTTTTGTTCCGAGAAGTCGGCAGTCACGATACGCTATTTCATATTCGCTGCTGATTCCTTGAAGGCGGGTTGGCTACAATTAGACGCTCCTCGGCCAAATCGGGAAATATCATGGGTCACAGTCCATCCACGTTAAATGCACACGAAGTCGAAGCGCAAGAAGGATTCCGTCGTCCAGAAGGGCAGGGAAACGGTGGCGTGGTTGTAGGATACAGTTTTCAGATTTGTACCCCGGGGGAATATCTGAAGAGAGAAAACCATTTCACCCCATGTAGCTCCTTTGAAAATGGGAAACTCATCTAATCTCATGAGGGTTACCATACTCCGAGATGCAAAGCATAAAAACAACCCAAGGGTTCCAAACTTAAACATTTTTTTTATTTCCCCTTCCCGCCCCATTTTTGCCTATACAAACGCCGAAACTTTACTTGCGCATGGAACTGGCTCGTCGCTTGCGGAGATCGGCCTTCTGGGCCTTGGCCTCGGCCACACGCTTAGCGAGAACCTGAGCGTACTCGTTCTGTAAAAATCATGAAGTGTTAGCGTTGGTTTGAACCAGACAAGGTAACGGCAGGAGGCAAAAACCGGGGATGGGGAAAACGTACGGCTTCGTCCTTGACCTTCTCGGCCTGACGGCGCTTGAGGGCGATCCTGTGGCGCTTGTGCTGGAGGCGCTGAGGAGTAACAAGGCGCTGGATCTTAGGAGCCTTGGTGTAGGGCTTCTTGCTCTCGTCCTTGGGCTGGATCTCTCGTCGAATGACGTACTTGCGGACCTATTTGCCGTTGAAAACGGTCGAATTAGCAAACCCGCGGGTTCGAGATAGAAACGATTTAATCGTTCGTTGCAGTATATTATAGCCATCCATGAAGTCTCTTTCTCTTTGCCTATTTTTCAAGGCGAGATTCGAGATAAATCATGGCCCTCTCAGACTCTACCCAGACTGCTGCATCCTCCACCGCAGATCTGGATAGGCGATGACGAGGAAGGCCCTGCTAGAACTTGGGACCTCACTTACGTCGTCATCCTTGCTGAGGCTGAAGAATCGTCGGATCTTGGTGGCACGCTTGGGACCAAGGCGCTTGGGGTGGACGACGTCGGTCAATCCGGGGATGTCCTGCTCGCCCTGCTTGACGATGCGGAGGGCAAGGACGGAGAGGTCGTTGGCGACGATGCAGCCGCGAACGGACTTTCTCCTGCGCTCGCCAGTTCGTCGAACTCGGTAGCAGGAGTGGCCGTCGGAGAGGAGGAGTCGGACACGCGAGGGGTGCATGACACCCTGCTTCATGGGGAAACCCTGCTTGTCGTTTCCACCGGTGATACGGAGGATGTAGCCCTTCCACTCGTCGCCGAGGGAGTCGGCGGGGACCTCAGCGCCCATCTATATTGGCAATCGTTAGTTTCGGTGCGTGGTTCGATCTCGATTGAAATCGGCGGGACTCGAGAGAAGACGTACGCGCTTGTCCAGGAAGATAGCGAGCTTGCGCGCATCCTCGATGTCGAGGAGCTTCTGGCTGCCGTTGGCAGGGTAGGAAATGTTCAACTGCGAGGAGAGAAAAAAAAGCTGGTCAGCGGGCAATTCCAAAGTGAGGATAATTCAAGTAATGAACTGTTGAAGGCTCGTCTGAGTGTCTTCGGTCCATTGTTTCTTACCTTCATCTTGCCAGCGGTGGTGATCCGAAACTGAAAAGTTGCCGGCTTTGAAGTTCGTTGGGCGTTGTCGAGATGATATTAAAAGAAGTTCCGCTTGGGAAAAAAGGCGGATTTCACAAGTGTGGGCTAAGGAGGTAGGGTTGGTTCAATGGAAAATATTCTTAGCCAATCAGCGCCGAGGGCGACCGTGGCGGACCAACTTCCAGGTCTTGTCGGAAAATTAATTGGAAGTTTAGCCGAGGGCACTTGCTAAAAAAAATACTTAGCTAAGCAAAAGCCCTCGATGAATTTAGGTACGTACCATTTTCGGTACCAATGATCAGATTCAAGTCAGGAAGCTTCGCGTTTTAGCTCGCGTCAATTGTCTGTTGCCGCCGGAGCAGGCATTGACAACCCTTCTATAGTGAGCCATGGTCGACGCCAAAGTCGAGCTTTATCCTCCAAATCCGGCACGGGGAGGCTCTGTGAACCCTCTCCCACCATTAATACAGACACCGTCCGGCCTCGCCTTCCTCGAACTTCAAGGATCCTTCAGACTTCCCGAGACGGTGTCTGCTGACGGATCTACTTCCTCGGAGCCGGTAACAATCGGTACAATAGACTTTCCAGGCTTTGACCCAGCGTCTCAAAATGACGGGAATACGGCGTGGATGAAAAAAGTCTACATGTACGTGGACCGAGGAATGCGCATGACCGGAGAGGTCAAGAAGCTGTCCAAGGCCGTTGTGGTTGTTCGAAAGAAGCCGGATCAACCCGAAGGTTCAGAGGCATTGGAGATCATGGAGATTGTCAAGTACAAACTGCAATTTTCAGAACGCCCGGAGCCGATTGGCAGTCGTCAATAGCTCCCCCTCGATATATTCGGCCTCGTCATTCTTAATACCGGACCCGATATCACCTCTCAATGCCGCGGACCAGCCAGGATATGGTGCTGATTTCGCGACCGAAATCAGAGCCGCGTAACATGTTCACTAAGCCGCCGCCTATGAGGATCAGGATCCTTTCCTCGAGTACGACAAGAAGGGCAGTGTACTACAACCTTCCACTCCCATCGCCTTTACGATAATGCCCGACCTGCTCATGAATAGAATACCCAACTTCGAATACACTTGTTTCAATGTTTACTTAGTATTGTCGAGTTAAAAGAAGCTTCAATTCTGTTTGATATTGGAGGTGTCGTTTAAGCGCATCGATGGTATGACTAAGAACCCTGCCCCACCGACAACTTCAATGTTCGATTTGAACTTTTTGGCGGGGGAGGGGCAATTTTTGCGATGACGGCCTTAAATCTTACAGCCTTCCAAGCTCACCTTCACCGTTAAGAGAAGTCGCCTTTTAGAATACTCCTCGTCACGAGACTTCCCCCGAAGATCATGGAGGAGGACAGAGCTCAGGTTGATCTCGGCATTGCCGCCGATATCGAGGCCGCCCAATTCCCAGAATCCACAATCCCGGCTCCCGCCCCGGCCCAAGCGGCGGAATCATCGACGCCGCCATTAAAACAGCCCAAGAAGAGGTTCATTGGGAGAAGAGCGGCGGATGCGGCAGCGAAATCCGATCAGAATGCGAGTGGTGCAGCTTCGGAAAGAACCGATGTGCAGAGTATGCGGATCTTCCCTGTGGTCTTCCCTGCGGCAAGCCCCGGATCCTTCCACTAATCAAATGCTTCAGAGGCGGGCCCGCGTAGGATGCCGCGGCTCCTAAACCAAGTCCCGAAGGACATCCTCGAGGACCCGGCCCTTAATAGCGCGATATCCCTCCTCCCATCCAATTACAGTTTCGAAATCCACAAGACGATACACAGAATCCGTACCCTAAACGCCAAGAGGGTTGCGTTGCAAATGCCAGAAGGCCTCTTACTCTTCGCGACCACCATATCAGACATTCTCACTCAGTTCTGTCCCGGCGTTGAGACGCTGATAATGGGAGACGTGACCTATGGCGCATGCTGTATAGATGATTATACAGCGAGAGCCTTGGGCTGCGATCTCCTCGTGCACTATGCGCACAGTTGCCTCATCCCAATTGATGTCACGCAGATCAAGACGCTCTATGTCTTCGTGGATATAACTATTGATACCGCACATCTTGTAGCGAGCCTAGAACGGAACTTTTCCAGCGGCAAGACCATTGCCATAGTCGGCACCATCCAGTTTAACGCGACGATACACGGTGTTAAGAAGACCTTGGAGAAGGCCGGATTTAATGTTCTTGTTCCTCAAATAGCTCCACTCAGTAAGGGAGAAATCCTAGGCTGCACATCGCCGAAACTCAGCGATGAGGATAATGTGGACATGATACTCTACCTTGGTGATGGGCGCTTCCACCTCGAGAGCATCATGATTCACAATCCCACAATACCCGCATACCGATACGACCCGTACTCCCGAAAGCTCACTCGAGAAGAATACGGACACGAGGAAATGCAGGATCTCCGACGAGACGCAATCTCCACGGCCAAAAAGGCCCGAAAATGGGGTCTTATTCTCGGTTCCCTTGGCAGACAGGGGAACCCTCACACGATGGGGCTCATCGAAAAGTCGTTGAGAGATAAGGGCATTCCTTGGGTCAATCTGCTAATGAGTGAGATATTTCCTGGGAAGCTGGCCATGATGAGCGATGTAGAATGCTGGGTGCAAGTTGCTTGCCCGAGGTTGAGTATCGACTGGGGATACGCATTCCCGAGGCCGCTGTTAACGCCCTACGAAGCTCTGGTGGCTCTTGGGGAGAAGGAGGATTGGGGTAAGGGTGTTTATCCTATGGATTATTATGGTAAGGAGGGATTGGGGCGGACAAAGCCGATAGTCGCGGCGGGATCATAATCGAAGTGGATTGTGCCAACTAGCAATGTGTTCGCCGAATCTTTTCTCGTTTCTGATGTGCTTGAGTGCTTGTGTGCGGGAGGATTGCCGAATGTGCCGAGGAGATATGGGCCGCTCCTCATTTTGCTTTGGTGGTGGTTCAGTGAATTGGGAAGTGTTGGGAAATGGTGCCGACTTCTCGTCGAATGTTACTGGGCGCAGCACCAATTGGACGAGTGCGGATATCAAGTCGAGGAAACAGAAATCACATTTTGGAATCCTTATTATGGGTGAGGGACGAGGGATGAGGAGGGACCATGCAAGACGACATCGCCATGGCCTCACGTGTTGGGGTGTCTCCTCGGGTTAGCAATAGCGTCAAGCATGGCCCAAAGCCAGGGCAATACGGCGAACTGCAGGGGAGTAGCGCATGCTACAGGTCCCTAGAAGTTCTGAATGGCATCATCCCTTCCTTCCTCTAGGGGAGAAGCCGGCAGCCTGGGGAGATGGCACCTGAAATGGGCCGACAGTCGAAAATGCTGACGGGCGACTGAGTATACCTTATAGGGAGCAAATTGCCTCCCGGTAATCGTTGACGAACGGCGGGCGCTGGTTACAGTCGGGACAAAGCCGTGATGACTCAACTTCTCTCGACATATCCAACAACAATGTACCGAATCGAACCGAGCGAAACGAAGCGAACGAGACGAATCGAGCGATACGACCCGACGACAAGAGATGTAGGCTCAACCGACGGGGGCCGAACTCTTTTTGGTAGTTGGCATTATTGAATTTAAATTTTTTTTTATTTAATTCGACGTTGTGGTGCAGAAAATGGACTGCGTTGGCGAGGCTGTGATGGTTGTGATGTTGTGTAGCCTTGTGAGAGGTACTTTGTTGGAGGACAAATGGCGAGAAAAGGTACTTAGAAATTAGGATTTGGCTCCGGGAGGTCGTTCGTTCGAAATGGGAAGTGACACATTTTTTTTCTTTACATTTTGGTGGGCGCGCCTCCAACTTTTGTAAGGAAGTAGACGACGGCCTCGAGAAGCTTAGCAACATCCTGGAGAATCCAGCGAGTTAACATTGCGGTCATTACCGCCGAGTTGAGCCAACAACCTATTGCCTGGGATGGCCCATCGCCTTACATCGGATTGGGCGAACATAAAATACAATTGTGGGAACTTCTCAACGGGAATCACAAGCATCACCACATAACAGTCTCAAGTAGCAAGAGATATATATTAAATGCCAAAGAAGCCCCAAGTATGGTCCCTCCAAAACGCCAATCCATGTCCATTGAGCGAGCGACCCAGCCGTAGACGCTCGCTGAGAGAAAAGGAAGAACCAGACTCTGCCAGGAGAGTTTGAGTTCAACATTCCGTGCAAGCAAATGATCCATCGACGGAAAAAAAAAAAAAAAAAAAAAATTCCTCAACACTTCACCAACACTTACAGCAGATCTCCACAACAAGCAAGGCACCGCAGCTTTCAAATATTGTTTTCTTTTTTTCCCTTGCAAGTTCCAAATGATACATACTTCTGGGGCTTGTTACCTTCAGCCCGCAGTTCCTCTAGACAGCGCTGTATCCTCCTCTGCTGCCGGACCCCTGCACGGTGTTGAGGACGCTCCGAGTCCAATCCTTCATGAGGTAAGGGATGTCGCGGATGGCATCGCCGTGGGGAACGAGGTCCCAGCCGCGGGCTCCGTACCTGTTGTAGTTGAGCCACGAGCCGAAGATGAGGTAGGCCGCAATGCCCATGAATACGCTGCCACGACCCGTAGTTAGCTCTCAATCTGACCGAATTCGAAGGGAAACGATAAGAAGAAGGGGAAAGTAAAGGAGAAAGGACTAACATGACAACAAGCCAAGTAAACAATCCCCAGCTCGCCGAACCCTGGTCATAACCACTCTCGCAAGCATGACTCGTCCTCCACTCCAACCTCAGCGTTTCCCAATCCGAATCCGTCTCCTTCCCATAACTAATAAACTTCAACGCCGCACCATCCTTCATGAGCTGCTTCTCCCCATCATCCCTCTTCCTCCGCGTCTTCCCCTCTTCATCTTGACCACCCTCCTCGTCGTACTTGTCATCCGATTCCCACTCGCCCTCATTGCCCTCCTTCTCAGGATCGCAAATAAACTCGATCACGGCCCGCTGGCGCGTCTGCTCCTTGTGCGGCACGTCGAGGGGATACGCTCCGCCCTTGAGGATGAGCCGTAAGCCCTCCTGTCGGGAATCCGAGTTGGAATCGCTCGTCTTTAGGCGCGCGGCTTCGTAGTCGAAGGCGAAGGCGCCGTGGTCTTGGAGGGCGCCGGCTATGGGGACGACTTTTCGGACTACGGCCTTTTGGCCGCCGTCGTCGCTTTCGTTGTAGGTTCTTTGTATAGCGCAGACTATAAGAAGTAAGAGCGTTAGCTTCACTCAAAGAAAGCCTTGTTTTTTCTTGTTCTGTTCTTACCTCTCGTGCCGTTAGGACACTGCTCATCCTTGGGCGCATCCCCAGACTTCTTCAGCGGCTTACAAATATCCACTGTATACGTCGTATTGGTATAGCTTGGCGGCTCCCTCAAGGTCGTCACGACCGAGTGCGGTCCCCCGAGCTTTTCGAGGTTGAAGCTAAACCCGTCCACCCGGATGTTTTCGCAGTGTAGTAGAGCCGTCGAGGTTGCGGTTACGGGGGCTAGTAGGAGAGAGAGGAGGAGGGCGGTTTGAGCCCGAGCGAATCGTGGTATCTGCATGTTCTTTTTTTTTTTTTCTTTATTCCTTGGCGAGGGTGTTTCGTTTGTTTTCTTCGTTTCGGACGGTTCTATTCGGAACTATGAGATGTCGAGGCCTTGCAGTGGAATCGAATCAAGGGTGAATGAAAACGAGGTTGGAGTTCCGACGGGTTGAGAAAGAAAAAAAGTGTTGGATAAGCTGCGACATGCAGCGGGAGAAGAATACGACGAGGTTGGAACCACAGGAAACAGGTCGATGAGAAGAAGGAAAAGTAAAAACGATTGTAAGACGTCCAGTGCTTGAGGCAAAGCTTCGTGGGGATGATCGAATCGAAGATGGAATGACCGGAACGTCGCAACCAGCTGACAAGCTCTCGAGATGCGGACGTTGGTTGAACGGATGCAGTAGCAGGTCACACTTGGCCGCACTTGACCTGGCCAAATGAGTAAAGTGTCGTCATCGTCTGTGGTCTGGGCGGAAGATCCCGTCACAATCCAAAGGGCACGTGACCGGGTCGCGAGGTACAGTCACTGTTCGAAATACCTCGGTGCTTGCACAACGTCTCTGTTGTCTACTTCGTAAACTCTCAACAACGAATATGCAGATAGGAGATGGTTTTTCTTTGGAAACTGGGGGAAGCTTCACAGACGCAAAATTCCTAGGTCTAGATCAGATGAGATGGAATCAAGGACACCAGAAGATATGGACTTCGAAAGGACTGGGATGTGTTGGCGGTCCTGTCAAACTGCAGAGAATAGTCTCGACGTATTCCCAAAAATTAAGCATCACTTACAAGCCTCACACCAACACCTGCATCTCAACATCCAGATCAGATCACATTATGGCTGCCTAGCATACACCTCACACCGAAACCGAGATGTCACTCACACACACCGCAAAGTCGTAAATCCTGCACATCAACTAGATATTATATTGGCTGCCTAGAAGATGCTAACAACGGGAGAGGACCACCCGTCCTCCCCCAAGGTCCCGAGTCCAGGAACGTCAAACCAGAAAAAACCAAGCAATCCGGCCGTTAAAACGGGAGGAAAAACCAGACAAACAAAGAATAAAAAGACCCTTGCTCTCCCTCATCCTTTGCAAAAAATCCTAAAACCATATAAACTGTTTCGAGAGGGAAAGAAAAGAAAAGAAAAATTAAGAAAAAAAACGACAATGCATCTCCTCGTTTGATTACACAAAGTCCCTTTCTTCCCTTGACGCCGAGTTTTTGTTGTAATGTCTCATTGGAACCCCGATGCAGAAAACCGCGAGAGAGAAAAAAAAAAAAAAAAAAAAAAAAAAAAAAAAAGAACGAGGAAATGAGGAAAGAGGACAGCAAAAAAAGAAAAAAAAAGCCAAGTCGAATCGCCAAAAAGGGGCCTTCCCTTCCAGTCGCCTTTGAAAAATCCTAGCCATACCAGCCAAGTTCCGCCAAACCCTCCGAACAAGACCAGGGGAAAAAAAAAGAAAAAGAAAAACAGAAGACAATCCGAGTAGTAGCAAGTATCCTGCCCAGAGTCTGACGCGAGAGAAAATAGTCGAACCGAACGGAAACACGGGGCGTTATCACAAGATGGGTTGTTGAAGAATACAACCAAGCACGAAAGAAAAAAGAGTATGTGGGTATATATAAGCAAAAAAAAGAGAAAAAAGAGGAAAAGAAGAAGAAAAAGATCCAACCACCCGGTACCGTTCCCCCTCTCCAAATACACGGAAAAGCATCTTACATCCCCTGATGACCGCCCATCATCCCCTGCTGCATAGCCATCTGCTGTTGAGCCTGCGCATGAGCCTGCGCCTGAACCTGAGCCTGCTGCATCATCGCCTGCTGCACCCTCTGCTGGTTCACCTGCTGAACGACTTGATTCCGCGCCTGCTGCATGCACGTCTTCTTGAAGTTCTCCAGCGTATCGCCGGGGATGCTCTCGACGGTGCCGCCGAACTTGGCCGCGAGGTTGGCGATGTTGGTCCTGTACAGGTGCTGGCCGCGGGCGCGGATCTGCTCGTTGAGCTGGTTGTTCTGGTTCTGCTGCGCCGCTTGCTGTTGCTGTTGCTGCATCTGGATCATGGCCGCCTGCATATTGACGGCGTTGGCGCCGTTCATCATGTTCTGGTGCGGCATCATCTGCTGTCGTCCCATCTGCGCGCCCATCTGATTGACCTGGTTCATCTGACCCATCTGACCCATCTGCGCGTTCATTTGCGCGTTCATCTGGTTCATTTGATTCATCTGGTTCATCTGGTTCATTTGGTTCATCCGAGCCATTTGCGCCTGGAGCTGCGCCTGCATCTGAGGCGAGAGCTGTCCTTGCATCTGGTTCATCGATTGGGCGTACTGCTGCGCGAGCTGCTGCTGCGTGTTCATCATGCCATTACGTTGCTGCTGCAACAACAACTGTTGAAGTCGCTGCTGCTGAAGGACCTGCTGCTGCTGCGGCGTAAGGGGATTGGCCATGCCGCCGTTTTGCATCGCCTGAGCCATCTGCTGCTGTTGGGCTTGTAGCAAACGCTTCTGCTGCGCCGCGAGTTGCGCCGCGATGGCATTTTGCTGATGGATCTGCTGCGGCATGCCTTGGTTTATCATCATCGGCGTGCCCATCTGGGAGCCCTGGGCCATCATGGCAGGAGGAGGACTGGCCTGGGACATGCGAGGCGTCTGGATGACAGCGGGACGGTTGATCGGCGTCGTGTGCGGCATATTTGGTGTGCTGTTGGGCATGCGAGGAGTACCGGCCGCATGGCTTTGTTGGCTACCACGAGCAGACATACCGCGAGACATGGGAACGGCCATCGGAGTATGATTTTGCACAACCGAAGGAGGCCTCGGAGGGCTTGCTGCTGCCATGCCGGAATTTTGCTGCTGCATTGCCACAGCTCCAGGCATAGGTGACGACATCGAATGGGGCGTACCTTGCCGTATAACCGGAGAGGAGACCTGGGGTTGTTGTTGCGCAACTTGCTGGTGGAACCTGGGCGTAGCTTGCGCAGCCTGCATACCATTTGGGTGGGGGACGTTGGCCGCAGCATTGGCAGCGGCCGCGTTGACCGGGGTCGGCTTGTTGGCGACGGGAGTGGCCGCTTTCGCCGCAGCTTTTGCAGCAGCCGCTGACTTCGCGGCGGCATTCTGCTGCTGCTGTTGTTGTTGCTGTTGTTGTTGCTGTTGCTGTGCCTGTTGCTGTGCCTGTTGCTGTGCCTGTTGCGCCGCCAGATTCTTGGCCTGCTGTTGTTTCTGTGCAGCGGCGACCTTGGCCTGGGCCTGAGCAGCCATTGCTTTCCTGCGCGCTTCTTGCTGTTGCTGCTGCTGCTGTTGCTGTTGTTGCAGCAAAGCCTCGCGTTCTCTCCGTTGCCTCTCCATCTCGGCCGCCTGTCGCTGAGCGGCGACTTGCTGGTCGTGCAGCTGCTGCTGTTGCTGGCGCTGCAGTTCCAGACGCCTCGCATTTTCCGCCTGCTTGATCCTCTCTTGCTCCTTCTTCTCGGCATGCTCTCGTTTGATGTCGGCAATGACCTGGAACCGCTCAAACCGGGGTTCGAACGCAGCTGCTCCACCGTGGATATCGCCGTCGCCACCGCCAGGAGCACCCTGAGTGCCGTTGGCATTGGAGGCCAGCCTCTCGTCGAGAAGAAGCATGTAACGCTCTTGGTCGGCAATGAGGGCCTGATCAGCAGCCATTTCCGCAACAGTCCGCTTCCGCGCCTTGGGTTGCGGTGGCGGCTCGGAATGCATGGGATGCGCCTTGGCCTCAAGTAAGGCCATGACCTCCTCGGCATTCCTGGCAGGTTCTAGCATCAAGGGAGCCATGGTATTTACCAAGTACTCGCCCTCGACAGCGTAAATATTATTGCCGTCAAGTTCCATGCGCTCCCGCTTTTGCTTCTTTGCAGGCGGGGGCATACTTGCCGAGGCGGCGGCGGCGGAGGCGGGTGGTGCCGCAGTAAGGGGAGTGGACGGGGGCGCACCATCCTTGGTGTCCGACGATGACCGAGGGGTCGACGCTTTTATTAAAAGATCGGTCTGGAGACTTTGAGCCGTAGGATGAAGCACTACGGTGAATGTCTTGGGTTTAGGTGGCGGTTGACTTTTGGCTTCTGTGGGCAGCGCTGGCGCAGGCATAGATTGTCTGTCCTTGTCCTCGGCTGCTTTCTTCTCCTTTTTCTCTCCATCAATAGTGGGCTCCGCGTCCGTTTCAGTCTTGGGTTCGTTTTTAGGGTAGGGTGTTGTTGTCGAGGGTGTGAGGTATGGGTTGTAGTTATGGATTGAGGAGACGGGGGTGGTATTTGCTCCGGCAGTAGTCGGCTTCGGAGCATCGTTGGTTTGCGCGACAGACTTGTGGTCGTGGACCTGGACGATAAGACATCCTTCGTAAAAAGACACACCGGCTTGCGTAAGTTGTAGTAGGATTTCATGCGGTACTGTCCTTGCCCTGAGATGTTCGAGAAACAGTTTCATGGGCGACTTGTAGGGGAACACGCCGTCCTGTTGGTCGAACTTGAAATGCGTCGCGTGCATGTGGACGATGAGTGACGGCGGGCTGCCGGCATACTTTTTAAGAATATACTCATCAGTCACAACTAGAGACGTACAGTGTTAGCGATAACGCAAAGAAGAAAAAAAAAATCACAGCAAGTTATGCCATATGGCTGGCAATGGCATACTGTAAGGAGGAGGTTCCGCAATCGGCGGAAACATCACGTCGGCAGCCAAAGACGCCGACCTCAGACCAGCACTATTCCTAGAACTCCGGCCCGTGAGCTGGGCTGAAGGCTCGCGACGGGCCCTGCTCTGGGGTCTCGCGGTCTGCTGCGCGCCGGCGTTGGCGGCATTGGTCGCGGAATTGGCATTCTGCTTTGCGCTGTTCGGGGGTTTCTTGGCGGACATTGAAGGTGAGGGAGATGGCGATGGACGCGAGGGACCTGATCCGTTCGTCTGGATGCCCGGAGGGATTGGCCGCTTGACCTTCCCCGTGGGCATCGGAGGCTGCACAGCCGTGATGACTGGCGCCATATCGCTAGATCGGTGGCCGGTCGCTTCCGCCTATGCAAGGGAATGGCCAGCGACAATGGCTCCTCCTCGATTCGGTTCCTCTCTATAGAAAACAGAAGAAGAAAAGGTGGCGAAAATAGATTGTCTAGGGCGAAAACATCGGTCGACCGTGTTTCTTGACGAGGGTCGAATGCGATAGTTCAAAGGTCGGGATAGACGAAGATCGGGTGGCGCATCAAAAGGATGAATCGAAAGGAAATTCCCAGCCGGAGACCAAAGAAACAGAAGTGGTAATCACTGATGAATCGAAATTAATCTAAAATATGTGTAAAAAGAATGTCGGAATGATGCCCAGAGCGAGAAGTTGATGGCGTTCGGTGTGTGGGGTTAGAGGCGTGTAGTGGTAGTCATGAACCTTCTTGCAAGGGGTCATCTGCTTCTGGACAATCCTCGCGTCAGCCTTTGGGTGCCCAGAGAAAGACGGCGTGTCACGTGACTTGTGCTCAAGGAACGACGAGGGCATCTTTTCCGATTTGAAGCAGATGAAATCGAGGTGAACAAGCGACCTAGTCTAAACTAGTTACTGGACTTTCAAGGCTCTATCTCATTTGCAAACTGCTGATGTTTTATTAGCTTTTTACCTGCGATGGCTCCGAGGTGAAGACTCTGCCGAGGAGCGGAGGAGGCCGGACCTCTGGTCTCTGAATTAATTTGATAGTGAGCACTGACACCTCGGTGAGAAACAAGACAGAGAACATAGAACAAGTCACGAAATATATTCAATCCCCAAACCACTCCCCAATTCCATAAAAAAATGAAAAAGAAAAAGAAAAAAAAAACCAATGGGGAAATAAGCGTAACATACAAACAGGTAACGACAAAAGTTCCCTCCCCCTAAAATATCAATGCATTAAAGTCCCGTCATCATCATTCAATTGCCTGTGTACATGATACCTCCAGGTCTCTCTCTTCCTCTCTTTTCCTCTCTCTTCCTCTTTCTCTCCATCTCTACTCATAGCCCTGCACCCTCTTCGCCCAATCATCCGACACCCTCATACTATCGACAACAACCACCCCCCTTCCACGACCGACTCTATCCTCCCGCTGCCACCACCTCTCCTCCTTCTCCTTCGTCTCAGCCTCCGATTCGCTATCCGCAAGGCCGCCGTGACCGCTCTCGGCGCCGACGACGAGGACAAGATCGTAGCGGAGCCAGGTCTGTACCTGCGTAACGACAGATCCGTTCTCGCCCGAAAGGGATTCCTGTAGGTAGATGATCTCGGGTTGGAGGTGGCGTAGGATGTGAACGTGGCCGTTGCGCGTCGTAAAGGGGAGGACCATGGTTTCCTTTTCGACGAGGGAGAGGGCCTGGGAGTAGACCGAGTTGAAGGCGGGGTTGCCCGACGCAGGGTTTAGTCTAGAGAGCACAGTTAGAGAGACCGCAAACGGGTAGCTTTCCTAGAGTCTGGAGATGGTTTGGCAAGAACGTACGCTGGACTCTTGGAGCCCTCGGTCGGTTGGGCTTGTTCATGACCGATGTTAGAAAATGAAGAGCTCAAAGAAGGAGCCTGATTGTTACCCGTCGTGTCCAGATTTCCACCATCCTTAAGACCGGGCGCGTAAATAAGAATATACAGCTTCGTCCTCGAAAAATCAATGTGCTTGGGCAAATGAGACAGGATAGTCTAGTTTCCCAGGAAACAAGTCAGTATTGGGGGTACCTCGGGTATTCAGCCCACACTCTACCCCCACTTACAGCATGTTCGAAGTCGTCATCACCTAGATCCTCAACATGAGAATCCGCCGAAACCACAACCGCAACAGTCCTTCTCTTCTTCCCTCCTTCCTTACCCGCCGCCCCCGCAGTCGCAGCCCTCTCCTGCTTCGCATCTGCCTCCTCCGACCATGTCTCATGATCCGCATAAGCCGTCTTATCCTCCTCTCTTATCGCCGACAGCGCCGTTCCCACAGCCGCGCCGGCCGCAGCGACACCCGCCACCACCGTCTTGCTCGCCGAACCAAACATCTGCTGAGGGCTAGGCGTGCGCCGCAACGCGCCGCCGATCCTCGAGCTCCACGTCGGCGGATCCGCCGACTCGTCCACCACTCCCGTCTTCATGTCCCTCGACGACGCGCCGCCTCCACCATACGACGGATCGGGTCCCGAGGGTGGTCGTCCTCCGCGCCCCTGGTTGTTGTCCACACCGCCGTAGTCGAGACCATCGTGCTCGTCTTCATCGTCATCGGTTTGGCGCTGGCTCCATGCCCAGGCTGCGACGCCTGCCGTGGCGACGGCGACCGTGATGGCGAGGGGAACCCAATGAGTTAGGAGGCCGCTTCGGCGGCGAGACGATCCGTTGTTGTCGCGGGATGACATGGTGTCGCTAATGTCATTACCTTTTTTTCCTTTCCCGACCCCCGAGGCGGGAAATTTCTTTGGGTATTAATCCGGGGCTTTTATTTTTTCCCGAGGTGGGTTCTGGGCGAACTTGACAGGGCCAGGAAGTGTACAGAGTCGCGGCCCAATGCTTTCGATTTCGCTTTAAAATATTGGTCGCTCCACTGCCGTATCCCGTTTTCCGCGTTGAGCCAGTAAAACTGGAAAGTTCGGCGAGAATTGCTCTGGGGATTAGAGAGAGAGGGGAAGAATGATCGATGGTCGAGGAGGGTCAATGTGTCGTGAGACGACCCCTTCCAGTGCTGCGGTCGCGTTCAGCCCCCTTGGTTCTTGGTGGCTGGGACGGGGCCTTGGACCATACCCACATGCCAGACCTTACCTAGGTCTGTGTGTACCTTGTCATTTCCAGTGTTGTTTGCGGAATGTTGACCGAGGTAGCGTTGTTTTCATTGGTTGTCAGGTGGATTTAGGGACCTTTGAACCGAGGAAAGTCCGCACCTTCCTTGATTTGGGATCACGGGATTTACAACCCAACAACCAGGATCTCGGCATTCTTCAACCACCAATACGAACGATTCGAGGAGACGACGGACACCAGAGAAATGATCTCCGTCATCCACAACAACTAAAAGGCATATTTTATCCTAGATGAAATGCGAAGAGCCAGGCGTCCAAGACGACGACTTCGTTTTGCTGTCTCTCACTCCGAGCTCTCCTCATCTCACCCAGCAGGTTGGCAGAGATTACATTTGGTTTCAACAATGACACAAGTGGACTTTTCCATGGGGGTTTTAAATTTTCCATTAGACCACTACTGCCAAACAGAAGTAGTGAAGGAGATGCAGGTCATCAAGTTCATAATAATACATGCCATCGTAGCCCTATGCCTCTTTACCTTTTCTTGACCGTAACCCTAAACATCCTATGAGACAAACATGCCAAATTCCTCCAACATTGTAAACCGTCAAAGAAGAAGGGGAGGGGAAAAAAAAAGAAGAAAAAAAGAAAAAAAAAGAGTAAAACACGGGAAGAAAATCGAGCGAGTTCGGTAGCGGGAAGTCAATGGGGGCCAAGGCCGGAACCTAAGAACCCCGTCGCTCATGGACTAGTCAAGTCCGTTAGCGGCCCGGGGACGACCCACATCACTACATCCACTGCCGATTCGTCGGTCTCGGAGGAGGCACGAATCGCTGCGTCCAAACCTGCGGGCGTCGCGGGGCTTGATCCGGCAAATGCACATGCCTCTCCCTCTCCCTGTCTCTAGTCAAGCTCATCTCCTGCCGCGGTTCCGGCAAGTTGAATTCAACCGTTCCTCTAATCCGGTGATCAACCGCATTCTGATTTCGCGTGGCTCGCGGCGCTCGCTCCATGACCTGCGGGGCCCGGAATCCTCTAGGTCTTTGCTCAATCGCCTGCTGCTCTCGTTGCTCTCGGGCGCGGAACCTAGACGGCATCGGGGTCGGAGCATACACATCGTCATCCTCAAACCAGCTTTCGATGGGGGCCATGGCAGAGCCAGGCGGCGTCCGCGCCATTTGCGACAGCTGCAGCGGGACCGATGGGGGCGGCAGGGGCTGTTGTGCCAGAGGCCTGCGCATTGGCGAGGCAGCATCGCCGCGCATCTCAAGAAGCCTGTCCATTGCGGCAGATCTAAAGGGCGCGGGTTCGAACTCCTCCATAAGTAAATTATGCAAATGAGGTCCGGGAAGAGGAGGGGCAGGTAGAGGCGGGGGTTCGACTCGGGGACGGATGACAGGAGGGAAGGCGGCGGGCGGCAAGGCAGGAGGCTCGTCATTTTCCAATTCATCGAAGAAGAATGGATTCGTGTGGTGCTCGGGACAGTTAGGCTTGTGCTCGCACGCGAGAATGCCGACATTGTCGAATTGCCAGGGTTCGCGGCAGTGATAGCACCATTGGTGTCCACAGTGGCCTATGCAGCCGTGTTAGATTCACGCGGCGTCGTGTATTTTCCAGCGAGCTTGAGTTCCAACTTACACGTCATGTGGTTGCAGCCGACAAACTTGATAATATTGCGTTTGCAGCGTGGGCATTGCTTCGAGATTTCTTTGACCGTTGCTTCCGATGCCTTGTCTTGCTTGACCTTCGAGGAGTTCCTCTCTTCGTATTCCCGGCAGGTGAGCCCCTCGTGCCACTTCACATCGTGGAGGATGCACTGCCTTCCTTTGCAGCTATGGCACTCGAAGAGTGTCTTAGGGCAAGATGAGTTGTCCGATTTTCCGCTCGGAGCATGGACTTGGCCAGATTCGCAACCCTTCGAGAGACACCAATGGAAGTTTGGGATGTTGTTCAGCACCTTCTTGGTGATAAGCATATCATACCTATCGCACCAAGTTAAAAAAAAGAAGAAAAAAAAAAGTTAGACAATTTGTTTTTTTTTGAAGTTTAGAATTCGGAGACGGATGGTGGGCAGTAATACCTTTCGAAGATGTCCTTCTTAGCGTGGGTTTTGATATCGCCAAACTCCATGGGTTCAGCACAGGTAGGGCAGTTGACCCTTTCCCAGCCATTCATCTGAAGGCAGGATGGGATCCAATGTTCGAGACACTTGATGCAGACCCTCGGCTTATGGGTGCACAGCTTTGTTACCTGGTTGGCCATCTCGTCGTCTCGCTTCTGTTCCATACAGATAGCACACTTGTAAATGATGGGGGCCAACCAGCTTTGTTCCTCGGCAAAAGTCTCGGCCACACGAGCAGGAACGCTGAAGTCTATGGTCGAGGCCCACGGCACAAGAGAAGAGTTATCTTCGAGAGTAAGGTACCAGTCCATTATGGAAATGTCGGAAATGTCGATGTCGACCTTGCTCGAACATTTCACATGGACACCTGTAAGAAGGATGTCCTTCAACCACTGTTTGACCTTGCCCACAGTCGTTCCCTCCTTGTTAGAGCTTGACGATGACGGATGATAAAGGTACTGCTTGGCACAGCCGCGCAGAACCACGTAGCGACGTTCCGGGGCTATCTCGATCGTGATATCGCGGCAAAGCCATTTTTGAACCCGGCGGATTTCCCAGTGTCCGCCTTCCAGTGGACCCGGTCGCATGCCTCCACTAGCAGAAATGACGACGACATTCGGATCAGGGAGGCCCAGCTTGTTGGAAATTTTATTCCTTAGACCATCTACGGTCATACCGGTTGAGATTTCGTCGAGCAGAGGAATCCTCATCTTCTCGAACATCATGGCGCACTTTTTGTTAGGCGAATCGAAGGTCAAGCGTGGGGTCAGGTCTCCTGGTGTTTCGTAGGAAGGATAGACTCGGAATTGTATCAAGCTGGGTGGTAGCGACAGATCGTCATCGCAAAGGGGCTCTCCATCTCTGTACAGTAGGATGGTATCGGTCTCTTCGATATCATCTGCCAGATACTGGCGCAGGGCTTTCTCCACCTTGGAAATCCGCGCACCCAATCGCAGTCTCGCAGTCATCGTCGGCAGTGTGTCGTCAAGGTCTTCGATGTTAACGTCCACCTTCTCGGAACGAAATTTGACCAATTGTGTCCCGTCGGTGGGTTCTGGTTCACCAGCGCGGGCAGCACCATTGGTGCCTCCCACTCGTACATGTCTACCTGCTTCCATGGCGGCATCTATGTACTGTATTGAGTCTTGGAAAAAGAACAGGGCGACGTTCCATTTAGGCCAAGAGTCGGCGGGAATGCAGGACTGTAGACAGCTCGCGCGGGGAGGGTGTAACGAGGGTATTCGATATCGGAAGAATTTGGGGGGGGACGTGGTAATGACAGAGCTGACGGAAAGGGAGAAGGCGAAGACTGCCAGGGAGAAAGTAGAAGAAGCAGGTGAAAGGTCGGCCGAAAGCTCGCGCGACGCGATATGTACCCGGGAAGGAGCAGTGCTGAGGGGAGAGAATCACCACTTGCCAGGCTTGTGGTTCAAGAATCCAGGCCCCTCAGCGGGGCAAACAGGTGGTCCGTCCTTGTCAAAATATTGGCAGGAACCAGACAACTGGCGGTCAGGATTGTCGATAAACCAAGGTTGCCCAGAAGGGCTCGAATGATGTTGGAAAAAGGCCCCGGTGAAGTTAGAACCCCAATCGGCCAGAAAGTCCGCGTGGTTAACTATCTAATGAACTATCGCCGAGGGGGGTCAAGGACTTGCGGTAAGTCGCGCTCGATATCGCAGTCTGTTTCCGACAGTCCAGAGTTTGTTCATTTGTGGGAAGGGAGGGAAAAATAAAACAAAATAAAAAGGGTCGCGAAAGTAGGCCGCTCTTTCTCCAACTTGTGAGACGTTGGGAGTCGCTGTAAGCACAAGTCTGCTGCGGGGGGTGTTGGTTTGAGTTAAATCGCCTTCCTCTTCATCTTGCGACGGAATCAAAATCTCTTCTGTTACGTTTGCCAGCTGAAGAGGGAAGAAACAGTCAGGGAAAGAGAGACTCGTCAGACTCGTCACATCGTCACTCCAATCAGTGTGCGTTGTGGGCTAATGGATGCATGCAGGAAACGCTGAGATGTATTGAGTGGTTCAGCAAAGCGGGGGGCAGCGCACATGCATACTCAAGTCATCCATTGTGAGGCAGGCGTTACGGCGCTCCAGTTGAGTCGAACATCGTTTCCAATCACGAATCGGATGGACGCCGTAGCCAGTCCCGGCTGCAACTGCCCATATCAATCCCGTCACGTGTCCAGGGATTGATGACTCGAAGAAGTCGAAAATCAATCGAGAAGGAGTGATCTGAGATCCATCAAGTTCTAGATTACTTGTGAACTGGATTTCTTTCACGAGGCTTCTCGCTCTCGTTACATTTTCCTAGAGTCCCGTCAACATCCGAGTCCACTAATCTACTCTATTAGGCCAATCAATTAAGAATACGAGATTAAGCGCACTCTCTCCTTCGGCCTCCAGCCAGCTTGCTTCAAGGTCTGCTTGGAAACTCAAGGTCACCAGCACATGTTAAGACCTTCTACTCGGAAAGAAATAGCGCCGTATCGCTTAGCGACGAGTCTATTTCTTCGCGGTCTCGGAAACCGACCCTTGGGGATAGCGGGACGAAACAAACGCGAGAAATCTGGTAGAAAGATTGTGCACTATCATTGCTCTATCGCAGGAAGAGGAAACAGAGGAATCGCAGACAACCCCCAGCTACCTAACTCTGTCCCAACTCCCAGAAGCCTAAGTGCAGATGTCGACCTTTTTCCCTAAGAACGAGTGGCCAAGATACATTTCGTTGGGGACCGCATCCATTTGTTAAATTCCACCACCCACCACCGATGACACTATGCCAAACTCAGGAGGGAACGAATACAACAAATACGGGTGACTTGGGCTGTGGGGGCACGAACGACCTCGAACGGTACCTAGTTCCTCCCTAGAGAAGGCTAGAGAGAAGACTTATGTGAGGACAAAAAGGGTCAACCAGTCGCAAATCCTCCAACGCAACTCTCCCGTCTAAAGAAAGAGTGACAGATCTCTCGTGGGTGGAAAGAGGAATCTTCCTTCATGGTCCCCAATAACGCCATCTCGTGAGGAGAATACGGTCGCTCGGCCTCAGTTTTCGCTCGACGATATTCAAAATGTCGTCTCGATTACGGAGATGCCTAAGCCGGGGAACCCCAAGATGCTGATGCTTGAATCTAGGCAGCAGGTGGTGACGTTGTAGCTTGTAACCCATCCGAGTGGGAGCGAAATCGTCCGTACAGAAGCAGAGTTCGATTCCCCACTGCGACCAGTTCATGCTATAGGGCACGATGTATGGCTCGACAAGATGTCGCTGAAAACAGCGGAAGCATCTCACGTATGGAGCCAACAACGGCCTCATTTCCGTAGCAAACTGCCGCCTTGCGTTCCCGGTAAGACGGCTAACGCGCGCCTGGTCTTCTTGCAAAGCCCATCGCGCGGCTCGACAGGTCATAGACAGTGAGAGTCTGCCAGTCAGAGGCACATGCTCCATGATCATATCAAACAACTGTATTGGCAGATGGAGGAGATGGGGCGTGTCGCCGTTCGAGGTTGGGGGTCGTGCGGTTGTTGACATCTCGTTCCTGGTACGCAGTAGTCCGATTTGGGTTGAATTGGGTAAGAACACTGAGGATTACCTTGGACGAGGAAGCGGCGCAGCTCTCTCTGATGGGTTTTATAGTGCTTGGGAGAGGAGAGGAAGGGTGCCTTCTCACCAGTAGTTTGAACTCTCTCGAATAAAGAAGTAAAGAAAATACTCGTCCCTTTCATGGAACTGCCAGAAATATCAATTATATGCTGTGGGGGGGATAGTTAGACCAGGTGAGGTGAAACAGTGGTGATGAAGAGCAAGCCTTTGTCTTCTGAAACCTAGTAGACCCTACCTCTTCAACAGGCATCTCCCCGGGACTGCCGTGAATAGAAGCATACCAGGCAGCTTCAATATCATCTTCAGGATCTCGGCTCACTCTTCTTCACCAGGAGCCTAGGTGTTTCTCAAGGGATGGAGATTTGAAACTCCTCGGCCAGGCAAGTGAGGATGAAATCTAATACGAAAAGGGATCGTACCTCCGAGAAAGCCAAAGAAAGTAGGTTCATTAGAATATGCCCCTTTCTCTAGGATCTATATCGTTCTTGATCCTCCGCCAACGAGTTTTATATCTGCCCTGTTTCATCGGCTCGATACGCTTATTCTTATTCCCGACGATACGGTTCCACTCGCTCCGATAATCAATATTCATGTTGAGCGGGATCATATTCCTAGCCCGCAGCTCCACATTTAGAGCTGCAGAGAACTCAAGTCCTTTTACCTGCAAGTCGCCAAAGTCGATATTCTCCTCTCCCCATGCCTCGTCCAAGTCCATACCATCGATAAAGTCGGCTACGTCAGCACGATTCTGCGAAACCAGTAACGCCCGGGCAAAGCACGACATCTTGGGATAGAGGATGCCCTTCATGCTAACCTCGCAGTTCTCAGGTCGGGGATCGATAAAGTACTGCGATGAGGGTGTAAGAATGAAAAAGAAGCCAACGCTCTTCACCTTGAAGATGGGGTAAAGGTGGCGTAAAGTGTCCCACACAAGATGAGGCGGCTCGGCGGGCTCGTATTGATCGTTCTCGGCAAAGAGATGCTCCGCATCCTTGAGTTGATGGTGCGGGACACAGATATCCCATTCCTGAGAGGAGTTATTTAGTATTTTAATGCAGCCCTAACGCGTGATTGAAACTAACCCATGAAACTCTTGCGGCACCGTAGTAACGCAAGGCATGGACACCAACGACGCAAGCCGGTATACCAGCTGTGCTAAGAAGCTGGATAACTCCACGGGCCTCGTCCACACCTTTTGCAGGGCGCCCCGTGTTTATTCTAAGACCAGGCAATACATCCCTAGCCGAGACTGGGGCAGACCCTGTGATCTTGGAGGGCTCTTGCTTGTCTACGTCTGCGGCTGCTCCTTCTTTGGTCATGCTTAGCGCACTACCCATAGTCGCCGCCGCAAGGCGACAATTTAGAGAAGGTTGTGAACAGAAGGTAGCGCGGGACGATTTGAGATGGCAAAGCGGGTGGGTGGATGGGAAAGTATGAGTAGAGCTCTGATACCGTTTGTCGAATTTCATCAGGCATCGAGGTCGTCGCGCCAATTAACAGCGCCGAATCTTATACGCTACGTTTACTTTCTTGCTTGCTCCAACACTTAATACTAATTGGCGCTTGTTATAGAATTTAGCAGCATTTGACTGTCACGGTCTCAACTAACTGCTAGCCAAGGTAAATAAATGATCAATCAAACTTTGAGAGGTTCAAGTTATTGACAGCTTCCCCGAGACTCTGCCGCCTAATTATTGATGAGCTCTCAAGCAGGCGCTGCCTAGAACCTAGAACAACATGCTGTCACACAAAACCATTCGGTCCTATCATTGATCCCCATGGACTGGACAATACGAAGGTACAACTGCACCTTCTGGAGGCAGGGTATGAGGGTTGCTGGCCATCCTCTCTGTCTTCCCTATCGGACAACAACATCAGACATCCTCAGTAGCCGTCACATTCCTGGCAATCGGCCGTTATATCCACAGTTCCATTATCAAATCTTGAGACATCATCTCAAGTTTTCTTATCCTTTTTCTCCGACAGATTGTCATGCCTTCCTACACACTCGAAGGTCTGGATGACCTGGAAATGAGCGCTGAAACTGCTACACCGGAAGATCAGAAGGTGGCACTGGCATTTGTAGTTGGGATTCTCGAGGATATACCCATCGGTTATGGCGTTATGGGAGGGATGAACTTCCATCTGCGAGGTTCGGGGCGCACGACTACTGATATTGACATTGCTATTGACAATTCGCCCCGTATGCGCGATCTCCTGAGAGTCTTCGATAGCGAAAAGTATCATGAAAGGTCAGTGCTGAGCGCGTATTAACGTGTGTGCCGAGTTCTCTAATATGTAGTAGTATCTACTGGCCTGCCAGCCCAATCCAATATGCCTCTGGCGTCGCGAGGATCTTCGTCCAAGTCGACAACGGCGAAGATGGGCAGCTGGCGCAGCTTGACTTCAAGCCCAAGGGTGCTGAAGGCCATCAGATACCCGATGATATTCCAGCTTCTGTTGACAGAGTCACAATAAATACTAGGAATGGTGCCTTCGAATGCAATCTACTATCCATTGGCCCACTCGTGCGGTCTAAGATCAAGGCCCACCATAATCGGGAGGTAGAGAAAGACTACAATGACCTGGTATTCGTTTGCTGTCATCAAGATTATGCACCCTTAGTTAGGCAGGCTGCAGTGTCGTATGAAGAGACGTGGAAGGAATTCCTCCTGGAGAAGGTGATGGAGAATAACCCGGAATCAGAGTCTCAGGTTAGGTGGGCCCTCGACTTAGAAGCTGAAGGGGAGGCCTCATAAGGCGGCACCCTGGATAGCGATTAAGTGTGCTTGAAACATACTCATCTGCCGCTTTCTTGGCGGCCTAGAGTCTGTAGGCAGAACTCTCTTCGATCCGACAAGAAAGAAAGTCAGGAGGGCATGCGGTTGGAACATTCTCAGGTCGGACGGCGAGGATATTCTTTTCCCAACGCAGTCCATCTAAGAGGAGCGTCAGAGTTGAAAAAAGAAAGGACGGGAGAGGAATAGATTCGGATCTTTCACGAGTGGATGAAACATTAGTTATGAATATTGGAGATGTGTCTCCCAATTTAATTGTACTTTAATTCCGTCGGCGCATGAAAACTCCAAACTGAAAGAAAAACCCATTTTCCAATGAACAATCATACAAGGGTATCAATACTAAACCTAGACACGAAACCTTTTCAACGCGCCTTAATCTTCCGAATAATCACCTTATCTCCATCCAAATGCCATCCAACTCCATCCTCCTTCGTAAGCCTCTCCCACCCACTCGCCGTCGCCTTCTCCAAGAACGCCCTGTCCACCGAGAGATAACTCCTCCCAAAGCACTTCAGCGTATGCACCCTCAAATCCCGCTCAGCAAGCTCCATCAAACTCGCCTTATGCGCATCGACCGCCCCCTTGATCCTGCCGAACGCCACGTAGTTGTCATGTGTTAGAGCTTTAAGCAGCGCATACACCTTGCTGTCCCGTAGACCGTGCTGCTGCCAGAGGTTGAACGCCTCAGCGAGGTCGCCCCTGCGACACGCGGCGTCTAGGACGAGGTAGCCGACTACCTCTTGGAACTCGAGGCTTGTGAGACTGTGCATGGGGTGGATGTTGCGGAGGAGGTGGAGGATGGCGGGGTGGTATGATTCCGGATGCTTCACTAGAACGGAGAGGCGGATGCAGAAGAGGTAGGACTGTACTGCGAAGTCGTCGGCGCGGCTGGATGCTACGATTCCTTCTCTGAGCTTTCGGAGGGCCATCATCACGTCGGAGAGGGCCTTGGTGTTGGACGTTGTAGGCGCTGGGCTTCGCCCCGCAGGAGCTGTTGCCCCACTAAGAGGGGCATCGTCAAGATTCAAGGATGCGAAGCGCCGAAGGAGCTCGTCTCTCTGTCCGGAGTCGGAACAAAATGACATATACCGTTCGACTATCTTCGTGTAATATCGCTCTTGGGTCTTGAAATCGAGTAGCCTTGTCAGAGGTTCGGGGTGAGTTAGCTTTGAGAGTGTTGTCGAGAGGGCGGGAATGGTGGGGGGTTTGTTGCGAACCTGGTGTCGCCTTTGGAGGGTAAGCCCATGCTCTCCAATGGATCTTGGTCAGGCGCCTTGAGGCGACCCCAAGGGTTCGACGAGGTCCTGCCCCCTCTTGCTGGCATTATTTCGGTGGTTTGGGGGGAAGCAGGCTCCGATGTTGTGAGGTGAAGCACAGCTCCCGCTCTCAAGACTAATTCCGAGACCATAAACGAAGACAGCTCCTAGCTTACCTAATAATTGATCGACGAGACGGATCGACATGACCACTCTGACATGTGAACCATGATTTGAACTGGGATATTCGATGTTTCTGATTGCGTAGATTGTTATGAACAACGGGAAATAATCGTACAAGATACGGAGCGAGGCTATAACAGAAACGCTTGGATTGAGGGGCGTGGTGCCCGAGAGGAACTAAAATGTATTGTACAATCGTCACCTTTGATGTCAGAATAATTACCTGCCAACGAAAGATTCCTTCGTCACTCTTTGTAACGCCTATATCAAACCGCCCCAGGTATCGCCAATAGTCTAATATTGAACACGGAAAAAAACGAGAAACCCAAATCAAACCTTCAGCCACAGAGTGAGAACACCCTTCAAGTACTCAACAATCTCGTCCCCTCCAAGCTTCGACTCTCCGTAGACACGGTCAACGAAGCTGATGGGGACCTCAGCAACAGTGCACCCCATCGCCTTGGCCCGCACCATCATCTCCATCTGGAAACTATAGCCCTTGCTCTCCGTGCTCGAAATAACCTTCTCGAGCACGCTCTTCTTGTAAAGTCGGAAGCTGCCCGTGAGGTCACTGACACCAGGGCGGAGAACAGTATCGGCGAAGAGATTGGCGCCCCTGCTGACGAACTTTCGCTTGAGATCCCATCCGTATACGCCGCCGTCGCCCGCGTATCGAGTTCCGGTGACGATGTCGTAGTCGGCCTCCTTTTGGCGCGCAATCATCTGAGGGATAAACTTGGGGTGGTGGCTGAAATCGGCGTCCATGATGATGACGAAGTTGCCGGTGACGAACTGCAGACCGTGGACGTAGGCTGTGCCGAGACCGAGCTTGCCCGATCGGGTTTTGAGGACGACATGGGGGCTGTAGGCCTTGACGAGTTGCTTCGCTACTTCTTGGGTGCCGTCGGGGGAGCCATCGTCGACGATGACCAACTCCCAGTCAAGGTTGCTATAAAGCAGAGGCACGGTTAGGGTACTGGACTAAGATGAAGTTGGAAAAAGGAAAACACTAGGCGCAATACTTTTCGGTGAATGTCCTGTTCAGGAGCCACGCTACGATGGGGAGATTGCGACGTTCATTGTAGGTCGGGAGGATAACGGAATATTTGTTGTTTTTGGCCATGGCGACGAAAACCCGAAGATGAAAGAATTAAAACAGTTAGGTGAAGAAAAAAGGCCCTCGGCTGGTGTGTAGGAGAAAAGTGTAAATGTGGATATCAAGGAGCGTGGGAAAGTTGGATGTGGTGGTCGAATAATTGAGAGCTGGCCTCGTCGCGACTCCTGAAATTAAGCATGATCGACTTTCACCTCACAGCCCAGACCAGCTTGCCATTCCATTGTCATTTCACGAACGATGACGCTTGGCAAAATTACATAAACGAGCCAGCTCATCACCTGCAATTACACGTGACCCAGCGTATTGGACGACCACTGAACCAGCCAACTACGTAATCGGCCTCCTGGTTCGGCCCGAGTCCTAATCCGCTTTCACTCCTCCGGATGTCATGAATCGATAGCTACATGCCACAAAATATGGTTTGAAGAAGCCAAAAATGAAGTCATCGGAAAATCGGGGTTTGCGAGCCATACGCCTCGGAAATGTCGAGGGAGAGGATGCTCTTGCGTCGAAACGCGGACGCACAGTATTGATTAATTGACACAGTTTCCAGCACTGTTATACAGTGCCCCACCTCAACCAGGATATGGGGTAATTATCAGAGCTTGAGCTCCGAATTCGTTCCTGGGGGTGTTCAGCTTCATTTTGCGGACGCAGTGCCGACGCCATGAGCGATTGAGGACTTGGAGGCGCTAATCCGAGAATCAAACCAATGCTGTAGGGCCTTGGCCATGATGGGCTGCCGATGGCGTTCCCTCTGTAGCACCTGCTATTGGCGAGTGCCCTCCCAGTCCGGGCTACTGGCTACTTACTGACCATGCATGCAAGATCCAGAATGCAGGACGTTCGAGGTACCTTAGTTTGTGTGTCGCTCCCCACCTCGAGACCGCAGCACGGGTACATCGTCGGCCTCACAGATATAGGTGTAGAATGTGTCACTGAGGGCAGGAAATCTTAAGAAGCTACTCCATCACCTGAGTATTGTACGAGGTTTCGTAGATGCGGGGGCAAAAAAGGCAAGACGAACCTGCCCTAGAAAGCTTGCTTCCGGTGTCAAAGCCCTTAACAACTGGAACATCAATCTTGCTGGTCCCCCCCCCCAAAGTTCCTTTTCCCGGGCCGCTTTCCTCCCATTGTTCCTCCCCCTGCCCGTTCCCTTTATAAGTGTGTTTGTCTCTTCTTGTCCCGTTCCTCCCCTCGACCACAGCCTATGTAAGGTCCTCCTTTCGGCTTTGCTTTTTGTGTTACCGCCCGAGCTGTCTCGAAGAACAACGACGCATTGTTCTTTGTTTCCCCCATCCAACTTCAAACTCACCTTTTTTCTTCCCCCATTTTCCTCCTCTTCTCCAATCATCTTACTTACCATCATCCATCCAAAGAGCACCCAATATCCATCAAAAAACTCATAATTTTTTGGAGAATCCTTTTATTATTTCAAGGTCTAGAGCTGTATGTTCCCTCCCAACCTTCCTTTGTTTGCTGGAGGGTGTCAACTAACCTTGGGGGTAGCACAGTGCGGCGCCAATCCGACAGGCGTTTGCGTCATTCAAAAATGTCCGACCAGAAAGGTACTTACATCCCCCCTTGTTAACTGCTTTGAAGCTATCTTTTTATGGATTGAGTGTGTCCATCCCTAATTGATGGCTTGTGAATTGTCATTGAGCACCTGTTGTCCTCATTTGTTGTGGCTGGCACATGGGTGACGAGCCCCTACCGTACTGTGCGGAGTTAGTTCATGATTCGCAGACTGCTAACTACCGCTTTGCGACAGTTCAAGAGTCTGCTGTTCCTGCTTCGCAGGAGCCTGGAAAATCAGTGGAGTCAACTACAGAAGAGAAGTTCGCTGAGGCCCAGCAGACAGTTGCTACGGCCTCTACTTCTGGCCCCGACACTGAGGAAAAGAAGGACGCGACACTCGCCGACGCCAAGGCCGGTAACGATGCCAATGCCCCGACAGGCGAATCCGAAGATGCCGCGCCGGCCGAACCTGAGAAGGCCGAAGAGGAGACTGGCGAGGTAGCTGCAGAAAAGGCAGAGGCTGCCGTAAACGGTGAAGCGGCGCAACCCGCCGAGAAAGCGATCGACACCAAGGAAGCCGAAGTTGGTGGGAAGGGCGAGGCGCCAACCGAAGCTCCCGCCACCGGTGGTGACACAGCCAAGAAGGCCGAAGAGACACCCGCGACTGCCCCACCTACCGAAGAAGCTGTCGAGCCCACCGAGCCCAAGCCCGCTACTGGCAACGGCGAAGCCGCCCCCGTTAGCGAAACGGAGAAGGCCCCGATTCCTGAGGCTGAAGCCTCAGAGCCGAAGGCGGGGGAGAAGCGACAGGCGGAGGCTGCCGAAGTCGCTAACGGAGGCGAGGCAGGCGAGCCTGCTGGCAAGAAGGTGAAGACCTCAGACGATACGCCGACGACTAATGGCGGAGCGGCAAAGAAGAAGACGTCTAAGGGAAAGAAGGAGAAATTTGCGGCGCCTGTGGGCCGGACTGCGAGGAGGACCCGGAGCCAAGGCCTGGCGGATGCCTGAATTTCTCATTCTCCTTTGTTAACTCTCTGAAGTATACCACCATTATATATATGGTTTTGAGGGATGGAACTCAGGCGCACATCCCCGGCAGCGACTCTTTCTTCTTTTTTAAGTTGGCGGATTACGATCAAAAACGGAAGGTCTGGTTGGGTGGTGGTTAGGTTTGGTTTGGAATTGTTTTTATGTGGTGTTTTCTGTGTTGTCTTTTTATTTCTTCCTTTTCTGTTCACCATTCATTCTTAGGGTCTCGGCGTCCGCTTTCGGGTATATAGTTTCAATCAGCATTCGTTTTCACAGTGCATCCTCTGGCACATGCCCGTCCAGTCTTCATGGTCCCAGGGTGAGGTTGACCCGAGTTTGAAGAATGCCCAAACCATGATCTTAATTAGACGTTTGCTTGGTTCAATCGTTGGGAGGCCATACGTGACGGATATTTATTCAGACGCTGGAAGCCAGTCAGTCATGACAACTGGGGCAAGATGGCGGAGTGGTTAACGCGTTGGCCTGCTACCAGTAGTGAGCCAATCCCTTCGGGGGCGTGAGTTCGAATCTCACTCTTGTCGCTTCTATTTTCCCCCCATTATCTCTTTTTTTTTGAGCTTCTTTTTTGGCCTGTGGTTGCAGTGTTGCTGGGGCTAGGGCTCTTGTTAGGTGTGCTTGCTGCCTGGCTGCAGTGGTTGGTTCTAGGCACCTTGCAGAGTGGAGAGAGAGCTTGGCGAACTGTGTTGGTTGATGAAGGTTGGAAACTTGTAGGACGAAATGAAATCGATGTTATAGTGCCTAGGATGGTGATAGATGCCACAAGGCCGTCTGTTTATGAAGTAGCTCCCATTAATGTCAACTAGTGTTCCGACGCAGTTCCACGAAGAGACATGAAAAAGCTGCGGTTTGCAGTTCGACGAAGACGGAAAAGGAGAGCACGAGGAATGTTGCCGTTGTTGGAGGATTTGGATTACTGTCATTTTCGCCCCGCAAGTTTTCAGTACCTGCGGAGGCCCTGACATGAATGCCCGACGACGGGCAGAGAGGCAGAGGGCACCATGCAAGTAATTCCAGTCGGGTCTTTTGGGTCTTTTGAGAGCATAGAGGCTGAGCCTACACGACGTGGATGCCAAGTCTCCAACGGTTTGTGGATGGGACGGTGTCCATGTAAGGGAGATGGCAGCTTGATCGCTGACGGCGGCATTGGGGGGAAAAAAAAAAATCTTTGCCAGTAGGAAATACAAAGGGACTACGTTGAGCAGCTGGATCCGCATACGGATACGGGTGGATATGTAGTAGGCGTGTTCTGGAGGCCTGAATGACCTCTTGGGTGCATTCTGTGGAAGTTAAAGCATCAACGCCCATCAATTTCTACGAGGTAGTGCCCGCTTGCGGCGGTACCGGTATTACCGGCTCGGGCTCAAGTTTGTTCTTATGCCCGGCTACGCTACTTGTGAGGATAAATGATCGACTTCGAGAGCGAGATTTTCCATGCGAGGGGGATCAGATATTTCGAGCTAAGTGTTTCCATGGATCGATCCGAACGTCAGGAGACGCGTGGCAGGTTGATCTGGCTCGCCGGTGATCCAATGAGTTCTAATGCAAAGAAGAGAATCGAAGAACGGATTGATAAGTCTAAGCGGATGTGGATGGGGGCTTGTCTAGCGTTTTAAACACTCGATGCTGGAGCCTGTGAATGGACGCTGGGGAACTTGCTGGGGGCCACTAGTGTTTGACCTTGTTAAAACGGGGTCATCTACGAAGTAGGGCTCGCAGTCTTCAATGTTTCGTTGTTTCGTTGTCCGAACTTGACTCGAACTGGCTTTCCCTGTGAAGAATGGGGTGAACAACTGTCTTTTTCGTTGGTGTCTCTGCATGATGAATTCAGTACGAGGGCACTATGGTAGTGTATTAACGGACGAGAGGATTCCCAACGACCATCTCTGATATTATCAATTGTCTAAGCATAGATCCATACTTCGTACGATCAAATCGATCCCTATCCAATAAAATTTCGTGTCCTTAAACCCAAACCCCAGACTTATTACTCGCTTGAAGTTGTCTCCTGGACTAATTTTCCACGTCGAATCCTGCCTGTCCCGCGGGTTTCCAAATATGCCGTCGTGGCAGCCCCAAAAATAAAACCGAGAATCAAATAGAAAAAGTTCGTATTGCTCCACGTTCGGAACAAATGGCACCTCGACCCAATCAGGAGGCCAACGGCCCACCTTTTTGCCAACCCCCTTTAAAAAATCTTGGGAGCACTAAAATCGCTAGCAGTGCAACCCCTTTTCGTGTACACGCAGTAGTAATGCTACTTCGTACTAGGACTACCGGCGTGCGAAGGACGCCGTTAGTCCCGAACATGGGGTACCTTGCGTGAGAAGAGGCCGAAGTAGTTTACACGACGGCGACCTGATCCATAACAAAGAGGTTACTAACCGCACCGTCCGTTTGTCTCACCATTCGATGGAGACAACTCAGCTGTTCTTTGGGAGGGCATAATCTACTTGGAGAAGCAAGGACGTATTTTCGACGGCTTCCCAGCTAGCCGCTCCTAAAATAGCACAGCCCTCTTCGGGTCCATCCAGAACCCGAGCGAAGACCCCGTATTCTAAGGCATCCAGTCTATCCAACCCCCTCGCTTGGCCCGGCCTGATGAAGTAATTTTCTGTGGATTCGCTTTCCGGGAGGACTCCCGGGTACCAACAGGTGTGACCACAAAAGAGGAAGAAAAAGAAAAAGAAAAATAGATTGGTTGTTGAGAATCGCGTCCCTGCCAAGATTTATTGCCGGCTGCCTCAGTGAGGTCATCGTTGACGAATAAATCCCTTGTGTGTCTGAGCGAGTGCTTTTGGAGAGACATTCTTCGATGGACGGGACCTTGATGTAGGACATATTGATACTGGACATGTCAATGAATGTTCAATGAATGTTAGACTTGTCTGCTCGGCCTGACTACTTCCTCGCACACCATTCTGACTGATGCTTCTCATCTGTATATTGTATCGGTAGAGCCGAGGGTGGGATGGCGGTCCTGGTCACGGTGCGTCCTGGTAATCTATGCTACTTCTTGCTAACCTTCGTATATTTCTCAGGCGCATGCAAGTTGAAGAGACGGAAGATGGATGGACCCTGAGGCTAAAGATCGTAAAATGCCTCTCTCGAGTCGACACCATTACACGATAGACCTGGAGAATTGAGGCTTTCAGCTCGGGACCGGGATCCTTTGTCCTTCTTTTTTTCGAAGATCCCTATCCGGACAGATGGGGTCGAGAAAATCCCCGCGTTTTGGGTCCTTCGTAACACTTCATTTCGTATCTTGATTCGGCCGATTCCATCATTGCATTGACAATGTCCAGTTGACCAGTTGACCACTCTGTCTCTGCATTCCAAGACGTTGGGATTGTGTACCTTTGTAATGTACTTCGTACTTCGTAAACCACTCACCACTGAGTGACGTTTCAATGTTCCGATACCTCTCGTTGTCCCCACAAGGACTCCTCATGGCTGCATTCTCTTTCCCACCCCAGTCGCCCCCCATCGTCAAAGTCCCACCACCTTCTTCTGGCAGTCTTACCGCTGCCGTTATCGTCCTATGGTCCACACAAGGGGGCCCTAGCAGGGGTCGCCGTGCTATATTACCCAGATCTGCCCCTGGCAAGCCACCCTGCACAGCCTTATACTCTGCTTTCGTTGCGCTATTCTCAAGAATTTTTCCATGTGGATGTTGACTTCTATCCTTGTCGGGTGTTGAGACTCCTTTTATTTGTTTTGTCTCTCGACATTTTTATGCTCTTCTTTGAACGAGAGCGCCATTCGTTTATCCCTTGATAGTTTTATATCGGGAACAAGTCGTCCTCGACCTTGTCTCTTCCCTTGGGTTCGTTCATTTTGGACTCTCGATCCCCTTTCCGTCGGTCCCTCCGTACCCGCCGATTTTGTCCTCTCGTGACTCCCTCGCAGCGACGAGACACCTGCGAGTAACAACCGAACCCCGTATTCCGCCGAGCCAAACGAACCTCGGAGCCACGATCGGTGATGCTGTGATAGGAATTCATACGGATCAGATTTCAGATTTCATCACCGCTTGTGCCGCACAGATATTCTTCGCGACGGCTAGTGTCTAGCGTCTTGTGTTCTTAAAAGTCCCGACTAAACGTATCGCGAGACACCGAGTCCAACCGCTCCTGCTTTCCCCCTCCGGGGAGGCATTAAGAAGAGAGAAGGAAAAAAAAAAAAAAGATGGAATCCATTTTTAACCTCTTAATCCGGAGGGACGAGGACGCCGGACAGGAGCTTCTGAAGTTGCTCCAGGACCCATTCGCGGGACAGGTACGCATGCCCCAGAGTTTGTGTCCCTGAAATCGGTTGAACCTTAATTCGTTCCTAACGCGTGGCCTTGTAGCTTCAATCAACTTCCATCTGGGTTGCGCTTGGTACTTCATTAGGGATCACCGCTGCCATTGCGATATTATTCTCGCTCCTCCGACCTTACAACGAGACCGTGTACGCCCCGCGTCTCAAACATGCTGACGAAAAACACGCACCTCCTCCCATCGGCAAGAAGGTGTGGTCATGGGTAACGCCGCTCTGGAAGACAAGCGAGGCGGATATGGTGGGCTATGTTGGTCTGGACGCAACAGTATTCCTTCGCTTCACGCGGATGTGCAGGAACATATTCATAATCCTGTCCGTTCTTGGCTGCGCCGTTCTCATCCCCATTCATGTTTCGTTTACCGATACAAAGGCTATACATCCGTCGTGGTTATCCTTGATCACGCCTGCCAACGTGAGAGCTGGTCCCTCGCAATGGGCCCAGGTTGTCTTTGCCTACGTCTCCAATTTGACGGTTTGCGGCTTTCTTTGGTGGAACTACAGCAAGGTTCTTGGGCTGAGGCGCAAGTATTTCGATAGCGAGGAGTACCAAAACAGCCTCCATGCTAGGACTCTCATGGTTAGTTTCTAAGCTTTGGACCTTACCCCTTTCCTTTTCATCTTTCGTTTTCATTTTCGTTTTATTAGTTATACTAACAAGAGCCATCATGCAGCTCACCGACCTTCCCAAGGAGCGGTGCTCGGATGAAGGTATCGCTCGTATTATTGACGAAGTGGTACCCAACTCGTCATTCGCTCGCACGGCAGTCTCTCGAAACGTCAAGGATCTCCCCCAGCTTATCGCCGAACACGAGCGGACGGTTCGCAAGCTGGAGAAGGTCCTCGCAAAATACATGAAGAATCCTCAACAGCTTCCGGCTGCGCGACCTCTGTGCTACCCCTCCAAGAAGGATCCCTCCTATAGCACTTACCCCTCTGGACAGAAGGTCGACGCCATCGAATACTTGACGAAACGCATCCGGGACCTCGAGTTGCATATCAGCGATGTCAGGGCGAGTGTGGATAGGCGGAGTACCATGTCGTACGGATTTGCTAGCTATTCGGACATTGCTGAAGCTCACAGCATCGCCTACGCCTTCCGCAAGAAGAAGCCCCATGGCGTGACAGTTCGCTTGGCTCCGCGACCCAACGATATTATCTGGGATAACATCACGCTGACTCCTCAGGCCCGAAGCTGGAAGCGCACGATGAACAACCTCTGGGTTCTGCTGCTCACCTTCCTCTGGATCGCCCCCAACGCCATGATTGCCATCTTCTTGGTCAACTTGGGCAACCTGGGTCGTGTTTGGCCTGCTTTCCGGGATAATCTGGCACGACATCCTACTGGATGGGGTATCGTCCAGGGTATTGGGCCTCCGGCTCTGATGTCCCTCTTCTATTTGGTTCTGCCCATCGTTTTCCGCCGCCTGTTCATTGCTTCCGGCGACCAGACTAAGACGGGTCGCGAACGCCATGTCCTCGCAAAGCTGTACTTCTTCTTCGTCTTTAACAACTTGATTGTCTTTTCGTTCTTCAGCACCATCTGGTCGACCGTCGCCGGTATCATCAACCAGACACAGCACGGGGTGGATGCCTGGCAAGCCATCATCAAGTCCCAGCCCGAAATCGCCCTGTTCTTAGCCCTCTGCTCAGTCAGCCCCTTCTGGGTTACCTGGTTGCTTCAGCGCCATCTCGGCGTGGCCATCGACCTGTCGCAGCTCTGGCCTCTGATCTACGGCTTCTTCATGCGCCACTTTTCCAGCCCGACCCCGCGTGAGTTGATCGAGCTCACGGCGCCGCCCGCTTTCGATTACGCTAGTTACTACAACTACTTCCTCTTCTATGCCACCGTTGCTCTTTCCTACTCGGGCATTCAGCCTCTCGTCTTGCCGGCGGCGGCGATTTACTTTACCATCGACACGGTGCTGAGGAAGTATTTGCTGCTCTACGTCTTCATCACCAAAACGGAATCCGGCGGCCAGTTCTGGAGGGTCTTGTTCAACCGCTTCATCTTCGGCACGCTGCTGGCCGATCTCATCTTCTTCCTCACCACCTGGGTGCGTGGAGAGTTTACCCACATCCAGGCTTTTGCCGTGATTCCCCTGCCGTTCCTCCTCCTCGTCTTCAAGTTCTACTGCGCGTCGGTGTTCGATGACAAGATGCGCTACTACGCGACGCGCAACATTTCGCATCAATCTGAGGCCCACCTGGGGGGCAAGGAGTCCCGGCTCAGGAGTGAGAGGTTGGCTTCGAGGTTCGGCCACCCCGCGCTTTACAAGCCGCTCATCACGCCCATGGTGCACCAGAAGGCGCAGAACATGCTGCATGTCGTCTACAAGGGTCGCTTATCGGACGGAAGGGAGGCCGGATCGGGAGACCTCATGAGCGTCTCGGGATACTCGGACACGTACGCGCTCGACCCCATGCATCACGCCAAGCCGGGCAAGTCGGCTGCCGTCCCTGGATTCGAGTTCGTCTCCGAGAATCACCTCGATTTCGAATACTTTAAGAGCCGACCCGAGTTCGCCAACGAGCACGGTGCCGGTGACATTTTTGGTACGCCTACCGATTCTATGGGACGCCCTGGAACGCCGGGCTCGATGTTCAGCGATCCTGCTGGATCTCGCCCCGGAACTCCCGGTGCGGGGAATAACCACTATAACCATAACCATAACGGCGGGGGATTCCGATCATACACACCGCCCGGGTCTTCTTCCTCTCCCTACACGTCCACGACAAACCCCCAAGCTGCCTTCCTGCAGCAACCCCTCTCCGGCGACATCGCCCCCTCGCGAACCAGGAGCCCGCTCTACTCGCAGCCCAACGACAGCCTGACAGGCCTTGTCAATGCGGCATCCGGCGTGCCCATGTCCCGGCCGGACTCGCCCGGCTCGAGGAACAATAGTCTCGTCTCGCCGTACCCTTACCCGGCGGGCCCCACTGTCGGCGCCCTCGGTGGTGGGCCGAGGGGTTACAGCGGGCTTGCGCAGAGCGAGGAGCCGCCGTCGTCGAGTGATCCTATGCAGTATGATTACTTTAGGGGGAGTCGGAACCATAAGCAGCCCGGAGCTGGTTGGTAAAAAGAGAAAAGGAGGATGTTATGTGTGGTAAGAGGGCCCCAATGATTCCTTTTCTTTTTCTCTACTTGTTTTGTTGATAGAGATGCATTGGATATGTGGCGTTTTTTTATACATATTTTTCTTTTCTCTTTTTTTCTTTTGTTTGGGAATTTTAATGAGATATTATGACAGATAGGATTGGGCTGGGTTGTTCTTATATTTTTCATCGATATGGATTTTAGAATAATATCTGCCTTGAAATTGTATATCCTTCTCCTCTTTCGAATATCCTCAGACTCTGTCTATATTGTTGTGATCTACTGCGAGGCGTCCCGAGCGGAGTATTTTTGTTAGCTTGAGTGAGTCCAAGGTTTCGTCATGCCTACTGTAGGACGAGCTCCCCTCCAGTTTGGCGATCAATTCCCCGGGCATGTAGATCGGGGATCGTCTTAAGATGATTTGTTATTTTTCCCTTTCCTAGAACGGGAACTGCTTGAGCGGTAGTTGAATAACTGGAGCCGGATCTTTGTTGGACAAGTCCCCCGCCTTGAGCTGTGCGGTGTTTCGTCCCGTCTCGGACGGGAGGGCAATAGTCTCATTCCATGATTCCCGAGGTTTTGGATTCTTGAAATTATTCTTGGATGCGTTTAATGTTTGTAAAGTGATCTATCTAACTTGGAAGCTTGAGCCGATTATCTTCCCCCTGTGACATCATTCCTCCTTCAGGCAAGCGGAGGATGATCCTGGCAATCTCCAAGAAGTTGTCCCAGCTGGGACACCTCACCGCAGAAGATGGGAAATGATTCCATCCATCTTTCACAAATCCCGTCCTACCAGTCTCCGTCTATTCCCTAGTCGTACTCGTTTCAAAGACCAAAAACTGAAATTATCGAGATGCTCAGATATGCGTGTACCTCCGTCCCTAGCCCATCCTCCGACATGAACATTTGAACCGATTCGAACCCAGGTATCTCACAACGCTGCCAACCACCTCCCCGCCGTTGAACCCTATGATAGTGATCATGATCCGAGGAGGAACGATTCCCCTAGTGTACATGAAAGTATTTTTGTGTTTTTGTTCTTTCAATTGTTGTTTTCCATCATCTATATTCTATTAGTCATCGCCCGTAACCTTTTCCTGTTCAAACGCCTCGGCCGCCTGCCTATGCTCCTCGGCCAACTTATCAGCCTTATTCCACTCGAAGCTGAAATTCCACAACCTCTGCGCCTCGGACATCTTCCCGGGCTTATCGCTGCCCCAGTTGTCGCCCTTGGAGCTCTTCCCGCCGATGTGCTGGACCGCAGTGGGGACTAGCGCCCACTGGTGGCCCATGGGCTTATCGGCGCCGCCGCCGTTGATGAACTTGTCGGCGAGGGAGTCGACGAAGCCGATGCGCTCCTTCGTGTAGAACTCGGTGATTGGCTCGACTTTATCGTGCGGCCAGAGGATGCCCTGAAAGCAGCAGCCTCCGCGCCTGGCTACCGACGGCGTGCGGAGCATGTGGGCCACGGTGAGGTGACCGACGGTTAGGTATAGGACGATGCAGGCGATTGCGCTAAGGACGCCTGTGAGGAAGAGGACGCGGCGGGTTTGGCGGGTTGTGCGGCGGTACCAGCGGGTGCCGCGGATGGAGAGCCAGATGAGACCCATTGAGACGCCGCAGAAGGCTACGATTGCGACGCCTGTCGTTATTACTTCGGAGAGGTGCCAGTAGAAGCCGTACTCGAGATAGAAGAGGCGGAGGTTATACCCTAAAGAAAGAGAAGGTAGGGGTTAGCAACGTCATCATTCCCGTGGGGAGGGAGTGGGGGGAAAACAAAACTTACATCCACCTTCGTCGCGTTTAGATTGCTCCTCGACGTCCATGATGCCCTGTCGAAGGCGATGGAACCAGCCGTCGAGGAAAAGAATGTCGTCCTCCAGCATCAGAACGTACGGCGCGCCAGTGGCATCGCACTGCTTCAGCAACAAAGTATAATCGCCCAAGTGCTTCTCTCGATCCGGCTCGCCAGTCCTTTGCCTCGTCAACTCGAGTTCCTCGATATGCTTCAGCCTCTCCTCAGACACGACGTCCATGGTCTGGTAGGTCATCACCTTATCGGACACCTTCTCGAGCCAGGGCTCAGTATAGATGGGATGCGTCGTGGCGTTAACGTGACCGATCATGGGGGCGATGTACAGCTGATTCCTCTCCTTCTGCGTCAACCCAGCCAACATACTGCCGAGGGCATACCTCGCATAAATGTCGCCCGACGGCCTCACGATGGTATTCATGCCGACGCAGATGAAGGGCGGCACGTGCGTCGATTTCCGGCGAAACGGCGCGGCATCCGTCGAGTTGTGCTTCTGGATGAACTCGGTGGCCTCGCGCTGGCGCACCGAGCTGTAAATTTTCGCATAGCCCCGCGCGGGCGAGAAGTAGGGGGAGGTCGGGTCGTTGTAGCTAACTTCTTTGGCGTATTGCAGCGCGAGGAGGAAGAAGGCGAAGGGGAGGAGGAGCATGCCCCAGTGGTGCCATCGTAGGGTCTTGGGGAAGTTCGCGACGGATTTGGCGAGGGCTGTGAGGGATGCGGCGACTGTCGAGAGGAGGCCGATTAGGCCTTTTCCGGCGAGGGAGACGAGAGAGGGCATCGCGGCGGTGGATCGATCGATCTATGCCCTTGTTGGCAGACCCCTTCTTTCTCACCGCTTTCTTCTTCTGTTCGCCCGTTTCGGTTCGCCGATTTTTTGTGTGTTCCTTTCCCCCCTTATTTCTCGAGGAGCATTACAGGAATTGGCGATTAAGACGTCATAAATAGAAATGCATACTAATATATATTTATGGGAAGAAGAAGAATAAAAAGGAAAAAAGAAAAAAGAAAAACCAAATCACGATAGGCAAGGCTCAGAACTAGGGGGGAAAGGGAATGGGAGGCAAGGGAGGGAAAAGTGGAACGAATCAATCGAGGCAAACAAAAACGCCGCCGCCCTGCATGGGAAAATTACACGACAAAGTACCCGACTCCTTCAGAGAAGCGTGGCTGCGATCCAGAGGCGCAGCCTTTTTCCCTCTTCCTTTTCCTTTTTTTTTTTTTTTTTTTTTTTTTTTTTTCTCTTTCTCGAAATGCGCCAAGCCGAGCTGTGCTCCTCTCGCGCCACCGCCTGGCCCAATTTTTTTCCGCGACCAGGACAAGGGCACTCAGGGACATGTGGAAACCTACGAAATACACTAGGGGACCAGGGGTTTCTGGATCCGGACTGGCTCCTTCCTAGTGTAACCGTCAGCGTGCCGAGGTGGTACTTGGCAAAGTATCATGAACGAGATTCAATCCTACATCGTCCCACAAAAATTGCCTACCACGCCATGCCAAATGAAGGTAGCACAAATTACGTGACAATAAAACAATAAATGCGAAGCGGAAAAGACGGCCTCACTGGTCCTTCTGTTTGCAGCAGATCTCAGGACCCTGTCGCCCCTGTGGAGTTCTTGGCCTCGTATTTGAGGGCTTGGCAGCTTATTGGGCTTATGGGTTGGAGGAATTGCCCGTCTGGGCAGAAATGAAAATGAGGCCCATGTTCTGAGATGCCGTTGGATGTTGGAATGCAGAGAGGATTACTCGTACTTCGTACCTTTGTAATCTATGATAGGACATGGGGTTATTCGAACAGTTGTGGCTCGGGAGTGCGAGAATCTAATCTACGAAGTAGCTGCTACTGAATATCTTGCAAAATTATCAGTAAATAATACTGAGGTACCTTTGTAGTCTTGATCGATTGCCTGCCCCGATCCATCCCTCTATCTTCCCCCTGAGTAACTCCAAGACTCCTGGTCGAGCTTAATTGATACTCTTGGCGGCTGTTCTGAGACACCACACGGGAGCCCTGCCACAGATTCCGACTCTGAATGCTGGTTGTACGAATAATAAATTGATGCGATCCACGTCGTACACCCATCTTAGCTGTTTCTCCGCGCCAAGGTAATACTTGGTAGACTAAGAATACTTGCGGGATCGTGTCCAGTGTACCTCAGGAAGCGTGTTGGTGGCATTGAAAGGACTTTTGTAATCCTGGTGTTTCCGCGGCGTTGTTCGCATCGCAGCGCACCGAGGCGGAGTCATAATCTGCGAAATAATTTGTTTCTTGCCTCCCTCGGCCTAAACAAATGAAGACTTAGGAACGTCGAAAATGGCAGCAATCTTCAAATGTTGCTTGAAAGTACACAGGTATGAGGTGTCAACGAGGAGTACCAGACGTTGGATCATTATGCATATTTAAATAGGCAATGGTTCGATTCTTCCCTTATCCCCTCCCCCATATTTCTTTCTTTTCTTCTCCTCTTTCGACTTCATATTTATATTCACTTTTATCATTATTTTATTCCGCCTTAAGGAATAGACAGTGGTCGAGTCTCCCTGGAGACTTCAGCGTTTTGGGACCTTCAAGGTTGTTTCTGATCTACCTCAAGCTGTCCATTAATGTAGTAATTCGACATCGAAAGGAAGCGGACCGATTTGGTGTAAAGCCTTGGCATTTCATCAAAACGCGCTGCGTCGTCCTGAACCTTTTCCAGTGGAAGGGGACATTGATCCATTTCTTGGCGATGTTCCTCTTGTCTTATAGACACCTGTCCTCTCGGTTAAGAGGCCCCTGACCGATCTCGCCACAGGCCTTGATAAACTTCGCAAGTAGAATGCTGATGGTAGAGGTTTTGCTTCTCTCCCCGGGGAGGCAAATAATTATCATAGTAGTCCGTTTAGAAGGAGGAGAGGGTCAGTTCACAACGCAAATTTTCTGCAACCACTACAAGCTACAAGCGTCGGTGTTCTTGATGGCTCCTTTGGGCCTTTACTCTCAAGCATTGCAAATAATACTTGGCTGGGCGAGAGATTTTCGTCTCTCAAATTTCAAAGGAACGTCAGCGGTGGCTCTCTATTCGCGATTCCGAACCGAGAGATCAATGTTCTGCGTCCTTTTGTTAAGTGTGTGTGTGTGTGGAGCATTCAGGTAAGGGGTTCTCTCCACTCCCATGGACACACACGCCATTTGTTCCAAACGATACGTACATGCAAGCCATACATAATCCAGGCCTGCACCTTGAAACAATGCCTTCTTATCGGGGGCGAGACTGAGGGGGTTCTGCGAAGGCAGTGATTACTCAACACATGGACTCAACGCTCATACCCTGCCTTGGCCCTATTATAGAGCTACAATTGTACTTCGTACTCGAGCAAGACATGCGCCACAGATTCTAGCGTTAGGGGTGTCTTCGAGAACAACGAACTTGCTTAATCATATGGCGCAGTTCTTCAAGACGCAGACAGCCACGAGTCGTGATTTGGCCACCGTCATTGGTGAGTCTGAGGACCAGAGCTTGAGTTCCGCCGGTTTTTCAAGTTAGACAAGAAATTGGATTATTTTAAATGAAACCATAAATTAACCATGACTAGGAGAAACGTAACGAGACAAGTCTTGTCAAGGAAAAACCAAAGGGAATAAAAGACACTGCTTCTCAAAACCTTGTGGATGACGCAAAATTTCCGCCCACGTTCTTGGCGCTTAATTCCGGACATTAAATTAAGACCGGGTCGCACGAGAAGGTGGAGCAACCAATGAGACGGACGGGAGCAGAACTTAAGTTCCAATCTAACCCTTTTTGGCCGTAGCTGGACGGGAGTACCCGACGACACTTAGACGGCTGCGATCTGGATGTTGAAATCTTGAGCAGAGAGTAAGAGATGGATATCAAGATATTCGTTCTTTTTTCGCCAAGTTCTGCTGTAAAGTATCTCATGAGATTGGTTTTCTTTTTGGACTCGACCTTGGATTATGTCTGCTGACTCCGTGAATCAGCATTGGAGCTAAGTATCCATATCCAGGTACCCCGCGAACTTGAAATCATGCTCCACCACACATCGTGACTTCCTCCACCCAACTCGGGGAAAGAACCACCGCGAAAATATATATATATATATATATAATCACCACCTCTTGCGCCAGATGACTTCTACTTTGCAGAATTACCATTGGCCGGATTCTGCCAGCTCTCGGTGATCGGTGGCACCTCTTCACCGCCCTCAGACAGCTACAAAAAGCCGCGAACTCTCACCGAGCCCTTCCACCTTTCAACTTCCAGCTCACCGAATTCTTTTTTCGCCAATATCGACCATCGAATTCGACAATCGAAATTGACCACCGACATCAACCACTGACATCGGAGTTCGAGGAGTTCGAGGGTTCGAGGGATGGAGGGTTCCAGGGGCTCAGGAAAATTATCGATCGATTTCCTGAATCTCTCGAGCCCCCATCTCTCGAGCCTTCGAGCTCCTCGAGCTCTTCAAACTTCTCGACTCCTTCGAACCGCCGATTCCCTCGAACCTGTCGAACCATAGAACCATCGATTCTCTCGAACCGCCGAACCCGTCGAACCGTCGATTCCCTCGAACCGTTGAACTCGTCGAACCCCCCGAACCCCCCGAACCCGTAGAACCGTCGAACCGTCGAACCGCCAAACCCGTCGAACCATCGATTCCCTCGAACCGTCGAACCCGTCGAACCATCGAACCCGTCGAACCGTCGAACCCGTCGAACCCGTCGAACCCGTCGAACTATCGAACCCGTCGAACCGCCGATTCCCTCGATTCCCTCGAACCGTCGAACCGTCGGACCCGTCGAACCGTCGGACCCGTCGAACCGTCGAACCCGTCGAACCCGTCGAACCGTAGAACCGTCGAGCCATCGAACCCGTCGATTCTATCGATTCTCTTAAACCGTCGAACCGTAGAACCGTAAAACTCCTCGAACTCCCCGATTCTATTGAATCCCTCGTCGATCCCGCCGTCGTATTCCCCTGTTGAACCTCGCCGAATCCTACCATCCCGTCGAACCTAGCCCTCGGGCATATAACCTAGCCTTTCGGGGCCCAAAGACACACACCTCTTCCGACACACCCTTTCCTCGTCGCGGCTCTTCGGAGCCAATGGACCTTGAATTTGTCTCTTGCAGGGAAAGGCTTGGTCCATAGGCGCAGCACTTAAGTTAATACCTATCCTCTTCGGGGGAGAAGTATTAATGTGCTGAATGGATCCTTCTACTTCGTACTAAACACCAGCCCTGACTACTTCCACCTGACCACCTCCACTGGATCACCTCCCCTAGGAACGACGACCTCCGACTGCATCGTCCCCTTACGCCACATGTTGTGTTCCTTCTCGCTATCGGGAGAAACCGACGACCACAACCGATCCGAGCCCATCTATGAGACTGGCCTTCACGTGGCGATGGGTGTGAGTACCTTAGGGCCAAGTGCCTCAGTGGGAAACCAACGAGTCTCAAACATCTTCTCCCTTCTGTAGTTAGTTTTCAAGTAAAAATGTTAATATACCTCTCTGCCTTTGCCTCATGTTTTACTTTGAGTTGCCTCGACCTTCTGTCATTCAATGCCTTCATTGCCCCGTGTTCTAATGGTAGATGTCCTAGAGTAATTGATGATGCACTGAAAGACGCTCTACTCTCCGAAGACCCGACCTAAAGTATTAGACATTATGTTTGAGGTTTCTATCTTACCGCAGCTTTCCTGATGTTCCTAAGTTCCGCATCCACGCCTCCAAGTCTTCCTTGATACCCTCAACGAGATTATGATCCAGTACCCCCTCTTGCCAACTCAGACTAATTGAGACAGAACCAGAGCTCTGGCACCCAGCGACGCTGGCGCACATTGCAGGGCCCGTCATGATGGCAGACTGGCTAAAAACTTGCCGCGAGATCCTCACGACATCCTTGCCAGCAACCCCTTCATCTCCAATGATTCCCACGTTACTGACCTCCCACGTCGTGTCGCGAGGTGTGCCATCCGCCTTCTTCAATCGCTCGTGCCAGTTCGATACCCACTGAAGCAGGCCCATAATGTCGTTGGCCGGTAGCTCATCAGCTTTCCGTTTGAGTTCGCCCTTGATGCTTGCGGCAAGCTCCCAGATCTTGTCTTCCAGAGAAGTATCCCCCTCGCTTGGCGATGAGGACAGCAGAGATTGCAGTTCGCTGACGATTACTGGGGTGAAGCGGTGATGCAGGCTAGTTACGAGCACAAGCATTGTTTTCGAAAGGTCGAAGCCCTCGGTAGACGCGTATGGACGGAGAGACATGGGTGTTTGTGCCGTGAAGGACTTTTCGGATGGTAACTGGCGCGCGAAGGAGGCTAGGATAAGGACCTGGATGAGACCTGTAAGCGTTGTGCCGTGCATACGGCATAGTGTGATCAGGCCATTTCTTGTCTCGTTGTCGATGGTCACTAGCCGAACGTTCGTCTTGTACGGTCGCTCGAGGTTGATCAGTTCTCCGCCCCAGGGCGTCACGGGCGTTGGTGCTAGGAAAGCCGGGCGGAACTCTGCCCACAGAGTCTTGAGCATATACCACCAACCGATGGAGAGGTTGACAGCTTCTTCCTGAGGCGGCGGGAGGACAGGACGCTCGGGATAGCGGAGGATGGACGATCTAGCTGGCTCTGTGGCAGCGGGGATCTTGGTCTCCCTCAAGGCCTGAAGGAGTGCCTTCTGGACCATCTGGCCGCTCAAACCATCCCCGATTGCATGGTGCCAGGAGAAGATGACGTCTACATACTGGGGGTTTCCCTCACCACCCAGAATAGTAACACTCCACGGGGGTCGATTCGAGATATCGGGCCAGAGGGAGTTGTGCCTTTCCTCAACGGCGCTGAGAAGCGTGGTGTCTTGGCCCTCTTTGGAAGTGTCGGTACGCCAGCTCACATGGTTGTCCAGGTCTATTGAAGTAACATGCACGAAATTGGGACTATTTGTGTCCTCGCCTGCGATTCCAACGCGAAGAAACGGCTGGCTATCGATGATTGAAACAATAGCCTCGGAAATCCATGCCTTCCAAACCTGTTGGTCCAGAGGTTCAGAGGCTTCGTATCGACATGTGTTGCACACGCATCGGTAAATACCAAGTGAGTGACGAGATGTCGAATACTGTTCTCTATTTATGACATTAGATATGGTATCAATCTGACATAGAAGACCTCGTCTTACATCTTGCCGCATGCCCGTAAGATCCGCGAATTTGTCATCTTACTGCGGTGAGAGACCTGGAAGCGCGCTGCTTTAGATCTCCCGCTTTTGGAATAGCTTGGTCAGATCTCTATTGTCTTGCAGACGGAGCGCAATTCGGCACTTAAACGCGTGATTGAGATGGATAAAGGAAAAGGAGCACAAGATTCTGGCAATCAATTGATATTTACACAATTTATCGCTCGCTACGAAGCAGAGATCAGAGAGACGAGGCCTCCAGGGAAACCCAATCTATCCGAGTCCGCAACCCCCCCGCCCCAAAATGTCAAGTTAATCTCCGTCTCTGGTCCCTGAACTTGGTGCCTGGAAGAGCCGGAAACAAGCGTCAGGGGGTGGATCCACTCTCCGACCCAATAAGGGGTCCATCTACCGAGGTTTTACCGCCTCCTGCCCAAAGGCTCCACTGTTTTCCGGCGGTCGGTGCAGATGGCCGACGGCTGCCACAAGACGCGAAGTCGCCTTGGTCCCCAAACATTGGCATCAATTCCCATTTTCCCAACCTCCGTGTCGAGCTCCCTAATTTTCGCCTTATTTTCTTTTCCTTTCTCTTTTTTAGCCCTGCAAAACCAATCACTATTTCTTTTGTTTGGTGCGTTTGGATACGTACTCTGCGACCTTGATTATCCCAACCCTGCCATGTCATGACGCGAGGCGAAGTCCGTAACCCTGTGAGAGCCATGCTTCTGCCCGACTCGTGATACACACACCCCCTCTTGGTTAAGCTTGTGCGTGTCCTCTCACAGTTCGAACGATGGCCGACAGAAATGAGGGTCGTCGGGCGACCATGGACGCACCATCGAGTTTGCCCAAGAACACCCGAAATCCACCGTCCCAGTTCACCGTAAATCGCGAGTCCAGGAAGCCACTCTTCGGGCCCACTGGAGGAAGAACAAGCAGCAACATCCCTCGAGCCTCGACACCAAGCGGATCGCGAAAGGAGAAAGCAGCCGCCCTCGTTGCCCCGAGTCCCAAAGTTGGCTCCGCACGACATACCGCTGCACGAGCAGAAACGTGGATAGCTCGGCCCCCCTCGAGTGCTGGATCGGTAGATTCTAAGAAATCTGATTACAACATGTCCTCGACGCCGAAAATTACTCGAATACCCCGGCCCGCATCGACGGCACCTTTGCCGTCGACTTCTAGGAGACCCATAACGTTGTTGGATGCGTATAGATTGGCAGAGGAGGAAGATGATTTACGGGCCCGGCTGGCTTCGCCGCCGTATGGTCCGGATGTGTCGCCTAGTCCTGCACCGCGACCGTGGCTCTCGCGAAACAGCTCCGACGAAGATAAGATGAGGAAGCTACTCAATAGCGACCCGCAAGACTTCAGGGCGAGGGAATTGAGACCGGGAGACGTGGCTCGTAGCAACATCCCTAGGCGACCCGGGAGCTCCCTGTCTAGGAGAAGCTCCTCATCTAGCCTTTCCGATCGAAGGGCGTCATATGACGCCGCCAAGGGCGCCGCGGGTAACAAGACGGGCCTATTTAGCAAGTCACGGATAGGACCTAATGTTGCGAGGACCGGAGAGGCGCTCGCGCGCAAGGCGAGCAGCAGCAGTCTCAACAGCAGATCAGTATCCAGCAGCAGATCTGTATCTCCAGCCCCTCGTGCCTATCTCGACAGACCCTTGCCTGGAAGGGGTGATCCGGTTCCTAGCATTGAGCCCGGTAGCCTCGAGGCGCGACAAGTGTTGTCGTATCCAACACCAGAGTACGAAGAGATTGTATCGCCGAACAAGAGCTACGCTTGGCAGTTCGACACCGAGTTCACCGCTGGAGACCTGCAGATTTCCGACAGTCCCAGGATTATGATTGACTCCCAAGAAGCCACGGACGCGCCCCGACTCGAGGAAGCGGCACAGATAGAGCCTCGACGCCGAAGTTCATGGAGACCGCTGAATACAAAATTGGACGAGATTAGGGCGAGGGAGATACAAATCGAGAAAGAACATCCGCTGCCCAATACGCCGCCCCAACCCCAAGCACAACCACTACCCCAACCCCGGCCCTTCACCACACGCATCGACGAGATCCAAGCATTAGAACGGGAAATCGACAGACTCGTTCCGCTTGCAGATAAGCAAGACAGGCAAGAAAGCCCTAAAAATACAAAGATTGATGAGATTAGGGCTCGCGAAATGGAGGTCTTGTCGAAGAAGGCTCTCGCTTCGAGTCGGCTGGATGAAATCCGTGAGCGAAACTCCCAACCGAGAGCGAAGCTGCAATCAACGCCTCCTCCGGCAACGACAGCAGCCGCAACAGCAACACCGCCAGCAGCCACAGAGCCTGGTCAGGAGTCGACTGATTTTTATGACGCGGATTCGAGCAATCGGAATTTTGGTCTCGGCCAGGGAGAAAAAATTCCCCACACTCCAGTTACGATATATCGCAAGTCGAAGCAAGATAACATAAGCAAAGCAACCAACTTCCCCTCTGATGGAGCTTTGGGCAACCATCCTATCAATCCAGACAAGTTGAAAGAGCGTGGACCAGTTGAGACGAGTGCCCAAGATTCATCTCGAGATCTTTTGCAAAAGCTAGCTCGTGCTGCTAGTACAAGCCCCGCAGGGGAGATGCAGCCATCATCTAAAGATGAGATAGGCAAGAATGATGCAGCCTCACGATCTGAAAAGCCTGCCAAGCTGGCACCTGCAAAACACTCACCATCCAAATCCAAAACTGGCCCTACCAGCACTGGCAGTGACCAAAGAAAGCCACACAAAGCGACAGACAACAAAGATCCTGAACACAAACCCACTGTCGGCTTTGTCGGTGTCCGTCGAGTATCCTCATCAGAATCAACTCGAGACAAACGAAGAAGCATGCATTCTGACAATGATCCTACCGAGCGCATTGAGCGCGAAATGCAACTTTTTGCGCCAGCAGAAAACCATTCCGAGAAGGGATCGATCCACATACCGTCGCCAGAGAGCTCCGATGAAGGGGAGCGGGAAGAAGAAGACGATGACGCGCCGGCCGAGGAAACGCCGCGTCCGAAGAAGCAGCAGAATATCCTAGCCATGCCTACGCCGCGCATCACTGGTGCATACGTCGAAACCCCGGCAACCGTTAGGACCGAACCCCTAGCGGACGATAAGGCCCAGGCCACTGCCATTGAGAGCACCGCCACGCAAAGGGCCGCGCTGGTTAGGCGAAGGCGAAGCGACGGCAAGGGCGATCGCGGAGGCTCCGATTCGGAATTGCCCAAGTCGAAGGGGCGAGGAGCGTCGCGACCTCGTCGGAGAGCCAAGTCGCTTTCTAAGCATCGTCGTCCCCTCGTCAACTCGGCGAAGCCGCCCACCGTCAAGGACGACCTTTACGAACTACAGCGGACTCATAATATTGAAGACTCGACCCTGGACGATTTCGGCGATCTTCTCGCGCATAACACTGTGCCGGATTCCCCTGAACTCGACCAGATCCTCGAGGACCTTAAGGATAAGCTCCTAGAAGAGGTTGCTAAGGATCAGGAGAAGAACCGACAGGACCGGACCAAGAAGAAGGAAGCATCGGGAAGTCGAGAGAGCGACTTGGAGGCTTTGACTCGCATGAGCAAATCTGTGTCTGCTAGCCTCCGTGATATCCACGCGGCAAAGAAAGGGATCGAGAGGCTCTCAGACCAGGTGGTCGCCCATCCCGAAACAAAGGTTGTCAAGGAGGAGGAGGCGAAGGTTATTGAAAAGGTTGTCGAAAAGGTTGTAGAGAAGGTCGTGGAGAAGAAACCTGAGCTCGACCGACCTGACCCCACGACTACCTTGAGCGGACTTCCTGCTCCCAACGCTGCGGTCGCCTACGTCTTGATACCAATACCTCGACTCTATAAAAAATCCCCTTTCCGCTTCACTCTCCTCGGCCTTCTGACACTCATATTCTCGATCTGGTATGTCGCCGAGACAGCCATGTGCGCCAAGTACTGCCGCCCTTTCACATGCTCCTCTGCAGCCACCTGTATCTGGTCCCCCGACGATCCTACGTGGGGCGTCGCGATTCCCCAAAAGCTAGACGAGTGGACAACTGGTGGGCGCGGCCGGGAGCTTTTCGACTACCTAGTCGAAGAGGTCGATGACCTTGCCGCGGATGCCTGGGACTACCTGTACGACATCGACATCCGCACCATCGACCCCAACGAGCTCGATTTCTACGGCCGGAGGCAACATCGCCGCCGTCTAAGGAAGAAGGGCTTGATGAAGGAGGAGGTTGAAGCGCCCGAGCATAAGGAGAAATTCGATGCGTGGCATGCCATTCGGGTCGCCAAGGAGAAGGCGAGCGAGGCGAGGGAGATGGGTTATGATGTCTACGATGAGAGCGAGAGTATGAGCGACGATAAGAAGGTCTAGAGGAGGGACCACTAAGGAGAGGGCGCTCGAGAGTGTAGGAGTGTGGCCTATTCCCAACCTGTGGGTCTACTGTTTATGGTGTTGTGAAGACTTGAGACGGACGGCGTTAGTTGGTGACGGATGGATGGTGCTTTTCAACATTGCATGATTGGGAGTCAAGGTCGTTCATTCATCTATCCACGTGCTCGATTGTATTGTTAATTCTTATGTACCAAGATGAAGAAAGGGGCAAATCAAAACTGGATTCCTTCTCGAGAGTGGTTCAACGAGTGAATCGACTTGCGGGCTCTATTATGATTTGGCGATAACCAATGACCACGTGTTTCCGAGGACTTATTCCCATAACATGCGCCTTGGATACCTTCAACTTGGATCAACTGCCATCCCATTAGCATATGGTCCCATGCGTCAAGGAGCGTGGATCACATGGAATCCGGCCCGTCCTTTACACTATTTTAGTTCATGACGGCCCGAGACGTGGGCCCACCTTTCCCGACATAGCAGAGATTCCTCATCAAATCCCCCCAAGCTCAAGGAGTATCACAAGCAGGCTGTGGCTTTTCTCGATTTTTGTATCCCCAGAGAAACTGCCAGGCAAATACGGCAATGGGAATGCCTAGCAGGAGGATCCAGATCAATAGCCACGACACCAGTACCGCGACAGAGAAACCCCAAAACGCCTGGCTCACATCTCGTAGCCCATTCTCGTTGGGCTTTTGGGAACCCAAGCTATCTAATGGGACCGACAATGCCACCTGCATGGAGGAAAGCGCTAGAGATACGCTGGCAAAGATGAAGACGAGAGGGAGAGAGACCCTCGCTACGAACTCGCTAGTTGACCAGTAGGGGATCTTGTAGAACCATGGTGTTGTGGCCGACCGGGGACGGAAGATTCGCACAGCCCAATTCAGTCGCGAGAGGCGTAGTTGTCCATAATGGTATCGTTTTGCGACGCTCTGCCTTTCAATATTGCGGAAGAAACACATGAACTTCGACCACTTGAGCCAGTCAATATCATTGGGGATTAGATGAGACTCTTTCGCAATCGTGAAATCCAGCTTGCTTGTTACAAGGAGAGCATATGATCGCAGGAATCCCACTGCAAGAGACCGGTAGTGGGCTGGAGGCTGCAGTTCGAAAGACATTTGAGAGCTCTTCAACGGGGCCGTGGGTGACTGGGGAGGTTGTAAATAAAGTGTCCAAAAATCATAGTTGAGCAAGAATACGGGGACGGGTTTGACGTAAATCTTGTCGCGGTTCCAGACGAGGTGCAGCTCAGGGTCTTCAGCAGGGATAATCTTCCGGCCCTTAATTACTTGTACGTGCAGAGGGTCGATGCTGAGGCCGGACTTTGTTGCAACTAGCCAGAGCTTGTCGTAAAGCTCATCCAACAGTGGAACTTCCAGCTCGGTAGAAATGTGCTTGTATACCTCACTCGAGAAGAGCTGAACAGCAGGGTTTCCTGGTATATAAGTTATAAGGCCTTTCTTGTTGATCGTTTGGGATGAGTTCTTTTGATCATTCGTGTCCTGAGAAGGTCTCAGACGGTCTCCGTCTAGGGCACATGATGGAGGGAAAGGGGGAGACATCCTGGATGGGGTGTAACTGAGGGGATCAACGAAAGGTCGGTTGCAGCCTGGCCTCGACACGAGTAAATGGCAAACCGAGCACACTAACATCAACAAACGATTGGGCGTTGGTTGGCCTTAGGCCTTAAATCTGCGAGCACGATTTCGAGGTTCCTGCATTGTGTTTCTCACAGCCACTCGCGTTCCACCGCCGATTCGCGCCGCGAGATGGTATAACCCACGGCCTGGCAAACCGGGCTCTAATGCAAAGAGCCATGCACTACATTGTGTATTTCGGCATCCCACTTTTGATTTCGTTACTTTACGAACTAGGCACGAAGAGCATTCCGAACCGACTCGACCCCGCCCAAGCCCCAAAGTCGAGGTTTGGGCTTGTCCCGGTAGGCACTTATAATTCACCGGCCCAAGAAGGCGGGATTGAGTACGCGCAAATCCGCCCCGAGTTCCAATTTTGAGGATCGAGATTGCTGATAAGCTTAGCATCATTTTCGTTCATGGTCTCGGATCCAACCCCGACACGACGTGGCGAGCGAGAACGACGCCAAATAACATCGACGAAGAGTCGTCAGACACCGACTAGTACGTGAATTGGGTTACCGATTTCCTTTCCGACGACCTCCCTCCAGCGATCCGTTCCGATGTCCGCTTGTTCTTTTACAACTATGACTCGTATTGGGAGAGGGCGGCGGTGTACACGCGACTTCAGACCCTGGGAAACGATTTGCTCGAGCATATTCTGAATAGCCGTGTGTCCGAAGCAGTGAGTAATGTGTATTGCGACCGACTATGTTTTAGAGTATTACTGACGACCGGCGATAGGAGCGAGGCCGAGGCTTGATCTTCGTGGGATACAGCTATGGGGGTCTCGTAATCAAGCAGGTAGGTAGATAGACTCTCCCGGTCCTTGAAATGAGCTATTCCTAACCTTGAGCAGGCACTCGTTCACCGCAAAGTTAACCAAAGGCTAAGCCACATTGCTGAAAATACCAAGGCGATTCTGTTCTTGGGCACGCCTCATCGTGGATCGAGTTTCGGCTGGTGGGGTTGGCTAAAGGCCAAGATTCTCGTACCTAAGGGTTCCAATCCTTTAATACTAGCCAACCTCGGGTACGACTCACTCCCATTGCTCGATCTCCATAGAGATTTCGAAGGCGCAGTTCCAGACAGCTTGCGCGTGATCAACTTTTTCGAGCAGCGACCCGTGGTATGGGGCCAATTCGTAAGGACGACGTTCGCTGAGCTTTCTGTTCAGGTGAAGCTCTTATGAAGAGCTAACAACCACGCAATATAGTGTGTTACTGAGCAATCCGCGACTTATGGGGCATTGCCAAGGGTTGAAAACCTTGGCCTCCCCGTCAACCACTACCAACTCAACAAGTTTGCGTCAAGAAACGAGCACTACCACAGGCTACTTTCGAAGATCGTCGACATCGCAACAGCCTCGGTTAAGCCAGTCAAACGCCACTACATCGTTCCGGTCGACCCTGTACACTCGTATATCCAGCGAGACGGACTATGGAAGGAACTTGAGACAAAATTACAGATCCGGCATGAAGCTGCGAGTATTCCATATGCAGTTGCTATTCATAGGTTGGGCGGAGCGGGCAAATCCCAGCTAGCAATGAAGTATGCGGAAAGCAATAAGGATCGATATAACGTAATACTCTGGATTGACGCGACGGATGAACGTACTGTGCGGTCTAGTTTCAGACGATGCTTGACGGAGCTCGAGCTCCCGGTGGTCCAAAACGAGAGGCAGGGCTCGGCTCTTAGAGATGACGAGGCTATCCAGAGCGTGCTAAGATGGCTTCGCAGCCGAACACACCCAACCGATGGATGGCTTGTTATCTTTGACAATGCTGATGATCTCAGTTGGGGAATAAGAGAAATAATACCGAAAGGAAGCCAAGGACGTGTGATCATTACTAGCCAGGACGAGCGCAGCCGAATGCTCATTCCAGGGGGCTGTGAGCAGATCCATGTTGGTGTTATGTCGCCTCAGGAAGGGACAGCACTTTTGCTCCGGCACCTCGGCCTGGATGTCGAGTCCGCCCCGGCAAAGGTCCAAGTTCGCTGTGGTGAGGTGGTACAAAAGCTTGGCCACTTGGCACTCGCTATTGATCTTGCAGGTGCTTATATTGGCAATGATCCGGTTCCAGAGGCGGCTCTAGTACAGTATTTAGCCGACTACAACCTGCATCGCGACGAGCTCTTGAAAATGGATGCTTTTCAGGGCCTCTTAGCGACTGAGAAGACAGTATGGACAGTATGGGATACAACGCTCGAAAAGCTGACAAGGAGTCACCCTAATCTGCAACCTGGTTTCCTGTTAACTTTTCTTGCGCACTTCAAAGGGACCGTGATTCAGGACGAGATATTCCGTCTAGCAGCTCTTAGCATTCCGCGTCTCGATTCTCCACTCACTAATGAAATACCGACCCAACTTGGGCGATATCTCTCATTAGTCGGAGAAGAATGGGATAGTTTTGAATACCGACAGGGTCGCGATCTGCTCATTCGCTACAGCCTCTTGCAACGGGTAGAAGGAGACTGGCCTGGTGTAACTATGCACAAGCTGGTCCAGTGGCGGGCAATTAGGAGTGAGACGAGTCATCCCTGGCAGTGGTGGCATATGGTGTTCATCTCGGCCGCAGGCCACCAGGTTATGGAGGAAGACCATCGGCCCGAGTTTCGTCGCCATCTCGTCGCGCAGCTCGTACACGCCTGTACAGATTGCCGCGAGGAAGATACGGAGCAAGGGCAGTTTTACCTAGCCTTGCTTGGCAGGATTTACCACGCCGAGGGCCGGTGGGAGGAGGCTGAAAAGCTGCTAACGCGGGCAGTAGAAAGTTATAAGGTATCGCTTGGGCCCTACAACCATAACACACTCGTTAGCATGTCATATCTAGCGTCGACATATGAGAACCAAGGCCGATGGGGCGAGGCTGAGAAGTTACAGCTCCATGTGGTGGAGACTTACAAGGCGACTCTTGGGGCAGGTCACACCAGCACTATTGCTGGTATGGCCCAGTTGGCACTGATATACAAGAGTCAAGCCCGATGGCAAGAGGCTGAGAAGTTAGAGGTGCAGGTGATCCAGGCCTACAAAGTGAAACTTGGAGCCGATCATCCTTCTACTCTTACTGGTATTGCTAACTTAGCATTAACGCTCTGGTATCAAGGCCGGTGGCAGGAAGCTGAAGGGCTAGAGGTGCAAGTGTTAGAGTCTCAGAAGGCGACGCTTGGGCCTCACCATCCCGATACACTCCAGAGCATGAACAATTTAGCTTCAATCCTCACGGATCTCCGGCGGTGTCAGGAAGCCGAGGAGCTATTGATCCATGCGATAGAAGGCTACACAATGAAGCTTGGTCCTGATCATCGAGATACACTCGCCAGTATAAACAACTTGGCATCAGTGTATTTACAGCAAGGTCGATGGGATGAGGCCGAGGGGCCGCTTAGGCAAGTGGCGGAAGCGTACAAGGTGAAATATTGGAGTAACCATCACGATACCATCACTAGCCTAAATAACCTAGCCCTGACGTATCAGGCGCTGGGCCGGTTGGACGAGGCTGAGGAGTTGCAAGTGCAGGTGCTGGAGGCTTGTAAGATCACTCTTAGGCCGGACCATCCTCATACGCTCCATACCATGAGCAGCGTAGCCCACGTGTGGAAATTGCAAGGCCGGCATGGAGATGCATTGGCACTCCTGAAGGAGTGTTTTTATAAGCGCCAAGGAGTCCTCGGCCCAGATCACCCACATACTCTTGCGACTTCTTCCATGTTAGAGAAATGGGCTGCATTTCAGTACTGATGTTCCCATCGAATAGTTGATGGCAACCAAACACCACATTGTCGTCGTCATCTTCGATTCTGGAAGGGGCGGGCCAGGGACGGGACTGTCTTTGATTACCATCACCAGGCTAGTGCGGGTATAGAGTGTCAGGGTAGATTTGCTCGATAACCACAATGTTCGTAATCGAGAAAGGATTACTTTTCTAGGGCTTATTGTCATCATGGCAGCTTCTCTCCGCAGAGGAACCAACAGCTTGAGGGGATCTGCCGGAACACTGACCAGGAGCGGAATGTCTAGGAATTAGCTAGACGCAATCTCCATGTCATAATACCTACCTCGCTGAGTGATGGGTAGGGTATCGGGTCGGCACATCGTGGCCACTTTGTTCTCCAGACTTGGGGGGTTTCTCGTGTTCTTCTGAGGACCCATCGGCAAAAGCAGCCTGTATTATGAAGGAACTTCTCGCGGTATGCCTCGAGATTTTCAATACTGACCAAGCCGCTCCAACGCACTCAGTATCCAGCAATGCGCCATTCCTTCCAGGACCCTAGAATTTGAAATCTCAATAAATATTCGTGATTACCTGGGCAGTTTTGATGCGGAAGTTGTGATGCTCGACATCGGAGTCCTCGACTCGTATCGCGTGACTAAGCATCCGCCAAGCCCGCCGAAATGGGAATGTCGTGTTGCGTTGCGTTGCGTCTCCTGGATCTGCCCCAAGCCCCCGAACCCCCCCCCAGGAGTATTGCCTCATCAGCTGAAATCCAACCCTTTTGTCGAATCGACAAAAGACCATGGGCGAATGCAATCGGTGATTCTATATCGATTATTTTCTTTTGGCCCCGTCCATGTCTGCTTCAGCAACGGTCACCAGACAGGCTCGGAGAGCATCGCCCAGTTTCTTTCTAACGTTCTAATCTCGGCCTCTTTTGCGTTTCGCCTTTTCGTTTTCCGTTTCCTCGACGCTCCTTTTCCTATCGCCTTTAATTTCGAAGTCCCTCGCTTATGATCGATCAACTGATATTCTATACTCATTACCCTTTCGATTGAAACCTCTACGTTCCTTTTTATGCGCGAGCAAAACATACTCCGAATATACCGAACGACTCCCTGACACGATGAACGGTCATCGGGATCGGGCCTTGGACGCCGATCCTCCCATACCGACGTACGACGAAGCCGTCGCCGCGGGGACTTTGTGGAGCCATGCAGATGAGAGATCTGGTGGAGACAACACAGAATCCCAATCACTATTACCATCACATAGCAATGCTGGCCCTTCACGGCATCACCCTGCGGGGTACAGGCCTCCGACCGTTGAGACAGACGACGAAGATAGCGAGTGGACGAGCGAAGAAGAAGACGATGACGAGACCATACAAGTGCGACGGGAGATCCATGAGATGGAAATAGAAGAGGCCGAAGAGCGCACGCGATCATCGATCTGGGGTAAACGTATGCCATTCTCCTTATCACTGCCCAAGTGGAGATGGTCTTGGCGCTTCCGGATACCACGGCCTCAAATTCGACTACCTTCAAGACCCGAAGCCAGCGGCGACGGCGATGTTGAATCCGGCGAGGGGGAAGGAACGAGGAGAAGGTGGAATATACCCAAAGTCGAGCCCTCGGTAGTGTTGCTCTTTATTGCTCGAATCCTGGCGCTTTTCGTTGTGATTGGCTTCTTCTACATCATTTTCGTAAGTGACCTCTTGACCGGGGTTGCGAACCGCGTCGGCGCGGGCATACGACCCAGCATTGAAGATCTGAGGATCTTCCTCCACAATCATCTCGACGAAGCGCATATGCGCACATCGGTCAAACACTTCACCAACTACGCCCACGTCGCGGGTACAGAGGGCGATTACGCCTTGGCGGAGGACGTCCGGGAGATGTTCATTCGGGCGGAGCTGGAAGATGTAACCATGGACCGGTACCATGTTTACCTCAACTATCCGAAGCCTGGTGGTCGTGCCGTGGAGGTTTTGGGAGACGATGGGAACCCTGTATTCGCAGCAAAGCTAGAAGAGGAGGATATTGCTGGGGTTTCTGCTGGAAGGCAGACGTTTGCTTTCCATGCTCATTCCAAGTCTGGCGATGTCAAGGGTCCGCTCATCTATGCAAACTACGGCTCCCGTGAGGACTTTGATATGCTCAAGCAGGCCGGCATCAGCACAGAAGGAGCAATCGCCCTCGTAAGGTATTCTGGCACTCAGAAGGACCTTGCACTGAAGGTGAAGGCTGCGGAACTTGCAGGCTTTATTGGCTGCATCGTCTACAACGACCCGGCCGATAACGGGTTTAGGAAGGGCGATGTAGCGCCCCACGGACGCTTCATGCCAGCCGACGCCGTTTCGCGCGGCTCCGTTAGTTCCTCGAGGTGGGTCGTCGGTGATGTTCTCACCCCTGGCCGGTCGAGCACAAAAGATGCCGAGCGGGTCTCGAAGTCGGATGCTGCCGCGCTTCCGGGCATCCCGAGCTTGCCTCTCGCCTCGCGGGACGCCGGGCCTTTGCTCAAGGCCATCAAGGGCTTTGGCCAGCCCACTTGGCACGCATGGGTTGGTGGCGTTCCTGACATCGGTGACTGGTGGACTGGCAACTTGTCATCCCCAATCGTCCACCTGAAGAACGAACAGGACGAGATCGAGAGGCAGGCCGTCTGGAATGTGTACGGCAGGATTCAGGGTATCGAGCAGAATGAAAAGTCCATCATTATCGGTAACCATCGGGATTCTCTAGCCATCGGTGCTACCAACCCTCACAGCGGTACATCTGTCATGATCGAGCTGGCGCGAGTGTTTGGAGAGTTGCGCTCTCGCGGATGGATACCCCTTCGCACCATCGAGTTCATGTCGTGGGATGGAGCGGAGTACAACCTCATTGGATCGACGGAATACGTCGAGCTCAACGAGGAGGACCTCCGCGAAAATGCCTACGCCTATATCAACCTCGACCGTGCCGTCGTGGGTTCCGAGTTCCACGCCTCCGGATCGCCCGTTTTCAACAAGCTGCTGTTTCGGATCCTAGACCGTCTATGGGACCCCGCCTTCAACACGACCCTTCGAGATGTGTGGAATAACCGGAACGGCGTGCTTGAGAACCTCGACTGCGAAAGCGATCACGTCGCCTTCCAAGATATCGCCGGCACCAGCTCCGTCGATCTCTCTTTCCAGGGTCCAGGCTTCCCCGAATTCACGAGCTACGACAACTTTGACTGGGTCGAGGCTATCGGCGACCCGGGATTCACCTACCACCGCATGATGGCCGAGATCGTCGGCCTCATGGTCCTCGAGCTCTCGGACCGCTACATTCTCCCCTTTGACATGGAACACTACGCCAACAAGCTCGGGACGTACGTGAAGGAACTGAATGTCTGGGCCAAGGGCGTTGCCAGCAATGCCCCCGGCGACAAGAAGCCTTCGCTCGACCTCGCGCCGCTCATCGAGGCAGTTAAGCTTGTCAAGGCGAGCGCGCATGACTTTGCCATGTGGGAGATGGAGTGGGATTCTACAGTGCTTGGTGGTGGGGGGTGGGAGTCGACGTTTATGAATGGGCGGAGGAAGGATTATAATAATCGCATGGCGCGGTTTGAGTCGGAGCTTTTGGATCCCGCTGGGGTAAGTCCTTCTATCTCGATTCATTTCCTTGCTTCTTCTTTTTCTTTTTATGAAGAGATCAATCATTAACTTAGACCTTTTGCCTCTAGATTCCGGGACGTACCCAATTCAAACACGTCGTCTTCGGCCCTTCCCGCTGGGATGACACGACCAAGTCCCAGTTCCCCGCCATCCGCTCCCTCGTGGAAGACGGCAAGTGGAACGAGGCCAATGTCCTAGTAGGGCAGACAGCTGCGATTCTCATCAAGGCCGCAGAGCAGCTCAAGCTCGGCTGAGAGGCTTCTCATTTATTCAACTGTTTTGCCCGATGTCTAACAAATGGCGGGACGCTTGGCAATGTCGATGATCACCCTTTTCAAGGCTTGTATGTTGTGCGTTTTTCTGCTGCGATGGACATGTGTATCTTTACGGATTGGAAGGGCTCTTCTGGCTCTGGATTTAGTTCCGGCTAGTCCAGGCCTTTAAGGACGGTGGTTAACGGGGCGAATGCCCTATTTTTACTCCTTTGTTTCTGTTCTTTTTTTTCCTTGCATAGGTTTGGAGTTACGGAAGGGGTTTTTTACACTACAGGAGGGAGGAGGTTACCGAAACCTTCCTCTTCCCTCGTCTCTACCGGTCCTTTTTTGGAATTGATATTTTCCCTATGTCGTCGTCTATATACGAGGAGAGGGGAAAAGGGAACTCTCCTAGATTCGGAGGAAGATGTACACAGCAACTTCTTTTTGCTTCTACATATTCTGCTCATAGCTCCGTCCCCTGCGTTTTGACATTCCTTTTGTTTTCGTCCTTCAGTTTCTTTTCTCGTATCTTCATTGTCTTGTACATGAATTGATAATCTGATGTCACTGTTCTGAATAATGTGCCATTTGATATTCGACGATGGGTGAGAAATGTTTCGCTGGATTTAAAACCTGAGTCTTTACACAACAAAGCAAAATCAAGATGCCTATGAAACGTAGTTCAAACCGAGACAACATAAAGGAAAGTGAAAAGAAACAAAAAGGAAAAGGTTTATTATGTACAATAGTGGTACTTTTAATACCCCATATCGGACAGCTGCCACCACCTCTCTCCCCCCCTTACAACCTCCACCAACATCCCAAAATTGGGGATTAATCGACGTTTTCAAGAAGCGCTTGGGGAAGTTGTCTTAAAAACCCTCACTCGCGCATTGTATCAGACGGCCCCAGACTAACTCGGGTACAAGACTACGCCCTCAAACTGTCGGCTCCGAATGTTATCGAGCGTCTGGTGGAAGTGCTTCTTGCTGTGCTCTACCGAGGCAGAGTCTTGCTGGTTGCCAGCGAGATTGGAGTGGATGAGCTCGATGAGCCCGTTCAAATACTTGGTCGTAACCTGGAGGATAAGACGACATTAGTAAAACTGGAACTGAGATGCGCTAGGAGAAAACAAAACATACGGATTCATTTCCTTGGTCAAAGTAATAGACATATCTGTCAAGGATCTCCACAAAGAGCTCGATGGAAGTGGCGGTCTCCATGCAGGAATCGGCAACGCGGAGTGCTCTCTGAAGACACTCAAGTACGCGCTTCCCGTCACGATAAAGCTGTAGTAGGGACTGATGATTAGCGGCTTTCTGGTATTAGAAAAGAAAAGAGATTCCAATAGGTCCCTCCCACTTACCTCGGGTTCTTCCTTCTCCGAATCCGTCTGTCCGTGTTGCGGCGTGGCCCACCACAGATGGCTAGCAAGGTAAACCGCGCGACACTGATCCGGTTTCCTCAGCAGCTTGCTGCCATGCTGCGCGCACTTCGTAATAAGCGTATCGTAGTTCTCCCGCCCGAAATTCCTCGTCTGGTGCAGCGCGCTGGCGATGACGCAAACCGCTTGGAACTGTGCCTTGGAGTCCGAGATGGCCTCCTCGTAGACCGTGAACGCCTGTGCGAAGAACTCGTACGCCACCTCTTCGAATCCGGTCTTGTCAGCCGTCTGGCCGGCGGCGCAGAAGAGGCGGAGCGCCAGTTCTGCGGCGCCGGCGCCGTTGACACGGGTGTACAGCGTGCTGATGGCCGAGTGCATGAACTTGTAGAGGGCGTTGCTTTGCGTCTCCCAGTTGTCCACGTAGTGCTCCTTTGCCTTGAACCTGTGCGCTAGCTTCATGCAGGCAGTGAGGAGCGGCGGCGTCGTTGTGCGGATCCTCTCGTTGCCTTCCGAGAACGACTTTCGCGTTATTTGTAGTAGGCGGAACTGCGTGTCGTTATCTTTGCTTTGTAGGAGATGGACAACCCGGGCAAGCCATCCTTGCTCCTCAAGAGTCTCATCCGTCTCCGCGCGCCGTTGGCCAGCCACGGGATAGCCTCCAGATGACTGGGATCCTTCCTTGATGATGACCTTCAGCACTTCCAGCACACTATCGAGTTCCGGGATCGTCGAGATGGGTGTCCTGTTCTTTAGGAGGGTCCGCACAACCTCTCCCGCCAACGCTCTTCTAGTCGGATAGCCTTGCGCTTGGCAGAGGGGAACAAAGGTGGGAAGAGAAAGCGCGGTGAAAATGGAAACGTAGCGGGTCAGCGGAGCGCGAAGAAGAGCTAGCAGGCTGTTCTGGGCAGGCGCGGAATGGAGGTCGGCATTGTTCGCGTGCTCCCTGACCTTCAGGAGAGCGTAGTCGAAAATCTGGTCGACGTAGTCCAGCCTATCGGGGTAAATATTGAGAGCGAGGTTCGTCAATGACACGAGGAGAGCGATCGTGTCCTGGATCGGAAGGTGCTGTGCGCCTACGAGATGCTGAACTTGCGTGAAGAATATCTCGTATAAATGAACATTGGTAGGGATTCCCGGCCGGGCTCCGTCCTTTTCGGATCCGTTGGCATCTGCGGTAGTATTCTCGGCGCCAGCCTCGGGTTGGGCAGCGGAGGATTCGCCCTCGGTAGCTTCGGGAGTCTCCTTTGGCGCTTCATCACCACTCTTTCCAGTGTCTTCTGCCACAGTGTTCCCATTCGTGTCTCCATCCCTGGGAGGGTGGTCCGCATTCTCGGCCTCGACAGCGGCAGCGGCAGCCGTGGCAGTGGCGGTGGGGTTAGCAGCCGAGGGCGCCAGACTCTCCTTTCTCAACTTGACGGTCTCAAGCAAGGAAGCGAGGGCGTCCGCTTCGATCTTTGCCCTATCCTCATTCGGTTCGTTCTTGCCCTCGCGCTCGGCGTAATCTGATAGTCTGTCCATTAATCCGATCACGATGGCTTTCACGTTCACGTGGGGGTTCAGGCGCGAGACGGCGCCGAGGAACTGATCCAAAGTATGAAGGTGGAACTCGTCGGGGAAGACCTGAGTAATGACCTCGAGGAGATATTCCTGGGCTAGGACATCGCGGCATTGGACAACCTGTTCAAGGAGGGGGCCGAGGATAGAGTTCTTGTACGTCTCGAGGTCAACCAGCTGGCTTAACCTCACAATATTGCTCCCTACCAAAAGTTGCAGCTCTTTCCTCTCGCGGCTTCGTTGTTCCCGTTCTCTCGAGTGGCCCTGGTGTTGTAACCTTACCCAGAGTTTGTTCATCTCAACAAAATTGGTCAGAATAAAGTTGATGGAGTCCTGGAGGTTGCCTTCCGGGCCGTCACCATCTCCGGTCGGCAGGTAGTCCCTTGCTTGGCCGGAAAGAAAATATCTCAGGAACAGGCCCCGGATGGGGTGCTGCACACCGCGGCTCATGTCCATCATGTCCTTCATCAACTCTTTGACGGGAGCGTCTGGGATCGACATGTAGGCGGTCCCGACAGTTATCATAAGATACATTCTTGGTACGATGTTGCCGGCGTATTGGACGAGTTCGTAGAGGTCTGCGAGGTGGTTGACGGGATGGTTCTCGCGGAGGTGAACCGAGAGATAGCGTAGAGCGTCGAACACAGCCATATAGAGCTCATAGTATTGTTTAGGTCCAAGACTCGATGTTCGAAGTTCGGAAACTAGGGTAGAGCTATCGACGCGGGGAGGAGGATAGTTAGCTTCTCTGGTCGATAAGTTTCAGAGACACCCAGGGGAAAGGCAGGGCCACATCGCAGCTATTAGGAGTGCCATGGCGCTTCGGACTTGTCGGAACATACCAACACTTAAGAGCGTCCATCAACTTCCCAGGCGTATCCAGGCACTTCCGCATCAAGGCGGTTTGCTGTCGCACGGCGACGAGGGCATCTTCCAGCAGACGGGCCTGGTCCTCCGGCACCGAAGGCGAAGCCATCTTGGCAAAGAGTTTTCAAATCGGTAGCGGGAGGGGTAGCTTCAATCCGAGCTGGGATAGGTGTTCCCGCATTAACAGGCGGCAAAGCGCGAGATATCTCGGCGTCCTGCCAAGGATGCAATCGTCCAGGTGTCGACTTGGGGATAAGTCTCCGATCCGACGCGTAGCGCGTGAAGCAGCAGGACCGCCTGTGTTGGCCGAGGAAGTGGTGGATCACTTTCAACGAATGAAGGTAAATCGGGGGCGGGCGCTAGCGATGATCTTGATATTACGCTTCCACTGATATTGATCGACGAGTCCAGGATAGGCGACGAACATGATCCAGGGACCGCTTAGAGTGGGAGGGAGCTTACCTAATACAGAATTCCTCTCCTGGAAGCTGCCAAGCCTTAGTCCTTCAATGGGAAGCTGCCTCCGATGACGACGACATCCTTCCACGTGACTGGCTCGTTTCTGCAGGACGAAGTGCTGCTGCCCTTGTGCAGAGGTACCTCAGTACCCACAGCGTAGTCGTTCAAACTAAGAAGCATCAAATCCATCCTCAACGCATCAGACCCGTGGTATTGAGATGATGTTGCAGATCTGGAAACAGAATTGCGAATCTCAGCAACGAGTTTCTTTATCGAATGAAAAGTCAAGCTTGCTTGCCTTATTCGAGACCCGTCCCCCCGGACCAAGCAGGTTAGGACAGACACGAAAGTGGTGAGACATGATGAGGAAGGAAACTGGGGCAGTTGGTTCCAAGCCTTGCGCCGCCCTGTTCATGTTCGCGGATTTAGTCTCTTATCTCACAGGCTCACATTGGTGTTCCTGCATTGCTGCATTGACTCGGTTTTGGCGACCGACAGGTCGCCATCCACCAGCACCGGGTTCTTGCAGCACTTCTTACTCCTAACATAGCCGTTCATCTCAGATAACAGAGCCAACGGACTGAGACTCTAATTTAATTCAGACCGCCACATCCCCCCCTACGAAAAGCAGTTTTCGCCAGTGGCTGAAGAAATGTTGAGGAAGAGGCTAATGTCTCTTGCTGATAAGCCGAAGGAAACTTGGATCAACCTAGTGTAGGGATCGATGCTCCGAGAACACTTCACGATGTCCTTGGTTTCAACTGTCACAGGAGATGAATTGCATCATTGGCTCTAACCAATTGTTGCAACGCTTCGATCAAAGAGCCGTTCACCTTCTTTGAGGGCCTTCTTTTATCTCCGGAAAAGCACCCGAAATATCTCGCAATGTTTCCCATATTTTCTATATAAAAAGACGGTCCAACCAAACACCGCTCACACTGCCTGAGGCCATCGATCAGATTAACAGCGACCGGAAAGCGTTCAGTCCTTTACGCGTCATCGAGAGAACAGATCTGAGGCAGAACCAGCTGAAGAAAAGAACGGTTTCCAGAACCCAAGAGTAGAGAGAGCTGGTCCTGCCTTCGGAGCATGCCGAGTAGCAGTGATAAGCTTCTTGTCGTGGGGGCTCATTTGGTACACGTAGAAGACGGAGGTTTTACTATCGATCTTATATGGAGTGCTAAGATAGCCCCGGCTCTTCTCTCGTCTCTCTCCTTTCATCGACGGTGACTTATTGTGGAAAACGCCTGGCGGTCTTTGGAGCCCAGCAAGGCTGCCAGGCATCTTTCTCCTCCTTTCTCCTCCGTCCCGATCCTTTTACCCCACATGCAGAATCCAAAACTATGTGTGTTACTGCAGGCTGTAACGGATTCGATTTGTCCCGAGTTCACCATTGCTCGCTGCTGGTGCGAACCTTAAAACGAGAAATTTCCCGACTCGCCAGACTGCGGCATTCCGACTGCAACCTTAATTCCCCCGGACCATCACCCACGATTGAGCCTCTGGCAACTTCATCCCACTTCGCTCGAGAAACCCAATCCATCAAATCCATCCACGGTTCGCAAAAATGCACATAAGCGAAATGTAGTTTTATTTCTCGGTGCCATTCCCTCCAGCCGAGAACAAATTCTTCCTTTGGGTGTCTCAATTTGGGGTTTGGCGAGTGATGACAAGAAACCGCCAAAACACGGGGTCGCCAAGACTGTATGATTGTCGCTGCCATGCAAGTATCACAGGCCCTCCAAGTCCCGGCAAGTCTACGTCGCCGCCTCCGCCAAGCTGCCGCCGCCAAGCATTCCTCGTCTCTCTGTCGCATCGTGAGCTTCATTGGACCCGACAGATCTATAGTTGACTTTCTTACCTAAGTAGTCTATCGTGAACACTACCTCCGAGATCCTGATCGCCGTCGGATGTTTATCGCATCCGCCCCACGCTTGCGTAGGAACGGATCTTTTTTTCTTCGTGCGCCGTTCCAATTGTCCTCGTGCACTCCTTGGCCGCCTGTCAGTGCACTAGTCCTCTCTCTCCGGTACTCACGATGGCGGCAGCTACCAGTCCCTTCGTTATATACCCCGTAGTTTAACTCATGCCCACGATCATGACCTTGGATCTTCCTTTCTTTCTCCTCTCCTCCTAGATCTAAGCCTTACGTAGTCCAGCCTTACGAAACAGAGCCTCTCTTTCCCCCTCCCTCGTATCATTTCCTTTCGCTTCTCGGTGCTGGTCGCCATCTTTTTTTCTTTTTTTTTTTCTTAGAACTGTACTTTTTTTTGTAATTCACCCAAGGCCGGCCTTGCCATCTCATTCTCTTCTTTCTCTACGAAACCAGAACCAGCACAATGTACATGTCCCTCTCCAACATGTTGGGCCTCGCCCTCTCGTCCTGCGCCCTAGTCAGCGCCAGCGCCTCATCCACCGACGACACGATGATCCGCCGCCAAGTCAACGCCAATAGCGTGTCGACCGCCGATTTCAAGTCCCGATTCGAGCAGTCTGGCATCGTTCCCGAGGTTATCGCCGCGCTTGATCCCGCTGTCTCGTTTTACGCTTCGTACAAGACTAGTACCGGCCAAGATGCTCTTCTCGTTCCTGGTTCGACCCTGACAGTTGCTGGTAAGTCGCTCGGGATGCCGCCTGCCAATACAGCAGAGATGTGTATAAATGGGGATCAAGGCTAATGGATGATATCAGAGGCTGCTTTCCCATTCGAATTCTCCGTCGAGAACCTCGGGAATGCGACCAACATCACCACTAGCACCAGATATCTCATCTATCTCGTAAGTCAACACAATATCCTCCAATCCCCCCCTTTCCCCTTTCCCCCCCGGGAAAGAACTATGAACTGACAATCCAACCCAGCTGGACGCCGACGCCCCGAGCCGCAATGACCCCTCCGCCCGCAACCTCCGCCACTACCTCGCCGGCAACTACACCCTCTCCAACACCCCCTCCAGCGTCCTCCCCACCGCCCAACGTCTCTTCCTCCCCTCGGCCGCCAGCTTCCCCTTCACACCCTACCAGCCACCCCAGCCGGCCGCCAACACCGGCGTCCATCGCTTCATCTATGCGCTGTACACGCAGCCTCCGCAGTTCAACCTTGCCAATTTTGACTCTGTGGGCATGTCTCCTGAGACTTCGAACTGGAGTGTAAGTGAAGAAAGGAACCTCCGGGACTGAGACAGAAATGAGAAAAAAAAAAAAAAACAACCTCCGACATGAAACTGTATCGGAGATAAAAGGACTTTTGTACTGATTCAACCATATAGCTCCCCGAATGGCGAATGCAACTCGGTCTCGGCCCCGCCATCGGCGCCACTTTCTTCACCATCGATACCGGCGCCAACAACGGCGAGGGCACCAGCGGTCAAGTCGATACGGTAGCCCAGGGTGGCGTCACCGCTGCGGCCTCGGGTCTTTCCTCGCCGATGTATCCGGCCGCCTTGACGGCGCTTACTCTCGCAGCGCGCCTTATGGTGTAATGACGAAGGAATGATCGATGCCTCTTCCTCTTAATCTTTCATCTTCCTCTCCGTTCTTTTCCTTAGTTTTTATTTCAAGACAGCTATTATCCTCAAAATCTCTTAACGCGAGTATTTGGGTATTCGTTTGTCTTACTGTTTTACTTTTCCAAGCCAGGCGTCGTGTGGTATGGTCTCGACGGTTGATGGATACCCTCCTTAAGCTATTGTACTCTTGGCTTTTGTTTCTCGTCTAGCGATACCTTTTGCATGTTTTTTTTCTGCTTCGTACCAGTTTTTGTATGTCGATTTTTTTTCCTCCCTTTTTCTCGTTATTATTTTTCCTTATTGGGCATTGCTTCCAAGTACGAAGTACACTTTTATGATAGATAATTCTAGCATTGATTTCTCATTGATATTTTTTTCCCTCTTTTTTCAGCTGTGCCTGTCTTCACACCCCATGCATGCCCAACCCCTTGGCAATGGAAAAAACTGGAGAATAAAAAAAACGAACATCAATGGTTCGCCTACGCGAGGGTTGCCCGAAGATGGCGGGCCGGGATACGGCGCATCCAATCGGAAAAGAGGGCATCGGCACCGGCATGCCCCTTCAACGAATAGTTTGTGTGTCCTTGCTCGACTCATTGGGTATGAAAACCTCAGGGTTCCAGACCGCAATCCTCTCATAAACTAGAAAAAGAAGATGAAAAGATTGAAAACCCCTGTAAAAGGGAAATAAAAAAAAAGGGGGAACGATGGTTGACATACAACCAGTCAGTCCTCCCTCGAAGTCTGTCGACCTCCTGTACTCCGTGCTTCACCCTACAACAGAACAAAAAAGTATCGTGACTTCTTCGGAGCCGACGGCATCTCCCATCTGGATGCGTCAGCCGTGGACAGGGATCTCGAGGGACAATCCGCGCGGAAGCGACCCAGACGTTCAGACAGACCGCCTTCTTCCTCCCCGCCCTCCCGGTGACCTTGTAGGAACTGCATCAGCCATTGGCCCTTGAGTTCACGTCCCAAATATTTTCACCACCTTCCCAAGACGCCGACCATGTCCTCGTGAACAAACGCTGGGATACCGTGCACGTCCTTACGAGGAGACTTCAGTGATGACCTCCTGGTGGAGGGTGGAAACGTGCGGGGCCACCTAACGCTAACTAGAAACTAATCGGGTCCGGATACTTAATGTGGGAACTTACCATCACGAGGGAATCTGCCTACATTGGTCGCCATTTGGTGCCCTCAGAGGGCACATCGTTAGCCTTGAGACACCGGCCGGAGCCGTTCAATGGCAGTGGATGGGCGGGAAAACCAGCCCGGCAAGGATCGGGAATGTAATCCCGGGTATGTAACTGTCCAAGGTATGGAGTCCCGCAAAACCGGTTGAGCTGTGTAACATCGAAGCGGTGAAGGCCCACCAATCTTCCCATACCCTTCAGCTACGAGGCACGAAGTCGGATTTCGGGCAGATTTAGAGCCGGGCTCAGAAGGAGTTGAATTGAAAAAGATGACCCCACTCACAAGTGACTGGTCTGGTGCTTCGGGGAATGGGTAGAAATGCTTTGAGTGACGGCGAGCAAAAGAATACTGAACAAGCAAGGGTGGGTCTACTTCGTATGGCATACGATCCTTGTTTACGTTGTTTTGTCAAGAGCATGGCTAGGAACGGACGCAGACGCCTTGATGGCGGGATTCGTCGGTGTTGACACTAGACTTGGGCCTGCATCTTCCAACTGCCGGCAAGTCTAAAAACCGACTCGTTGTACAGGAGGCTAAGGATAGAGGGGGGATTGATCACAAAGGACAGTAAGGAGTCGGGATGGATTTCAGCTTCGACTCATTAGAATGCGGCACGTACCCGTAGAATTAGGTCCGAAGCCATCGATTCCATGAGTAACCTATTAAGGTTAATCGCCTCATCTTAATTATTTCTTCCGAAGCTTTTATGTCGTGGAGCATGGAGCATCTAGGTCCAAATACTCAGCATTGAGGAGAGGACTCCGTGGGACGTGGGTTTACGTTCCGTAGCCTAGTAGTCCTCGGGGGGGATGCACCAGTCAGCTCGAACTCGTTTGCTCTTTCCCGAATGAAGAGTTTTGGGCCTTTCCAGATTATTCGGTGAATAGGGTGTTGTGCAGACACTTTTTTCGTAGCAATGACGGGCATTATCCGACCCGTGGGCGGGATTAGTGTCGTTCCTTCCTACCTTCATCCTTCGTACGCTCCATGCAGGCAGGATGACGCTAGCCACATAGCCCGGTGAGCCCATCCTACTCTGGACCTGTCATGTGGATGTTCTCCACGACGAAGCGGATCCTAGGGGACGCTAGCACGAGATGCTTGGGGTAAGCTAAGCTGGCCCTAATTCTCCAGCCCGATTTGGTGTCTAGAAGCTACTGCCAGCGTGCGATGCGCCATGCGAGGCCAGCTCAAGGGATTCGTCAGGGACGAATTGAAAACTCACGAGCGCAGCTAACTAGGAGTATGAGTTCGCATGATGTGACCTGGGTGGCAATGCTAGCTCGAGTCTCTCGTCTCCACGATGTCTCAAATGATCGGTTTCGCGGACCAATTTCGCTGATGCACCTATTGCATTAGGATTCGTCGTGTGCGAGGACAAGAATCTGTGCGACGGGTCCACGAGCCTCGGACAATGGCGCTACGTTTGCTCCATGGATATAACAAGTTTAGCTGTCGTTAGTGAACCAAAAGCAAAAGGGGAGACAGGACAACCATCGGAAAGTCGGTAAAATTCGGTCGGCAGGCAGGCAGGTTCTTGTACTTGTACTTCGTACATCCAACCAACAAAGCAAGAGTTTCAAGTAAACTACATCCGGACTGTTGGGCAAGCCGAACCCGGGTGAGAATATTGGCAAGCCCAACATGCTAGAATACTCTTGGAAAGTTTCGTTCACCCATTGGATCCTGGAATGCTGGATGTGGCCTCGCTTCGATGGCGATATGCCTTGGGTGGGTCTTCCTCTTGCAAGATGGAGAGTTCCGAGAGGGTTGTCGGTGAGAATGGAGAATATTTTGTGGTGAACGGACTCGCCTGGTGCAGCGTAGCATCAAACCCTCGTCATACCACTTATACTCACGAGAGACCGGACTGCAACTGTAGAGCAGCTTGAAGTAACCGAACCCGCGTGCGCAGAAAATTGGAGCATGAACAATCAACTGCATGCGGATGTGGTATGGTGTAAGAGTACGAACCAAAAATTCTCCCTTTGACCAGACCGAAGTTCACTTGGTGTGTCTGTTGGGGTTTGAGGTTAAACTCTTAGCCTGTGGCTGGTACATCACGATCGGCAGCTAGATATGGTCTAGCCCCAGGTACTTGTGGATGTCCCTGTTAGGAAAACGGATACCCTTTAGAATCACGCTTCATTGCTCAGACTGGCTTGAGACTTGAGAATCCTGCTTCGTAGTGAGCGCTCCACTTTCACTCTAAAAAGCAAAATCAGGGAGAAAAGCATACACTAATACTTCGTACCGAGGCCGCCGACACTGGTGGTCACCTGTAGCAGAGGAAACATCGGGTGTTAAAGATTGCCAGTTAGCTCGGGTCCAAGAAGGGATATGAGTGGCTTGCTTCTTGTACATCCTTGACTGGGGGCGGTGGAATTGATAGTCAAAATACCTGGGCAGAGAAGTTCCTCTCCTGCAGCACGCCGTCCTCAACAAAGCCGCACCTGCAGAGATGAGTTGAGAAACAGGAATCCAAGACTTTTCTTCATCTACCACCCTGCTTGTCTCACACACACTTCGGAATAAAGAAATGAAATCCTATTTTCGACGTTTGACCTTGGTCTTAGCGTCATAGAGACTGAAAATAGAGGAATAACGCCTGAGGCAACGACTTCCGGACACGGACGGATTCTCTCGGACGCGAAGTGGCAGATTGCTTAGCCAGAGTCCACAAAGCAGGCAACCACCAAACCGGATATAGAGAGGAATCGACGGAGGTGAGGGAACACATAAGCGCACAATTGGCGGAAAAAGAACCAACGAGAGGGAGCCAATTGACTCTTGGTAAGACTCGGCCGCAAAGGACGCGGCCATCAGCCTAGCCATATCCTAGCTCGCTCCACCATCGCCACCACGAGTTTTAACCACGAGACGAACCTTGCGCAACGTTGTGTGTTTGGACAGACGCCGCTAATAGCCATAAAATCTGACATCAAGAAAGGGCATACATCCGCAAAACTAGCTTGCTAGCTGTTGTTGTTGACACCGGCCTAAGTTCATCAACGTGGGCTCGCATCACCACTTCATCATCGGTTTGATACAGTTACCCTGCTCGAGAGAGAAGAAAGATCCGTGGTGGTTGGGGGAAAGGAGCAAGCAACAAGGGAGAGAGCTGATATCTGGCCGTCAAACCCGCCAGTTGATACCTTGTTTGGTACCCGGATGACTGGAAGCCGCTGTTTTGGCCCTGTCTTCGAAAAATTGTTGGAGCCACCCAGCACCAGTGTGGCGATGCGATTGGCGACATCGATGAACCAGAGAAGGCACGGGGAAACGGACACCATTCATTGCGAACAAACCGAATCACAAACGACGAGAATCTTTAGTTTGGATTTTATGGAACTCTGATCTTCTCGTTTCAGGTTTCCTTCCTTTGCGTTAACTTCGGCTCTTATCTTCTCTCCTCTTCCGCGCTCCTTCCTCTGATCGAGAGGTCGACCGCCTTCCTCATTCTTTCTCGCTCGATATTCTTCCGGCGTTCCTTCCGTCCGGGCGTCACAATCGAGGAAGGCCCTCTCCTTAGATCCATTTCCGAAGTCGCTCTTTCCGGTGGGCGGGGGCTGTACTGAGAGGTACCTCGAGCACAATCACTGTTGTGGCAGGAAGAACTCAACTCGCCACGCAAGGCCAGCACAAGGAAAGTGCAAGGGCACATGCAACCCGAACCCAGCACCGAATGCTGATTGCCTTGCTACTGCCCAGTGGTCCCTTCCCTGTCTAGATACCTTGGCTACTAGAAGTCCATTCCAAGACAGCGCATTCCAGGCGTGTGGTTTCCCGCTTCATTCTTCCCCCCTTGCAGAAGCCGTCAGGGTCCCTTCTCCACAAACCTGCGCGGCTTCCCAATCCAATCCTGCTTGTGTCGTTGGTAGCACTCTTCTTCAGGGAAGTGGAAGCACTGCTGCGAGTCTCTGAGCATACCGCGTTGGCTCAGCCTGCAGCGGCCTGTCTTTTGTCTTGGGGGCAGTCCGGCTGTTTGAGGCTGAGGAGCAGGCGACGTTCCTGCAGGCAGCTTTAACATTGAGCTGTCTTGTTTTGTCTTAGAAAGTCATACCTTGAAGTGTTAGAGCCACCGTCCCGTTGAAGCTGAGAAGCTACAAGTTTTTCCTCTTCGGTCCCTTTGCAACCGTTCTTTTCTTGAGGTGTGCGGCGCTCCTTAGCAAACACTTTCTTACGTTTGACACGAAACGCGGCAAACGATACACATAACATACGATACACGATACGGGCACATCGGAACATAGCTCAGACTTGGATATCCCTGCATGCCAGATCTGGCTTGGGAGACGTTCACTGAAACCGCTTCTTTGGTCTCGGCCGGTCACCTACTTCGTCATTTAACGTCGCCATCCCTCTTTGTCATAGACCTCAAGCTCAAGTCGTACTTTTGAGTGCTGTCTTATTTCTCCTTCTAAACATCGGATCCGATCAACCTAGCTCCTTACCTATTCACGTTGTCCCATTCTTCTACTTTAATAGGCGACTATTCTTCACTTGCGACTGCCGAGGACGCTACCAAGCTCACCAAATTTTATTTCCAGTTTCGCCGCATATTTCGAACAACTCGACTATCAACAATCTCAAGGACTACCAGCACCGACCCATCGACTAACCGACGCCGGCGTACCGCTCAGACGCAAAGATGGCAACTGAATCCACCATCAGGCTCCTAGAGAGTCTCCATTATATCTACCCAGCTCTTGTTTTCACTTACTTTATGGTGTCTACTGTCATAGCCGTGTGCACCTTGGAAACTTTGAAAGCGGCCGCCAACCCAAAAGACAAGAAGATTCCCAAAACAGCCATCGTGAAGGTTATGTTATTCATCGTCTTGACTTACTTCTCGCAGCTCACCGCCGTCGTAGTCCGTTCGGTCTTGGAGAGAACGTGGCTCGGTCGGGACGATGTTGTTGTCGGCTGGCTCTCTTGCTTCATGGTGTTCGGGATCCAAACCGCTTCCCTTGCCAAGACGGAGCACCCGGTGTGGTATCCTCTCCACGGTTCATGGCTTCTTTCTGTCGGGTTTGAGTTTGCCCTGGCCGTGCAATATTTCACCTACCCCCACAAGGAACTGTCCGGATTTCCGAAATTTGTATACGGGGGATTTTCGTCTTTCCGTGCTGTCTTGCTCGTCATCTTGGCTGTTACCTACTACATCCGCCGAGATGGTTTTCAGTCACTTCCAGATACGAGCGATGAAGAACGCCAGGCCCTTCTTGGAGAAGACGCCCAGGAACAGGAACAGGAAGCCTCGAGCAATGGGCACGCACCAAATGGCCACGCACCGAATGGCCACAAGCCGAACGGCCAAGCCCGAACCCAAGGCTACGGTTCCACAGAGGCGAATGGATCTGCGGCAAAGAAACGACCGGTAGAGCTACCCTTCGAGAGGAGAATGCGTGAAGGAAGGGAGAGGTTGGAAAAGAGGCTTCAGGAAGATGGAAACTGGTTTACTTACATCAAGAAGTTTGCTGTAGGTTCATCCCTTAGCCCGGGAGCGGCACATGGTTGCTTTCCATAATTTGGGAGTAATTGCTGCTCCCTGAATCCCCGAAATTAAACGCGCTGGTGCTAATATAGCCTCGACAGATTTTGTGGCCTTACATCTGGCCAGTTGGCAACCGTGGATTGCAGTTTCGCGCCGTCCTTGTCGGAATCACCCTTCTCACCAAGAACGCCCTGAACCTGCTTATTCCTCGTCAAATGGGTATCATCATGGACATTCTCGGAGGCACCCGAGAAGGCAACCCCTGGATCCAGGTCATTTTATTTGCTGCGCTGAAATTCCTCGCCTCGGATTCTGGTATTGACTATGTACGCCAACGTATCTATTTCCCTCTGGAGTACTTTTCCCGGGATGCACTCATTACTGCCGCCTACCGACACATTCTCAACCTCTCCGCCGATTTCCATGACTCGCAAAGCACTTCAGACACTATTTTGGCGATTAGGGGTGGCGAGACGATCTCATCAATGGTCGATAAGTTGGCCTTCTCAGCGTTCCCGCGAGTTGTTGATCTTGTCATCGCCATCATATACCTGTCGCTCAAGTTTGGACCTTACGAAGGCTTCATTACCATATCTACCGCTATTTGCTATCTTCATGTTGCCAGCATCCTCGTTGACGGCATGAAAGAAGCCCGCCGCGACCAGGTTGCCTCTTACTATGATAAGAACAGCCTTCTCCAGACGGGCGTCGAGGGCTGGCATACTGTGACCGCGTTCAACCAGACAGGCTATGAAGACAACCGACACGCAAATGCCGTTCGTGTTTACACGGAAAAGACGAAAGTCCTCTACTTCAAGTGGTTCAGCATCCACGCCCTCCAGTCGCTTGTGCTACTTGCTGGTCTTCTGTCGGGAGCCTTCCTTGCCGTCGCCCGCATTCAGAGCGGGCAAGCTACGCCCGGAGACTTCACAATGCTTCTGATGTATTGGGGTCAGCTGACGGGTCCTCTAATGTTTTTCTCATCCCTCGGAAAACAAGTCAGCAACGACCTCATCCACGCCGAACGTTTGCTAGATATGATGTACAGGAAACCGACAGTGACAAACAGAAAGGGAGCACGGCCATTACAATACACCGAAGGCAAGGTTGAGTTTGACAATGTTTGCTTTACATACGATGATAAGAAGAATATCATCAAGGACCTTACCTTCACTGTTCCGGGGGGGCAATGTGTCGCCTTTGTGGGAGCTACCGGAGCGGGGAAATCGACTATATTGAAACTCCTCAGTCGTCTTTACGACGTCTCCAGTGGATCCATAAAGGTGGACGGCCAGGATATCCGGGATATTGACTTGGCTAGGTATGGCGAATCTCCCCGTGCGTTTTCCATGGCATTAGATGCTAACGAATCAATTTCTCAGTCTACGTGGTCGGATCGGAAGTGTCCCACAGAGCCCAGTACTGTTCAACGATACCATTTTGAACAACATACGATACGCTCGAATCACGGCATCAGATGAAGAAATTCATGAAGCATGCAAAGCCGCCTGGATCCACGATAAGATCGAATCGTTCACTGACGGTCAGGCAACCCCCAATCATTATTTCTGTTCCTCGCCCCCCCCCCCCCCCCCCCCCCCCCCCCTCTTTTTTTTTTCCTTCTCACTCTAACTATCTTTCTGAATAGGATATGACACTCGTGTGGGTGAGCGAGGAATGTAAGTCGGATCCTGAGACCGTGAATATGCGTTGACAGGTTTTAACGGTTTTTGTGATAGAAAACTATCAGGAGGCGAACTTCAGCGGGTAGCGATTGCGAGAGCCATGTTGAAAGATCCAGACTTGGTTGTACTTGACGAAGCAACTAGCGCTGTTGACACTGATACTGAGCACAAGATACAACAATCTCTTGCCAGACTCTGTGACGGGCGTACCACCTTTGTGGTGGCGTAAGTGTGCCTCAATGATGCTTGTGTGTCCCTCGTGACAGACTAACACTACCATCCCAGGCATCGCCTTTCCACGATTATGAACGCCGACCGAATCATTGTCATCGGTGACGGTACGATTCTCGAGTCAGGCGACCACGAAACTCTCATCCGGGCGGGAGGAAAGTATGCCGACTTGTGGTCGAAGCAGGTTTTCTTGAAACCCAAAAAGAATGACAAAGGCGCATCGGAATCATCCACACCCTCGACTCTTATCAATGACTTGGAACCCGAAACAGCCGAGGCGGAACTTAGCAAGATCCGTGAAGCAGTCGAGCGCGCCGCGAACAGACGGGGCAGCGTGTCGTCGGACAGTAGTCAGAAGGATGAGGGTACCGAGACTTCTGGGGAGACCAAGTGCGAGGTAGATTCTTCCGGAGAGTCATCTAGTTCTTCGGGCGAATCTAACCGTGAGCTTTAGGGTTAGCGACTGAATCCGGTTGCCCCTGAGTTTACTCCTCGATCCTCGATGACGAGTCAGGCCGCACCTCACACCCCAAGTATTATCGCCTTCCCCACCCATCTCGGCATGCCGGTGCACTTTGGAACGGGATCGCACATGCGCCAGAACGGGCCCTTCCGCATTGCTGAGCAACTCAATGGCGAGGAGGACAGCCACAGGCTTCCGCGGTTTACACCCACTGAAGTCTTCCGGATCGAACAGCCTGGCTGCTCTTCTCCTTCGACCACTCGACGGCAGCACTTTCCTAAACAATCTTCTCGACACTTCGATATGCCCAGGCTTATAAAATCATCACAGTCTACTACTCCTGCCAGCTCATTGGCGGATCGTGTTAGGAGCAAGGGGTCAAGCTCACGCCTTAGACGGGCGCAGGGAGAATCGACCCCCGCCTCCAATCAGAAAAAAGAAGTCAAATTTGACGATGACGAGCGGAAAAACAACTCAGCGAGTCTCGGCATTGCGGCCTTCCACCGCCCTGAGTATTCTCGGCGGGGTCAGTCGCGCAGCGAACCTGGTCTGAACACGACCGATTCCGATGAGGACCTGGACGGGCTGCCTGCGTGCGGCATACGAGTATGAATGTCTTCTGTCCGGTAGATTAATTCTATGCGCCTGGCACTAATTGAATCATACTTGAAGGATTATCGAAAAACCTCGGGCCCGGTTACAGTGGCTCCAAGTGGCTAGACTCCAAGTGGCTAGAACACTCTACATAGGCTTGAGAAGTCGGTTTCGCTATCACCAATGACCGTAGACGGCAAGCATCCGGGAGTGGCCAACCGTGGTCAATGTCATACACCGCTTCTAACTCCAACGCCTGGAGGCGACAACACAATTGCCCACTTACCGTTACACGGCTTTAAAATTCATCCATTCCTGAGGAATTCCCCGTTACAACACGAGCTGACGAAGCCGACAACATGCCACCACGACGAGACAAACGGGAGCACAATTGGCGCAAGAGAACTCATAAAGGTAAATCCTCGTCAACAAGAGAGGCAGAATAACTATCGAGCGAACGACGCAGGATTTAAAAGGGTGTCGGTAGAGGTTTCAGCAAACTTGCTGGCAGGGCTGTGACAATCCTGTCGAAATTCGGGAGCAATATGAGTAACAACAGTAACGAAACTAATGGATAGGGAGACGGATTCTTCATTCGCACGCGAGTATTTGTTAGGTTGCCCATGTAACGCATAGGGGGGTTTCAAAAGGGCATAAAAAGGGAAAGGGCATTCTGTTACGGCGGTCTAAAAGTTTATAGAGTTGGCGACATCGGTTTTACTTTCTTGTTTCTCGTTTCCATTGCTGTCCTTTCTCATCTATTTATTCTTTTCATCGCCTCTTATCGCTCGATACATAGCTCGTATGATAGATAATAGCAGCCAGACGGGATACCGGAATACAAATTTTCTTTAATAAATGAAGGATTGCTTTATAACCGTGTCTCCTCGTAGGAGTGATACTTGTTTGCGCGACGTAGACGTACGGGTATTACAACAGGTAAACGGGCATGATGTGTTCGCAAAGCTCTTCGTAGCCGGGGGTAAGTCCCTCGAGCTGCACCGATCTCTGGGTTGAGAGCGTGGCGACAAGAACAAGTGAATCAAGATCATAGTGGCTCTCTCACATCACATCTGGAGACCACGTTTCTATATTCTCTCACGTTCTCCGACCTGTTACAGCGTAAAGAAACCAAAAAAAAAAACATAGGGGGCAAAACATTGTTATCTCAGCCTCTTCCCACTATTATTCTCCATCTGGGGCATCTTAGTTGGTGTTTCCGCTTCCCGGGTTACCAGCACCGCCAGCACCGCCGGGGGGACCACCACCCATCATTGACCGGGCCCTGAGAAAAAGGCGTAATGTCAGTAAAAAAAGAAACTCAATAGGAAGAATGGCAAAGAAGGTGGTCGGGAAGGGAAATCGACTTACATTTCAGCAATGGTGGGATCGCTCATCATGGCAGAAATATCAGGCATACCGCCACCGGAGCCAATCTGGTTCGCCATCTCCCTTAGCCTAGGGTTGCTCATAAGGCTCGCCATCATATCGGGGTTATTCATGAGACTCTGGGCCATGTTCTGGAACATGGGGTTGCTAAGGATAGAAGAGAAGTCCATGCCCCCAGCTCCAGGGCCGCCCGCACCAGCACCACCGCCAAACATATTAGCGAGGTTCGAAAAGTCCGGCATGCCACCAGCACCAGCACCGGGCGACGCCGGCGATCCCCTACTCCTAGCGGCGAGGTTCCCCTCACCCTCGACCTCCTCAACGCGCCTCTTGGCCGTCTCATACCCCTTCTTCATGGCATCACTACCGCCGTTACCCTCATACTCGATGCCCTTCTGATAAGCCTCCATGGAACCCCTCGGATCACCGAGAGCGAAGCGCGCGAGGCCAAGACGAGACCATGCCTTCGTGTACTTGGGGTCGATAGCAACGGCAGTCTCCGCATCCCCGCGGGCGCTCTCGTGGTCCTTGGCAGCAGAGTAAGCAGCGGCGCGGTTCGACAAAAACACGGCGTTGCGCGGGTGCAGCTCGAGGGCCTGCGTGTACAGGTCGATGGCCCTAGCGTAGTCCTTGGCGGCCATTGCGGCGTTGCCGCGGCTCTTGAGGCCTTCGGCTTCCTTCTTCTGCTCGTCGGAGGGCTCGGGCGCCGAGGCGCCGCGGGTCGTTTCGTAGGCCGTGTAGATTTGGAGAAGGGATTCGGAGTCGGCCGAGGAAGAGGCGGAGGCGTCGATCTTGAAGGAGTCGGCGATGCAGTTTATCGCGACGTCGATGGAGTCCTTGTCGTCGGCGGGGAGGGTGCCGTCTGTGAGGGACTTGGTGAGGAAGTCGCAGATGGCTAGCGCCAGGCGTTGTTTGGGCGTCGTGGACTGGGGGGGGAATAATGCGGGGGCATGTTAGCAAATATTTCGCATTATAATGAGTTTCATAGAGCCTTTTCTTTTTTTCCTCTTCTTCTTCTCCTCCCATGTCTTCTGCCGCCCGTTTGTCTTCTTCGCTAAAGGGCGGCGGTGAGGCGAAAGTATCCCTCTTCGGGAAAATGCTTCTTCCCCATCTCCATTTCAATGAGGGGCAATTTTAGCATGTGAAGCGGAACGTACCATTGTGAGATGCACTCGACGAAAGAGAAAAAAGAAACTGTAGGAACTATTTAGACGAGCGAAATATAGGATATGATTCTTGTCGACTGTTTCAGGAGCGCAAGGGGAAAAGGTTGCTTCGGTTCAGAGAGTACGTGGCTTGGGGATGTTGTCCGCTTGCTGGAAGCTTCCTTCCTGAGGATAGACGTGGAAACGCCAGGAAAATGGTGGGGCAATTCGATAAGCGCATTGCTTCGTTATACGAATACAAGGTCCCAAGCGACCGCAGGTTCGACTGGGGAGACGACATCACGATCACACTTGATTGAGAAAGATAAAAAGACATGTGGAATTATGAATTTCAGCTCCATTCTCGTTGCTAGTACGCCAATTCCATGCTATTCAATATATGATTTATGCCAGCCATTACAGTTAGACGTGCCATGCATCATCAAGCGCTCTCCCTTCTAGCATCTGCCAGAGGCCTAGCCATTCCTTTTCACAGGAATCCTCGAATCCATCAACTGAATTTATCATGTAGGACGCCGCTTTTTTCATAGCCCCCTTATACACTCTCGTAAAAGCCTTCTCCGCCTTCCATATCCGTACATTGATTGCGTTATCCGAAAACTAAAGCGTCGGCACATCTTTCCAAAGATACCGGCATCGGGTTGTTCCCCGAGCGTTTCTCTACGCACGAGGCCTACCATTCCGCGACCTCGGTTCCACATTCGGCACCCTCCGCAAAGGCCGTATCGTCGCACGCCGATACTTGACGTACAGATAGAACATGTCCTTCAAAACCAGAAACATGCAGCCGCCTACTAGACTTCGTCCCCACTTCTCCTGTAACAATCCCGTAGGGCCGTACCGAAAGGGCGCCGCGAAGAGAAACGGCTTATCAGGAACCTTCATGGTCGTCCATGCCTTTGGCAGCGCGAAGCGTAGCATCTCGCCCGCAGCCCAGGATATGGACGGTAGAAGGAGGGCTCCGAGAATGGTGCTCGTGAGGTCGCGGAGACTGTACCTCACTGCTCGTTCTATGGCCATTGGCTGGTTACGTCTTTGTTCTTGTGGAGGTGCTGCCGGAGCCTGCTGGGGCGGCCGAGCGCGATCCGCCGCCGGTCGCGGCTGCGCCTCGGCCTCGGGTTGAGGTTGTGGTCGGGCTTGTTCCGGTCGGTCCTCCTCCTGGTTATTAGCCGGCTCATTCTCCCTCGGGGCTCCGTGGGCATTTTCTTCCTCTTCTTCCTCTTCCTCCTCCTCAGTCTCCCACTCTTCGTGCTCGCCTTCATCATGATCCTCCTCATCGGTGTCCATCTCTTCTATCAGGTCAATAATCAACTCGGCTTCATTCCTATCTCCACCATCATCAAACCATATTTCCACTCTCTCATTCGCCCCCGCGTTCTCAGGTCCTCCTTGGAGGTTATCAGCGAGGTTGTTGATAATATCGCGCAATCCGCCGCGGACACCACCCAGAGCGGGCGGTGCTCCGTTTTCACGGTCCGGAGCCTCCGGCAGGCCCTGTATTATCCGATCCCACCTCCGTTCGGCTCCTGCGAAAATCTCACCCCTGACAACAATATACGCCATTGTGATGCAGGGTAGGGACGCGAATGCGAGTTGTGGCGATGGGGGCCATGTTAACGTCTCGGGGTTCCTAACAAAAACAGCGGACAGCTAAATTCGAAAGATAAATTAGTATATGATGTCCAAAACGGGGGGAATAGAGGAAGACCGTGTCTGACAGAGAGAAAATTTTCCAAGCAACTCACTAGTATCGACAAAGGTGTGTTTATCGCAGCGGTAAAGGTCGGAAAGAGCTGATGAAGTATTAACCCTGGCGCAATCATTGGCACGCCAAGCAACGCCGGTATATGATCCCTCAACCTCCCCGTCCCAAAAATCTTCATCACGGCCTCCTCGCCCGCGAATATCCGTATCGCATGGAACCCATACAACGCCTGGCCCGCCATTACGGCGCCTCCGAACATCGACCCGACGAGCACGGGTGACAATCCATTGATGAAGTTGCGAAACCAATCACTCAGGTCAACGGCCAGGTCCCGAGCCCCTTCCACTCGTATCGGCGCCTGGCACACGGGGCATTTTAGCGGCTTGTTTTCGCGCTCGCACTCGTCGATCCATTGTAGGAGGCACGCGTGGTGAGCTTCGAGAGAGCAAGGGCACGGGTGCACCCAATCGGATATGTCGCCTGGCTCGCCTGCGTCGCCTAGGCAGATGAAGCACCGGGATACCGACGAGATCTGGTCCGTCGTTGCTGGTTCGGCCATGGTTGGCTTGGTGTGGTGCTGTTAAAGGGGTGGGATCGATGTGTTTTTTTGTTGGCGTTTGTCAGTTTCCAACTAGGCTCCGATTTCAATGTGATGTCACGCCTCGGTACGATTCCGCCCGCCCTCCACAAAGCATGAAAGCAAGAAAGATCGTAGCTTTCTGCGGGGAGGTATGCATTACATAATCACAATTCCAGGACGGAGGATCAAAGAGTGACGCGAGGAAAAGGTGACCTTCTCAAAACCGGGGCAGCTCTATTTTAGCACATGGTGGGTTAGACAAAGCCTCGGGATTTCTTCTTTGCTACTGTCCTGCCCTGAGCTGTTGCGAGGTCGGACTTGACATCATGGAATGTTGCTTGTTGAATGTACAGAGGTACAAAGGCGAGGCATTCTTTGCTGACTAACATGGTCACGAACAAAGGCGGAAGTAACTTGTACCTGTGGGACGGCATCCCACGACGACACTTTTCGCTCTTCTCGAAATGGATTGATGAGGTATGCGCACGAAACGGGAAACCCCAGCCTCTGGGACTATCACTTCTCGGATTCAATGATCCTCGCTAATCGAAGGAGAAAAAGTCTACCAAGTAGTCAGTAGTCAAGGAATGCATTCTTCATGTTCACCCCGCCCCCGAATTGTCGAACAAACCTACCCCGTTTAGGAACATCCATGACCCGTGCCGATGCTCCGTCTAACACTCCATACCACTAACACCCTGAGACTAACAAGCAAGAAAAGCAACTACAAACATCCATTCTGGTCCCCCGTTTTCATATGTATATATCCGTTTTTAATAACAGTATCTTGATGGAAACAGTGTCGGTAAATCCCTTCCCATATTGACGTTCAGTACAGCCTACAGCTCTGACCTGAGTCGAAATCATTGACCAATCACCGTCCGCTTGAGAGAATATGAGCAAGTTTTCCCTCTCTTTCCATCCTGTCGCGCATATTCCTGTTTGAATCATCGACACAGGAAGTCTTTCTATTGTTCTCTTCTCTGTGGATTCGAAAAGAGGGATACGGATTACATTGGGAGGTGGTGAGAGTCGCAAAAAGTCTTGGAGGAGGGAGCCACAGTACCTCCCTCCCCGGCTGCGACGGCCTTTCCCTTTTCCATCCTGCCAACTTACGTAGTTGCAGGCTTGCAGAAGGCGTGGGTGGGGTGGGATAGGCGTAGGGACTAATGGAATACGGACTAGGGCCAGCAGGTTTGACGCGGGATGTTCGTTACCGAAGTCAGCCCATGCGAGAGCCCAGGCGAAGGTTCCAGACACAGGGCTCTTCCTTGCGTGGGAGGTCTTGGGTCAGGCTTGTTTAGTCACTGTCCATTGGGTGGGTGGGTGTTGGCACCCCCAAAAGACTGTCATCACACCCTGAATACTTCGCGCCCTCGTTGTTGCTGAAGTCTCCGGCGCTCCCCGCATGACCTGTTAGACCCAGATTGGACAGATGGATAATATCACGGCACCCAAGACCGATTACGCTTGGGTCTCACTTGGCATTAGTTGGTTTCTCTTGATGTAGGAGCTAAGAACGGCAATAAATACTTTACTTAGCACCGTAATTCCGTCTCTTGAACCGGTGGTCGTCTTTCGAATGAGCGCTCCGGCAAAGCCAAGCTCCTGGCTTCTCCGGTACTGTTCCCCAGAGTCGGGAGAGAGAAGGCTAAGGTGCGATCCATATCTGCGTAAAACTCGCTAATGCGCGTTGTGTCTTAGATACGGGACTTGACGTAGTGTCATCAAAAGGAAAGGGTGGGGTGACAAGAGGGGACCCTAGTAAAGAAGCAAGGCAAGCTTCGAACTCATCAAAGGCTTGAGAGGGCTCCTACATTGTACGTAACAAGATTCATCCTGGGAGTGTTCGAACTAGGATACCGTCTTACGAATCACATTCTGACAAGTCGGATGAGTTTACCACCATCCATTGGCACACATACACACACATAGGCACAATCATGATAGAACAGGCAATCTGTGGGGGGGGACAAGTAAAATGCTTGGCTGTATTGATATTCAGAATCCCCTCCAATACCGCACCCTAATGACAACGCAAACCCATCCACGAAGAAATAAAGAGATGTTGGTCGTAATGAGGATCCTAGGGAAAGAAACGATGGAGATGTAGACCGGAGAGACTGTGAAGGGGAAACCGAGTTTCTGAGGACCGTGACTTCATTCCACCAAGAACCCCCGCGACCAAGCAACTTTCATCAGACTAAAACACCCCTCCATGCTAACCGGATCGTGCCACGTCGACTCTCAAAGGAAATTGATATTGGTTGGTAGGCTTATTTGTGCTAGAAATTAAGTTAGCAAGAAACACCACAAGAGAGAGAGGCGAAAGGTATTATCGTACAGGGCATCCGTCGCAAGTGCAGCCGGAGCCACAGCCGCAAGAGCCAGAAGTCGAGCATCCACAGCTACCCATGTTGATGGTGTTGGTTTGGTAGATTGTTTTGAAAAAAGAAGTTTTGGTCGTTGATTTGAGTTGAGAATAGAGCTTTTGTTGATTCTATGATGAGGGGGAAGAAACAAGAGGGGAAAGGAAAAGAGGGTCAGCGGGCTAGTCTCGGGCTTTATATATTCGGACGGCCACCCCAAAGTTGAGCGGTTTGTGCCTTCCAAACGGAAAATATCCACAAAATGCTCCTGCCCAACCAGTGGCATGAGTCGTGATTACTTTACAAAGTAGATTTTTTTTTCTCGCATTGCCATTGCGCCCGGTCCGGAAGTCACAGCCAAGCTAAGGGTGGTGGGTGTGCGCGGGCATCACGCGGGGACGTACGTTTTGGGGAGGCGAAAGTCTAGATCCCGAGGATTGGATGACTGGGATGACTGCCTTACCGTTTTCAAAGCGGTCTTTGTGCGTCGACCCATTCACAAGCCGAGAGACGATCTCATCCCGTTGCGTATAAGTTTAGAAGCTACACTATAATAGCAGGTGGATGTGTGAAGCACTTGAATGGCTGCAACTAAACTAGGTGCGCACTACCCAATAGCGCCGATGGGAAGGCTCAACTAACTGAACCCTCCACACGGCGTGGAACACGGCGTGGCTTCCTCGAGCAAGGAACTTGGTGAAGTCATGAAGTAAGAGCTGCTGGACGAAACGTAATTGAACGGGATGATACCCGCACCCTGAGCCTGCCGTGCCCAGGAACATGAAATTGACCTGATCCATCTCAAGACAGGGTCCACTTCCTACCTCTTGACTTCCCTAGTTGAACTTCTGGTAAACAGTCTAGTTAAGAAGGTGTGACATGTGGTGTACATGGTCTTTGTACGTTTGCAGTGTCACTACGTCTTGATGTTGCCTGCAGAGAAAAAGCCCTGCCCCGCACTTATACAGCGTCCCCCATGTAAGTGGGTGCTTCCTCACATAGAGATTTCGATGCAAGCCGTTCAATGCTTATCTTATCAGCCATGGCGGGGTTGCTCCTCGCTTGATTTTCTCAACAGGGACAGAGCGACAGAGCTCTGAGGTATTTGGTATTTTTTACACCTCATTGCGACCAATATTTTGACTTGACAAAAGAGCTGAGAGATCGGGGGCCTCCCGGATGTCCGAGAGGATATATTCCACCTGCATCATTGATACATCAATAGGGAGCGCAGGAGGAGTCGCACATCCGACAAGTAATGGACAGGAATCGAAAATTCCGACGATGGATGCGCCCGAGGAGTGATCCGGCCAAGATCCTGGACTTATGATCCGTTGATGTGGCTCCGCGTCTCATGTTCGGAAGTGCGAGGGAGATTGAAGGGGATTCAAGCCGCGGCGCATCCTCATCCTGTGCCATTTTAGCATTGACCTCGTTATATCTAACGTCCTTCCTTACTGCTTTCTTGCTGAGCGCCGAACATTTGGCCGACTGTTCATTAATGAAACCTCTCGTGCTCATAAACGCCCCAATGGATGAAGTTTGTTCTTCCGTCTAGCGTTGCGCTGAAGGAAGTGTCCTCAATACGCGCAACGCCACGACCGACCCCGCTTCGGTCGCTAATGGAGCGATGAACCGAGCTCTATCGCGCAACGTAACATGCCAGCTCTTAAAACGAGACTTGACTTAAAGATGAGTATAACTTCTTCATCTCCATTTTCACCATTATCATCATCACCATCTTCATCTTCACTTTCTTTCCCCCCTTTTATGAGAGGATTGACTATCTTCTAGATATTTCAAAGGGGGTCGTATAGTGCGATCGCTGGGCTTCCAGTCGCCACCCAACACCTCGCATCCGCAACCTCAATTTACTGCTTAGCTTTCATCAAATCTCATGATGGCAGCAGACCCCGTCCCAACGGCCAAGACCCTCTCCAACATCTACAACCCCGAAGACCTCCCCACACAATCAAAAAGATGGTCCACCCTCCTATCCACCTTCCAGTCCAGATACGGCCACACGCCAGACTTCATCACCCGCTCCCCAGGCCGCGTCAACATCATCGGTGAACACATCGACTACTCGCTCTACCCCGTACTACCCATGGCCATATCAGCCGACGTCCTCATGGCTTTCTCATCCGCCGAGACCGACGCCACATCACCCACTTACCAGATTGAGATTGCCAATGTGGAGGATGAGCGCTTTCCGGCCAAGGTGTTCGAGGTACCTGTTGATGGAGATGTAGACATTGACGCGAGGGTTCATGACTGGACGAATTACTTCAAGTGCGGATTGCGCGGGGCTTTGGATCCGTTGAGGAAGAGGAAGAGAGATGCGTGGAGACCTGTGAGCATGAAGGTCTTGATGCATGGGACGGTGCCTGTCGGTGGGGGGCTTAGCTCGAGCGCGGCGTTCACTACGGCTAGTGCGCTGGCGGTCATGATTGCAAACGGCGAAGCCTCGGTGGATAAGACGGAGCTCACGGAGCTTGCTATAGTCAGTGAACGCGCAGTCGGCGTCAACTCGGGCGGGTAAGACTGTCTCAAATCCTCCCTTTCTACCCCTCGACTCTTCCCACTAACTCACCTAACAAAACCCAAGCATGGATCAAACCGCCTCCGTCTTCTCAACGAAAGGCTCAGCCCTCCACGTCCAATTCCTCCCAACTCTCCAAGCAACCCCCATAATCTTCCCCACAACCGTCCCCCAACTAACCTTCCTCATCGCCCAATCCTACGTCACATCCGAGAAGCACATCACAGGCCCAATCCACTACAACCTCCGCGTAGCAGAATGTTCCCTCGCAGCCGCCTACCTCCATGCCGCCGTCTCAAAAAACAGTAACCATCCCCCCATCCTCCCCGCGGACGTCTCCCCCCTGGGAATCTCCCTCGCCTCCTTCGGCGCTAGCTACGCCAATAATGACCTCAACGCCCTCATCCACCTCGCAGAAGAAACCCTCACAAACGAACAAGGCTACACCCGCGAAGAAATCGCCCAAACCCTCAACATCTCCGTCGCAGACCTCGACGCCCGCTTCACGAGCAAATTCCCCGTCCGCGCCACCCACTTCATGCTCCGCCAACGCGCGCTGCACGTCTTTTCCGAAGCCCGTCGCGTGCGCCGCTTCGTCGACCTCCTTCGGGACGCCGTCCCCGATGACGACGGCACGACTACTCAGCTCAACGAGAAGCTCGGCGCGCTTTTGAACGAGACGCAGGATTCGTGCCGGGACCTCTACGAGTGCAGCTGTCCTGAGATTGACCTCATTTGTGAGGTTGCTCGGCGCGCGGGCGCGTATGGGAGTAGGCTCACGGGCGCTGGGTGGGGTGGGTGTACCGTTCATCTTGTGCCGGCGGATAAAGTGGAGGACGTCAAGGAGGCATTGATGAGGGAGTACTATAGGAAGAGGGACGGGGGCGAGGTTGGTGACGATGCCATGGTGGTTAGCAAGCCTGGTGGCGGAAGCTGTTTCGTAAGGCTCTCCGATTTTGAAGCCTTGTAAGGGAAATGTTTTAGACAATAGAAGGAGGAGATGTGATGCAGAGTATAGGAGAAGCAATAAATGTATAGATAAATGGAGTTGGTTTGAAATGTGCGCCCACGTCTGAAGACCTAAGAAAACGGATCCCAATACCTAAACACCGTGAAATTATTATTCGTACAAGAATTTTGCTTTGTTTCCGCTCGTCACAGAGTTATCGTATACACCATTCCCTCCAGATGCCCCAGTCCCTATCCCAAAACAAAATATAGAAAAAGTCGGGTCCCATACTAAAGCAAAGTCGCATATATCATGCCTTCCGTGAGAGGCTTCAAGAGAGATCAAGTTCAACCAGATGTCTCGGTCGGGCACTTCCCCCCCCCCCCCCCCCCCCCCCCCCCCCTTCCCAAATTCCCCAAAGCAACGTCCTCGTCTCTATAGAACGTATGAAAAAGTATGGTATCATAGAAAGTAAATAAAACCCAAAAACTGTCGAAACGCCATTCCCGAGGAGAAATGGAAAAGCCGATACCCCCGGCTCCAGGCTCAGGTGAGTTACCTTCCCTCCAGCGAAGCTAGCCAGTGCGCATTAATCCATAGACCCCTGTATGCGCTGTCGTATGCAGAATCTTGTTGCTGCAGTATCGATTCTTTCTCTATCCCGTCATCGTAACTTCGTGCATGAAAGGCCCTTGGGAGGCGCCGGGCTGGCTGTGCCTATTCGACATATTATAGTCGGTGGGCTGGCCCATACTGGGTAGTGCAGGAATGCCGGCCGTCTCTATGTTCGGTTGATGTTGCCGCTTCAGTCTGAGGCTATCGATGCTCTTCCTCGCTACAGAGAGAGGCCGTTTCGGGGTTTTTGGTTTACCTGAGTGATCATAGGTCAAAGGCGTCTCCATGGACGTGAGAACTTCCAAAGGTGCTGTGGATGTCGGCCACTGCTGTTGCGGTGCTCCGGGGTGGTGCGGGTGCGGGTGTTGGGAATACTGGTGTTGAGGGTGTGAATGTTGCGGGGTCTGATAAGTCTGCTGATGGTGAGTCGAATTCGCGTGCTGCTGCTGAGGTTGTCGAGTTATCGAAGTATGAGCTTGCATCTGTTCCGAGGGCACCGGAGTTGGGTTCCCGTTCATAGGATGATCGGTTCCATCGGGACCTGAGGTATGCTGAGAATGAGGCATTGTTTCCTGAGGCGGAGGCGCGAAGTTGTACCCTTCCTGCCACTGGTTGACGTCGGGTACGTGGTATGGAGTTCCGGGGTGAGGATGGGACCACCCATCCTGATCGGTTATGAGAGGCCGGTTGACTGGGTTGGGGTTGGTCTTTCCAGGAAGAGAGGTGCCTCCCCGCGGGTCGGGGAGGAACATGTTTTGCGGCGGGGGTTTCGGCTGTTGAATGTTGAATTGAAAAGAAGGCGGCTGAGAGATTGGGAATGCGAGTTTCAAGAGGCCCGGCTTCATGAGCATTTCGTGCCGAGAAGCTGCCAGAGGGCAATCCTTCTTCAGCGGTCGTCGAATGCCCGGAGGCGGCTCAGGAGCCTCGAGGTTGGCGGACCTGTATGGCTCGCCGCCGAGGGTCCAGGCCCAGTGAAGTAGCCGCGGCAACTCGTACAGGTGACGGCACTCAAGCAGCCTCTTCAGATCAGCGGAAGACCTAGGCTGCCATCGGAGAGCATTCCGAATACTCTTCTGCCATACACATTGCTTCCACATATCCTTAACAGCTTCCTGGCGGAGGAGATTCTGCATTTGGGTGTAGTATTCCCATTCCGCGACACAGAATCCCATATCGAAATGCTTGGCGACGTGATCGAAGTACTTGTCCCGCAACGTTTTGGCTTCATCCTCAGATGAGGCCTCGAAGACACGGTCCTTGCAACCACGGAATCCACAGGCAAATACCAATTGAGGGCATAACTCAACGCGGGCTTTACTGGGTGGTAGGTGTATGTCGGTATGGCATGACTTTACATGCGCGACGTAAGCCTTTTCGAAGTCGAACGTCAGGGGGCATCCGGCGTACTGGCAAACCCAGATGGTGTTGGTGTGATGGAAATTCTGGAGATGCTTCTTAAAGTCGCTCTTCCTGCTGAAGCCTACGACAATCCCTTCCACGAAACACATAGTACACTCGATAGCTTTCCGCGGGGTGGATGTGGTGACGATGGAAGTGACAGAGAGGTTAGGCTGTGTCATCGGCGAGTCAGATGTCTTGATGTCCCGAGAAGTACGAGGGGCAGAGGCCGATGACCAGTCCCCGGAGAGGCTCTGGACATCGGCTTGAAGATAATTAGGCGTCATGTCGGCAGACTCGGACCAATGCGCCTGGGTATTCTGAGAGATGATAGAGGCAGTTTCAGACTGGCAGAGTGAGGGTTCACTGTAGCTTAAAGAGGGAACACCACTGGCGTTACTTGACAGAGTCACTTGAGACATGGTCGACATTCGGGCTGCTTCGACGGGTTAGCTGAAGAGAGACGATGCGATGCGGACACACAAGTCACAACTGGTCGCTTGAAGCAGCACGGGTGAGGAAGTGGAGGAAAGGACACACATGGTTCGCCGAGACTCCTTAGAAAGAACATGAGATTGACTGGACCATACTTCGCGGCAAGCTGCACGACGGCCTGGAGGTCCTCAGGCGCCATTTGGTAGGCACGACTGGCATCTTGCCAGGGATTTTGGCTCGAGAACATCGTGGCTCAAGCAGAACAGAAACTTCAATTAGGGGTCCTTTCGTTTCTGATTGAAAATACGCGCGCCAAAGTGCGGTGAAAAGTAAACTCGACCGGGCCGAATAAATAGGAAGAAAGAATTCGTCTGGGTCCAGTCGGCTGCATGAATAAGCGTCGAACCGTCGAAAAAAAGTGAGAGAATAGCGACGGCGACGGCTTTTGGGTGTTAGGTCACGGTCGCGCCGATGAGATTTGCGTGGGAAATGGGCCGTAGTCTCATGGGATTGCTTCTGTGCGACTCGTGATCTCGAAGGATTGTAGGTGAGGAGAAGAGGAGGGGGCTGGTAGCTATTGAACGAGATACAGGATGATCCTGGAGGTTTGAGGATGTTCGGGCAGAGTAGTAATGGCGTGTAGTATTAAGGAGCGCGGAGCAATAGCAATGTCCATTAATAACCGGCAACGAAATGAATGGACAGGAAAGAATAGGCGAAAATGCGAAGAGCAACGGAGGACGGAGGAGGGTATTTTGGGGGAAGACGGATCAATTGACAGCAGGAAGGGAAGCTTTTGAAGGCCGAGAGAGGTCCGGGGAAGAAAAAGCCACCCCCCGTCGCGATCTGAGATCCAGGGCAGTGGTCACAGGGCGCTACGCACTGGTCCTGGGTGCGCTGCCAGTTGAGAATTTGAGGGTTTTTGTTCTGTCTGAGAAGAATTGATCAACAGCAGGCAGGGCAATAATAATGCCATTGACGGCAAAGGAACTGGAACTGGGGACAAATGTACGAAGTACTCGCGCGTTCCTTCGATTGTCATTGGAGAATTGCAGCGGTCCATGACGGGATCAGTCGAGGGATAGAACGGACTGCAGGCCCGAGCGGGAGGAACAGATCAGCCTGCTTTGCTTCGTGGCCTTGGATCAATACATTGTACTTGTGGCAACCACCCCAAGGGCTTGCAGATCCCGTCGAACGTAAGTACTTTGTACCTCAACTTTGAAAGTAGCCAGGAGCCATGGTCGTGCTTGCCCGCATCCAGCCCCACCCCCCCCCCTTCTTCCCCCTCCCAGGGACCCTTAATAACCTCTTTTGCCTCAGTGCTCGTACACTACTTTCGTACTCCCCTCTTCCTTGTCTAACCGCTAAGTATTAGCTGTACTAACAATCCCGCTGGCAGGCTCAGTCCCGCAAAAGAAGGTTCAGAGGACGATTAAGCGTAGAAGAGGCAACGGCCGGGCCAGGCAGGGGCGATTTGATATCAGGAAACAGGAACACCGCCGTCTACGAAGTAACTCGTAACTCTACGCAGGGCTGGTTGGGGGTAGACTACTTCATGTACTCCCAACACTGATTGATTCCTTCCGATCAATGACGGAGATTAACCTTGTCAAGAAGTACCAGCCCGGACCTTGATGGCAGTTCTTTCGTGCCTATTCGCAATGGAACCAGTACCTGAGTGTCGGGGCCAGCGTCAATGTCAAGCAACACTGGACAGAGCAATTTGTTGTGGCGCGCCGGCAGCAGGGGTAAGAACTTGAATGCATTTGCATCAATGGATCAATAGGTAGGTGCCTACACCTTGCGCACATTGCAAAGTACTTTCGTGGAGCTTTTGACAGACTTATAGCGGCGTAACTACCTCCTGGTACGAAGGTGACAAGGGGCATGAACACTGCAAACTTCTTGGTGGTCCACACCAAAAGGCCGACGTCTTCGGAGACAGCCTGGCTTTGGACTCTAAATCCGCTGCAATTGATCGATTGTATTTCTATTTTGAACCCACCAGGACGGAGTAACCGGCTGATCGAGATCAATACTCGCTACGGAAGGTGTAGGCGCTTCCATGATCCCCGATGCCCGCGTCCAATGAAGGGATTTGATGCGGCATCCTGCACAGGTTTAACGAGGATACTCTACACTAGGACATTGCACCTAGCGGCATGTCCAATGTTCTCTTTCCATCACACCTCCGGTATATCAATGCTTTATCTTGAGACGATCTAAGACTTGGGCTGGCTGCATGCTCTCTTCACTACTAAACGAAGTCCGCATTATGCGAGTCCCTGGCAAGATTGATGGTATCGCATATCGCATGGCGCTTGATGTTTTAGTGTGGAAGGCGGAGTAGGTTTTAGTTCAGAGTGTTGAGTTTCTCAAGACATGTGCATGGGGTCAACTGCAAGCCCAGTTTAATGCTGGCTAACTGACTCGTCCGCGAGACCCTTGAAAACATTCCAGAATCTGATGTGCAGTAAGACAACGTTGAGGCGTGTACCAGAAGGGGAGAGCGGCAGGATCTGAGGCAACCCCGCCTGTTCCCTTGTTACCACTGTTGGAGATTCGGGACAGAGATCATTCAGCCAATCCACACATCCATACAGTTTTATGTCCATGTTTTGCGGGACGGGTCTACCCTTGGGCGTGCTCAAGCTTCTTGTCATTTGATGTCATACAAACCTTCAACCATACCATGAAACTTGCAATGGACAACCCTGTTGCAAAGACGAAGTACACAGGTAATAAACGTTGAACAGTTTGCCCATTTTTTGCCCATTGAAGGGGCCCTGTGATGATCACACACCCGACCCGCTGGATCGATTAATCACACATTTTGGGTTCGCCGCCTATCCCTTGCGGTAGCTCCCTTTCCCAGGAGTGATTGATCATTGATGCATGCAACACAACGCCCATGTACTATTATTACATCGTAGCAGGTAAGCAGCCAAGTTCATCTTGTCTCCTTGATATAATACAAATTGGTACCTGAATCCACGGACTCCGAGGTCTTTGAAACAATAGATGGCGTGGGCTTTACATTATACCGCGTTGATGCTCGTATCTCAGGGTAGCTTATCCACTCAGGGCTCGTCTTCCCCTTTGAGAGGAAGAAACACCCTCTCAACAGCATCACGCGTTACCCGTTAGCGCGGCCTCAACTCTGCGGCCGCCAAGCTGGCTAAAACCAAATTCGAGCGGAGAAGGTGCGCTCCGCATGTTGGAGGCACTTGACAGGACGAGATTAACAAGTGGAGGAAGGGGGCGAAATCCGGTACGCAGGAACGTGGGTTTTGTTCTTATTTCCACCTCCTGCGCATATCAACCGCTCCCTCCTTTGGTGATGTGATTTCCACCGTCGCGTCTTGCAGGAATCTGTGCCTTCAGCTCGGGATGAAGATTCTCGATGAGAGTTATGGGCTGGGGCGACAGACTTCACCGGTCGCCGTGGCGCCAGAGCCCGGGATTTTTCGTCTTTGGTCCTTCCTCATCCTACAATATGTCCGATGGGGGGAGCAGGGCTAGTGCAGAGTGATTCGGTTGATTGGGCTGTTCATAGCACCTCACCGACTAGATCGGTTTTTTTCGGTCTTTACTGGAGCCGGGCCTAGCTCTGGACCAGCGGAGGCCGCTAACTGGGACAAAGTTCGACGATTATTCCGGATGGTGCTCCAATGGGTGAATAGACGATTTGATATATGAGTGAGGGATGAGGGGACATTGGGGCGAACTTGGGGTTTACAGCTAGCAACTACTAAGACAATTGGGGGTTATCACAGGGCACCACACAGCACTGTCTGCTCAGTGCAGACAACCGCTGCGGAATACACTCCCAGTTTCCAGCCCTTACTCGCATTATAGAAGCACCATCTTCTTCAAATTAAAGGACATGCAAATGAAGTGCGACTGCTTCGCATGGCATCAGAGAACCCCATCCCATGCCACATCCAAAGATTCCGCAGTCCGGACGGGAAGTCAGAACGCGGAACGTGGAAGGGCCAGAAATGTTGGTTGGCGGGGGGCGTGTGTGGTTTCTAGAAGTTCGCTAGAAGGAAATTAACCCACGTTTTGTCACGTACGAAGTACTGTGCTTCGCATCAATGTATCCTGCCTGGTGGTACGAAGCAAAGAAACCCGGCTGGATGGGGAGATGGGAGCGACATTACGATGTGACCGCGGCGCGATTCCCTGCTTCGTAGCAGATGATCAATGTTGGCTTTCAACCCGACTTTCAGCCCCTACCAGGCGAAGGGTGTGTACGAAGTACGGACATATGGAGGCGTCTTGAGTATTATGTCTTTCGACCGAGCGGAAAACCTCTTGCCCAGCGGGCTTGGCCCGACCTACCTACACAACCTTGTCCATGTTAGACCTCTGTCTCTGCTTCGTAAGTTCATGAAAGGAAATTTCGGGGAAGGTTTGCTTGTGTAGACGACAGGGATCCGTCCCGCTCGAGGGAGCGAATCCGTGCTCGAGAACAAGACAAATGCAATCGCACTAGTTTAGACTTGACGACGTAAACGACGAAGCTTGTTATTCGCCCCATACCTTGTCCTGACTTTGACACGATCGATCTTAGAAGTGGGTGTAGGCTCTGTGGGGAAGTGTCTTGAGAGTCTTGCAAATCTCTCCAAGCGAGGTGATCCAAACGCCAACCAGCATTCAAGGCTGGCTGGATACCTCACAGAAGTAAGTTTAGTCCCCCACCGGAAGCGACACTAATATAGTGTCCAGCCCATCGCCATAAACCCCGCCAGGCCCTGCGAGTAGTGTAGTGTATGCGTAGATTTTCGATCGCTAGCGAGAGAAGTTTATCGGCGAGTTAGCACTGATCCTGATCTAGTCTTTCCTCCGTCACGTAGAGTTTTAACTCTTAACGCCAGAGTTGCGAATTCCTGTTCGGCTCTCTTAGATCCCCCCTCCCCAGACGTGATCCGGGACGAGCAAATCCAGACTTTTAGTGCCCACTTTGACACACGGACATACTCACGGATCAACGCAGAGACCAGTTTCCCCGGACTTGACACGGAATTCCCACCCACAAGCCCCAGCAAGTATCGGTTTCGGCTGGCTTACGGGTAATTACGAAGTCCGAAAACGAACTTGCTCACTTCCCCCTGCCTGGGCGACAGCGGCGGTTTTACGTTACGTACTTGATGAAGGGTCTCGTACAGTAGCTCCGGGATTTCCAATCTGGTGGCGTATGGACAGACAAGAGTCCATGCGTGGTACGATTGTGATTTTCGG